TTTCCAGTCTATTTCTGAAATTGTTTGAAGAAGTTAAAACAGTTCAACGCGTTATCAGAGATCTACAACCTCTCCTAGACAATGACAGTTCTCTTTCTCAAGCTCTGGGAGGAAGACCTTTCATTGCCTACAGACAGCCACCCAATCTTAAAGAACTCCTAACCCACAGTAGAACACTTCAATCTCCCAGGACATTCTATACAAGATCTCAAAGTAGCTGTCCTATTACAAAACAATTTCAGAAATAGATACATGATAAAGCTATTTTTAGCCATCTCATCCCTTGCTTTTTCCTGTAAGACCAATTGCAGTCGTTAACCCTCTCACTATATATAAGGGTCTGGTGACTTCTGTTTCAGTGTATCTGAAGAAGTGTGCATGCACACGAAAGCTCATACCAATAACAAACTTAGTTGGTCTCTAAGGTGCTACTGGAAGGAAGTTTAAAATTATTATTTTGTTCCCTTTGTGCTAGTTTCAGGAAGAGATTTTTTAAAGCTCCCTTTAATATGGACTTGAGCTTTTCCTTTAGGAAAATCAGACAGAAAAAGAACCTGCTTTTCCTGCTGCTGCAATGGTAGGTCGGCACTCCTCACTCTCATATGACAAAGGACATCTTTGCGGCTGCCTCATCTCCACAGCATAATGATTTAAAATAAAAACAACCTCCTTTTACCTTCAGTTCACCCCTATCCCCCATTGTTACCCAACAGGAACAACTGGGAAACTTATGTTGTCACTCAGTGCAACCCTATTATTAACAGAGTTTGCACATGAAAGGGGAAAAAAATACATCCCATATCTCCTTTGTCAGATGTTCCCCTGACCAGTGTTCTGGGCAAAACCCATATGCTGCTGTCCTTTCTAATGGATATGTTTGCATGAAACAGTAAAAATTAATTTGACTAAGAACTGTAATTTCATTGTGAAATACAGTAACTTGAAACTAGTATCTTATTGAATAATAAAACATGTAGAATCAGACTCAGAACACAGTGGGAGGGGGAAGGATTGCCATAGAACGCCTCACCCTCATATAATAAACTATCTGTAATCATTTTTCTTTGAGTGTGATGGGGGATGGAGAATAACAGCTTAATTACCTACTTGGAATGTGCAATACCTTAACTACCGATTTCCAAAGTTCCAATGAAAATGTGCTGAGAAACACAGGGAAGCACTTTCATAATAAAAAATGGTGACTAAATATGCATTTACATCTTGATTTTAGATTTCATGCTTTAGAATGTGAACACTTTTGACCACACTGGGAAACATTACTGTTTGAGATGAGAAATGCTTTTCTTTCTTTCATTTTTTTTTTTAAGTAACCTTTTGTCTGGCTACTGTGGTAAGTGGAATCATTTCTTTGTGGCAAGAGGCTGTTTTCAGTGTTATCTGTAGTAGAACTTAAATAAGATACCTCTCAAGAACTTTCATGATTCTCTCTATATATGGAAGTGAATAGCTTCGGTACAAAAAATAAGTTCAAAGTGCTTTTCTGAATGTGAGCCCAAAGCCAGGATAAAATATGTAGGAAATTTTGTAAACAGCTCAAATCAGTTTCCTTTGCTGCTAGGTGGGGGAAGCGTAGTTCTTCCTGTTACACAACGTTTGTGTCAACAGCAGGAAAATGTGAGGCTATTTGACAGCAGACAGCAATGAAGCAGCCAAAAAACGGAAGCTCTCTATTACCATCAGTGGGGCTACAATTTCTGCCCAATTGCAATGTATAAAGATTACTAGAGCCATAACGAGACTGAGTGATTCTCAGAACCAAGTACAGTTTTACCTCGGGTTAGGTACTTAATTCGTTCTGGAGGTCCGTACTTAACCTGAAACTGTTCTTAACCTGAAGCACCACTTTAGCTAATGGGGCCTCCTGGGGCTGCCACGCCGCCGGAGCACGATTTCTGTTCTCAACCTGAAGCAAAGTTCTTAACCTGAAGCACTATTTCTGGGTTAGCGGAGTATGTAACCTGAAGCGTATGTAACTTGAAGCATATGTAACCTGAGGTACCACTGTATTTAAAAAGGGAGATAAGAATATCATCCTAGAAACTGAGTGCTGAATATTTTTAATCTTCTAATGTAGGGCCACCCCCACCAACAAAAACTCCACCATCCTATCCTGGTCTTTAAAGTTTGAACTGCAAAAATTAGCAGGAGGTTTTAATGCCATTGAGCTAAACATGACTACACACTAAAAGGCTGAGGAGATAAGGAATCTATGGCCCTCCAGCTGTTGTGGGACTCCAAATCCTATCAGCCCCAGTCAGCATGGCCAGTTACCAGGGATGATGGGAGTTGTTGTTCAGCAACATCTGGAGAGTTTCAGGTCCCCTATCCCTGGTTAAAGTGGGGTCCTTCAACCAATATAAATGGTGAGAAGCAGACAAGTTGCACAGACTGCTGAGAAATCTAGTCCTGAGATTTTCAAGCTCCTGGGAGCAGCCCCAGGCAGAGGTCATAAATCAAGGATAGTTAAAGGAAAAGCAATTGTCAAATAAGGAAGATGATGAAAGCAAGACTTGTGATTTAAGAGATTTGTTTATAGACAAAGGTATAGTATACTACCGAACTGGGCACTATAGACAAGGAGATAGTAGACAAATCAGCCAGACACTGTGTCATTCTTGTGTAATAATAATAATAATAATAATAATAATAATAATAATAATTGCATTTTTTTGTTTTGTTTTAAGAACAGCAACAACAATATTTAAGTTACAGGTAGTTAGCCATGTTGGTCTGCCTTAGTCAAAACAAATTAAATTAAATTAAATTAAATTAAATTTAAAAATTCCTTCCAGTAGCACCTTAGAGACCAACTAAGTTAGTTATTGGTATGAGCTTTCGTGTGCTTAAACATTTCTTCAGATACACTGAAACAGAAGTCACTTACATATTGTGAGAGGGTGGGGATGGGTATTACTCAAAAGGGTGGTGGGAATGGGTGATTAGCTGATAGGTGTGGTAAACCTGTTGAGGACTGTTAACAACTGCAATTGGTCTTACAGGAAAAAGCAAGGGGTGAGATGGCTAAAAATAGCTGTCTCTTGGATTCTTATTTCATTATACATGATAAAGGTATTTTTAGCCATCTCACCCCTTGCTTTTTCCTCTAAGACCAATTGCAGTCATTAACAGTCGTTAAGAGGGTCACCACACCTATCAGCCCATCACCCATTCCCACCACCCTTTTGAGTAATACTCCTCACCCTCTCACAATATGTAAGTGACTTCTGTTTCAGTGTATCTGAAGAAATGTTTAAGCACACGAAAGCTCATACCAATAACTAACTTAGTTGGTCTCTAAGTTATTACTGGAAGGATTTTTTTTAATAAAAAATTTCAACAATATTTAAATCAGTCTAGCCCTTTTTTGTAGAGTTAGCAGAGTTGGAATAGCCCCTGAACTCTCTCCTGTCCTTTTAACAGCAGCTTGCTTGCAAAATTCACCAGGTGAAACATTTCATGGCACACCATCAGGGACTAATAATAGCAGGGTTCCTGTGCCATTAAGAAATTGGGACAGGCAGAAATTCAAGAGGTACAACTTTCCTTTCCACTGATGGGAAAAGTTGTAAAAGTATTGCCTGTCCCACAAGAGTACAGGAACCATGCTTGGCTGGGGTTAGATAGTTAGGACAGGAGTGTCCAAACTGCTTTTGCTCATCTTACACCAAGCCCAAAGGAGACAGTTGATGGCCTTGGCAGAAAGAGCACACAATTGCAATTGAGGGTAGAAGTGTCGTTTGCTCTGTCGCATAGCGAAGGACTGAGCTGCCAGTGATAAGATTCAAATATAGAATCTGTGCTAAGAGCTCAGTGCAGACAACTTGACAGGAGAGGTTGACCTTGCTCCTTTGTTCTGAGGTCGCCCAATTGAAAATGAGGCCTACCTCAGAAACACTATTTAATATTTTCAGTCTTCCTGTAAGCCTTGCTTCTGGAAAACCATGTTCATTATATAATGCTGATAAAAGTGGCAGAGCCCAAACAGGTAGGGAATGGAGCTGCGAGCCAAGAAAATTCTCAACAGCATGCCTGAGCCAGCGCTTCTCGTGAATAGTGCTTATGTGGAAGGATATGAATGACCTTGTAATTTACCAGGCTTGGTAGCTATACTTGTGCTCCTCAAAGAAGTGTGACGTGTTCTTTTGCATTCAAAGAGCAGAGGATGAGGTGTCAATAGCCTAAGCCTATTAGGCTTAGGTCAGCAACCTAAGGCCCATGGGCTGGAAGCGGCCCGCGGAGATCATTTAACCAGCCCACGAGCCGCCCCCAAACTGAGCTGCCTGTGGCGCTGGAAATCAAGTCTGTGCAGACACAGACGCCGAAAATCATGGTGCACACGCGCAGATGCCAAAAATCACGGGCGCGGGCGCTTATGCACGTGTGAGATCTGGCCCACAGTGGGATCTGTGGACCAATCCGGCCCAGGCAAGATAAACCTTGCTGACCCCTGGCCTAAGCCATGGGTAGGCAAACTAAGGCCCAGGGGCCGGATGCTGCCCAATTGCCTTCTAAATCCGGCCCATGGACAGTCCAGGAATCAGTGTGTTTTTACATGAGTAGAATGTGTCCTTTTATTTAAAATGCATCTCTGGGTTATTTGTGGGGCATAGGAATTTGTTCATTTTTTTCTTCAGAATATAGTCTGGCCCCCCTCAAGGTCTGAGGGATAATGGACTGGCCCCCTGCTGAAAAAGTTTGCTGACCCCTGGCTAAGCAGCCTCAACCTGGAAATTTGCATATTGAGGCTGGCATGAAGTGGTTCATTGTTTGTATAAGGATTTGAGAAATACCGTATTTTTTGCACCATAACACTCACTTTTTTCCTCCTAGAAAGTAAGGGGAAATGTCTGTGCATGTTATGGAGCGAATGCCTACGGGTGGCGGGGGGGATCTGCTGCAGTTGTGAGCAGAGGATCCATGGTTCCCCTTCCTTCCCTCCTCCGTGGCTCGCTTTGAAACAGCAAAGCGGGAGAAGAGCCGCTGCGTGGGGAGGAGAGAGGGACAGAGAGCCTGCTTCTTTAAAGGTGCCAAGCGGGGGAGGTGAGGTACCACATACCCGCGTGTAAGCGGCTCCAGTCCGGGTGGGTGCTTTAAAGCAAGCAGGCTCTCTGTCCCTCTCTCCTCCCCACTCAGCTTGCTAACTAGCATGATTAGCAGCATCCTTCTCCACACACCCCACGCGTGCTCCTTGTCCCTTGAGTGCTTTTCCTTCCCTCCCCACTTAAAACATGGTTACAAAGCATGGATCCACATGGATCCTCAGGATTTTTGCACTGGGTCACCCCAAATTCACCATCAGATCACATAGCATGTCCATGGCTACATCTTGCACCAAAAAAATCATGCACCCACTGTTGCCTAGGGTCGCAGTGGTGCAAAAACGTGGTTACAAAGCATGGATCCTCAGCATTTTTGCATTGAGCTACTCCAAACTCACTGTCAGATCACATGTCTGTGGCCACAGCATGAACCACAAAAAATCATACATCCACTGTTTTGTTTAGAATATTTTTTTTCTTGTTTTCCTCCTCTAAAAACTACGTGCGTGTTATGGTCCGGTGCGTGTTATAGAGCGAAAAATACGGTAATTCCATGTTGATTGGCCCATACCTGGGGGAAGATTGCTGTTAGGGTTTTTAAGAAAGAAAAGAAACAAGTAGGCATGCAAGTTAAAACAAACCAAAGGATTTTAGAAGCCACAGTCATAACACAGATGCAAATTCTTGCCTTGCTGTTGCAGCAAAGAAAGATAAAAGGGAACTCAAAGCTAGAGACTGTATCTTCTATGGAGGTCTCACTTTGCAGTATTTTGTGTTCCTGGCATCCCCACAGAAGGATTTCATAGGTTGAGTCTTTCTTGATCCAATTTTAGTCAACTGGATAGCTCAGTCAATAGAGTATGAGACTCAAAATCCCAGGCTTGTGAGTTTGAGCCCTGCGTTTGGTGAAAGATTCCTGCATTGCAATGGGTTGGACTGGATGCCCCTCGTGGCCCCTTCCAACCAATTCTATGATGCTATGATTCTGTACGCCATCTCCTTGGCTTCCAAGAGCATTGCAAGGACTATAGCTCAATGGTAGAGCATTTGCTTTGGATCCAGAAGATTCCAGGTTCAATCCCTGGCTTCTCCAGGCAGGGCTGGAAATATCTGTTCTGAAACCATGGAGAGCTGCTGCCAGTCAGTGCATGCAATGCTGAGCTATATGAACTAGTGGTTTGTGTAGGTATAAATAGCTTTCTATGTTGTTGTTTACCCATCCTTCATGCTAAGGTCCCAGGCCAGGTTCCTATTTCTTGTACACTTGAAACATCTTCACAACTTAGGTTGCTTCCTAGTAAAAGTGTTTGAAGATATCAGATGTGTATTCACATGATGGGGACACGGGTGGCGCTGTGGGTTAAACCACAGAGCCTAGGACTTGCTGATCAGAAGGTCAGCGGTTCGAATCCCCGTGAAGGGGTGAGCTCCCGTTGCTCAGTCCCTGCTCCTGCCAACCTAGCAGTTCGAAAGCACATCAAAGTGGAAGTAGATAAATAGGTACCGCTCTGGCGGGAAGATAAACGGCGTTTCCGTGCGCTGCTCTGGTTTGCCAGAAGCAGCTTGGTCATGCTGGCCACATGACCCGGAAGCTGTCTGCGGACAAACACCGGCTCCCTCGGCCAATAAAGCGAGATGAGCGCTGCAACCCCAGAGTCGGCCACAACTGAACCTAATGGTCAGGGGTCCCTTTACCTTTATTCACATGATGCTTCAGTTCATGGCTGTCATTTATCACTTTGTTTTACAATCTCCTGCCTAATGGTTGTCTCAACAGCTATGTGAGGTAAGTCACTATTAATCCCATTGTACAGATGTGGGAACTAAGACTGGCAGCAACTTGCTCAACCCTCCCACATGGAATTAGATGCTAGAACATGTATATTGAATTCTTAACAATTAATTGTAATTCCCTCGCCCACAGCCCAGATTGCCATTTGCCGCTGTCTTCCACTGCTTCCAGTTCCAGATGATACATTTTAAGAAAGACGTTGACAAAGTGTGCGAACCAAGATGGTGAAGGGTCTGGAAACCAAGATTAATTTCAATGGGTAGACTCAATGAAATTAATGAAGCTAAATAACTTGTGTGCATTGATTTCAATGGGTTTGTTGTTGTTTTTAAATGTATTTTTATTAAAAATTTTCTTGATTTACAAAGGCATGTGCAATGTCTCTTTCTCGTATTTTTTTCCACGTAACACTTTTTAAAAAACAACACCACACAAATCAGTTTCATTTGTGAGACATTAGGAAGAATAGGGGTCAATGGGTTTGTTCTGAGTAGAACTAACATTGGCTACAACTCCAGGTCCTCTGAGTAATGGTTGAAAGAGCTGGACAAGTTTAGCCTAGCCAGAAGAGAATATTAAGGCATGAGAATTTTATTTAAATATCGGAAGGTCTGTCATTCAGAAGGTGAAGCAGACTCAGTGGGTAAGAATTTAGTGGAAGCAGGTTTCAGATAAACAGAGGAGTAGCAGGAGCAGGTAGAACAGACTGCTTCCAGGAGAGCCAGTGTGGTGTAGTGGTTAAGAGCAGTAGTCTCGTAATCTGGGGAACCGGGTTCGCGTCTCCGTTCCTCCACATGTAGCTGCTGGGTGACCTTGGGCCAGTCACACTTCTCTGAAGTCTCTCAGCCCCACTCACCTCACAGAGTGTTTGTTGTGGGGGAGGAAGGGAAAGGAGAATGTTAGCCGCTTTGAGACTCCTTAAAGGGAGTGAAAGGCGGGATATCAAATCCAAACTCTTCTTCCTACTGATTTAAGCAGAGACTGGAAGTGGTGGCCATCTGTTGTGAATGTTGAAGTGGCAAGTTTTCTTCATTGAGCAGAAGGTTGGACTAGATGATATCCAAAGTCCCTTCCAGTTATTCTATGGCTCTGTGTGAAATTGTTCTGGCCATGTCTTCTAGCTGGAAAGAGGCAATTCCAGGTGAGTGACTCATACAGAGGCACACAGAGGGTGTGGGTTCCTCTAAAGATGGGTTAATCTCTATTTCTACATTGGGAGCTGCTGAGCAATCTAAATGAATGTCTGGTTTAGAGTTGAGAACATAAATAGATGCACCCAGCAGAGCTGAATGAATAGAAACAGTTTCATGAATGCAATAACTCATAAAGAGACACAGTGGGCAGCCTCCCATGATTTAGCTGTACAGGAGCCCTCAATTGTTTCAAGAATCAATTTCTCATAGCATAGTAGCAGTTTTATCATGCCAGTTTGGGAATTAATTCCCGGCTGCAATAGTCATGTTCTGGTTATGTGTTGTTATTAGGCAAAGTTTTTGGTGGTGGTGAGAAACGCTCTGATTTGATTTTTCCTGGAAGGGGGTGTTATCACAGTGCAACAATCCTATGCTCTGATATAGTGCTAAACCTCAGCTATTTGTTTTTAAAAGTGAGATCCAGAGTCACAGATGACTGCAGAAGAAGAGATGTGTTTCATTTGAAAATGATTGAGAATACAAATGAGTTCTGTCTACTCAAAGTCACCCAAGGCAACAGAGAGATTAAAAAAACCCTAATAAAACTGATTACAGCATAAAGTAATTAAAATATAACATAATCATAGAGGAGGAAGATCCACACAAGAAAAACTCTTGAATAAGATTTATCAGTTGCCCAATAACAATAGATCTCTGAGCAATGTACACAAATAATAAAAAAGCAAACAACAAAATTACGAGCAGCAAAAAAACAGTAAGCACACCTTGCTGCTGTTGTATTACTACTCGAATAATGCCAGGGTGACAGTACAGGGAAGTAAAGGTTAGTTTAAAAAACAGCCACACTGCTAAGAAGTTATTTGCATCACCTTTTCACAGATCAGAAAAGTGCTGGGTGCTTAGGCACATGCAAGCATGCTCGCACGCACACACGTACATGATAAAAAAAATCGTATCTGCTCTAGGCCGTTAATGAGGTTGAGTCTTCTTAAAGCAGTTAATGTTCTGGTGGGCAAAACTAGTGTCGCCTGAGGGGGGGGTTTAGCAAGGGAGGAAGGATGTTGGTGGACCAAGGGGTCAACATCTAACTTCCAATATGTACAATCATCTGCTGTCAAGTCCCATTACTGCAGAAAAGGAACACATGCTCTTTACTTCAGCAGCTGGCAACTTTGGAACCAAGTGCCATCACTCTGGGGTTTGGTTTGGCCAGGCACTACCAGTTTTTCACGTTGCTGCCAAAGTTTGGATACTTAATGAATACAGTTAAGGATATGCATAGGTTCTTAACTGTGGATCTGTTTAATTAAACAACTGGCAGATTTTTGAGATGGGCAGACCAGAACTGCTATTTAATGTTAAATTCGGAGACATCACATTACTTATATAATCTGTGCCGCCCATTATTTTGTGAAAACCACTCTCCTTTGATGTCAGGGTTGGAGTCAGACATAGGCCAGCAATAAAACGATAAATCACCCAAGGCCAGTGAAGTTAACTCTTTATTCAAGGAAACATTCCATGGCTCTAGCCTCGTGGTCTCAGCAACTCCTTCTAGGTCTTGCCTGATGAAGCAGTTGAAAGGACTGAAGTTCCCTGCCTTCCTAGTGCCCACTAGGACTCCTTCTCTCCAGGGTCTTTCGCATGCAGTTTCAGGCTCTGCTGGTTTCATTTCTTGGCATGTTCTAGGAGACCAGGAGGGGAGGGGAACTGGTTGCAGCAGGAGAGAAAGACTGAGACTCCTTGGCTTCTACAGCATCCTTCCTATCTCCACCCTCTCCAGCCCTGGTCTCTGCCTTGGAGTCTGAACTGTGCTCTGCCGCAGCCTCTTCCTGGTCACGAAACCCTGTCACCTTTTCAGCTTCCAACACCACCTCCTCCCAATCTGCTCCTTCTCCCTCTGACCACTCATCATTGTCCCACCCCAGTCCCCTGGCTCTGTGCCTTCTCCCCCTGGGGTTTCTTCAGCTGGTGGCTCCTACCACTATGGCATTTGAGCAGCCTTCACCAACTTTGTGCCCTCCAGATGTTTCTTCTACAACTCACAACAGTCTCAGCCATACCAGAGAACATCAGGTTGGTGAAGTCTGCTACCACACGTTTCTCAATAAACTTAGCTGTAGGCATACCTGTCTTCTCTAGCTTTTGGTGGCCAGTTTAGATTTTCAGCATTTCGTTTCTTTTTGCATTGCTGTATAGATTGCTGTTTTCATCTGATTGTAAACTCTCTTTGGAATCGCTGCCTCTGAATGCCTGCTGCTGGGAACCACAAGTGGGAAAAGGGTGCTATTGTGCTGAGGTCCTAGGGTTATTAAACACCAGCCACCAAGCTGACATTTCCAATGAGTGTCCTACAGCCATAGTCAGTTTAGTACAGTGGTACCTCGGGTTACATACGCTTCAGGTTACAGACGCTTCAGACTTAACCCGAGGTACCACTGTACTCATCTGTAAAATTGGCATTTAGCTTACATTGAATATCATCAGACTCCTTGTTTGGAGAGACCCTTTTGGAAATCTTCAGAATGTGCCTAGGATTTTTGGATATGTAATTTGGTGTGATCTACAAACTTGTCCAGTTTATGGTTCAGCGCTGGCCCTGGTTAATATAGGAATTAGGTAAATAACTTCAGTTGCCACGCAGAACCTTTAGGGACTCTATTCCCCTGCGCTGTGAAAACTGTCACTTTAAAAAACAGGAAACCAAAGGCAGGAATAAACAAATTTTCAGTCCGTAAATCAAAGATCTTTAGAAAATCCTATCTGTCTATATGTTTGTTAACACATTTAAATAATTTTAAGACTTGTGTTATACTGCACACCTTCCAACCCTCTGGAAATAAGGCTTTTCGTGTGTGTGATAAATTAATAGTCCAGCAGTTGTGTTCTTTAAGAAAACAGGGGTTTATGCCATTACTTTTTAATTTGTCTAATATTTCTTCACATCTATTTGACATTTCTCCAGTTGCACTGCCTGGCAACACTGGTTCAGAGGTATTTTCCCAGCATCTTCTCCAGCAAAAACTAGGCAAATAATTTGTTTTGTTTCCCTGCATTATTTCAGGATTCCCGTTTTCATTTTTCTAATGTATTTTCTATTGCATATACAGCGTTCTGTGTCTGCTGCTTCTGGGTGAAAAAGAATCAAACTGATCTCAATTAGGTTCTCACCAATTATCTCCCACTCCTGCAAAACACTGTCTCTGATGCTGCTAACCTTCACCTGTGACATACTCACCAGAGGTGCATTTACATAACCCACCCTACCTTCAGCTGCATTTTGCATGCTCTCCTATTTGTGGTTTTTGCATTCAGCTTGGAAAGCTTCCTCATTTGCTTTATTACAAAACTGGCTTTAAAACAAGAGTCAAGCTCTTGCAACAGATGCCCTGCTATGCCAAACCTTCAAATGAACTGTGAGCGGTAGGGAGCAACCCACTAAAAACTGGTGAGAAACTCAGCAATGGAAAATGCTAGCAATAGGCAGGAAAACTCCTACATAACCCTCAGGCTTCCCCCTCCCCAAGTGCCACAAGGCGTAATTAAAGAGGGCCCACCTGGGCTGGGATCGGAGGCTTTCATTTCTGAGCTGCCATTGCTTTGAAAGCAATGATTACTTTAATACCACTGCTGATTACATAAGGGATATCATACAGCAGGGTGTGGTGTTCTGGGAAAGAACTACAAGTACTAGGAAAGCAAGCAGCCACAAGCAACGCCAGACATGCTACTATCTCCCAGCAACTCTCTTGCTGATCTTTTTCTCGTTCTAAAGCACACTGGTTTTGTGACAGAGAGGATGGTTTATACATACTGTTCTGTCCTGCTGTTGTAGCACACAGGTTTTAGTGTGCCAGATGGCTTCTGACCAGCAGCTATTTTGCAGCCATCGCAGTGACAAAACTCTGAAAAATCGTATTTTCAAGGGCATGGCAAAACACTAGGCATATCACCAGAAGATGGGATAGTTCTGGAAAGCAGGAGATAATGAACCCATCTGACTATCTGCTCCAACAGGCCTCCCCGTAATGGCGAACTCCTGGGAGGTTCTTCCATTTGCTAGCGAACAATCATGGCTGCACTCCATTTGACTAAACTCTGAAACAGAAACATTATAGAGCTGCTACAGAGCTCAGTTCTAGGGCCAAATAATTTCTTAGGCTATCAGTGCAAAGACTGTTGTTCTTCTACAGCATAATAAATTATCCCACGTGGAGACCGCGACAACTGATAACCCTGTCTGCTAGAAGTGAACATGAAAGGCAGCTCATTTATGCCTAAAAGAAGCAGCCACTTTTGTTATCAGCCTGACCCTATACAAGCTGACTTAGAAGTAAGTATCTCTGAGTTCAGTGGGACCAACGCCTAAGAAAGTCCGTAGAGGATTGCAATGCACAAGCCCCCTGAACAATCTGTGGCTTGTTGTAAGTCATTTAAAATGTACTATAAGTAGTACTGCTATCAGGGGCATGGTAAGCAGGAGCCTTCTAAAGGACACAGTGAGACCAAAGAATAAAGCAAGTTTCATAAAATCGCTATTGGCCCTGTTATGGCAAGGATAACATCAAATGCAGAACCCCACTGCCACAAGGAGCTTAGATAATATGGGTTTTTTTTCCCTTTAAAAAGTAATAAACAAATTATTACTGATTTTTGTTGTATGAAAATTCCGAGTAATTGTCTTTGGGAAAATGCAGTTCTTCCCCCCAGTAGGTGCACCATAGCTCTTGCAAATGCCTTCTGGAAAGAAACCCTAGCCTGCTTGCAAAGCCTGGACACTGGCCATGATAACACATGGTGATAAACAATTTAACGTGTGTGTATGCGTATGTTGTTCAACCATCCTTTTAGAAGTGTTTTAATTTTACTTTTTACTTTCTTTAGAGGCTGAGTGCTCCTCCAAGGAACCACTCAACCATGGGAGTGTTCACTAGCCCTCAAAAAGGAAGATGACAAGTCCCAGCAATACCCCACCATTTTCTAAATTTTATGAGTCGGATGTGCAACAAAATGATGTGGTACTGAGAGCCCCTGTTCAGTATTCCATACAATCATGTCTTCTTCTGGGTATTCCATTCCCCTGCCCACCTAGTTTTCAGGATTCCACCCCCCTCCCACCCAAAAAGACACTCAGCATTCTGATTTGAGTATTCTCAGTCCTCCAATGAACTGGAGGTGTTTGTAGAGGGGAGTGTCCTGTTAGGCGCCCTCCCCAAAATATTTTTTGTACTTCTGTAAATCTTGGAGTTCCCCCAAATATTCTCTTTCGCATCGATTTTGCCTATAATTCTGGTCAGTGGCCTAGTTAGCCACTTCGGTGCCCGGGGCAGGGCACACACGAGATGCGGCAGGGCGTGCCAGAATTCCAGTGCCCAGGCCCTGTTCCACTCTGGTGCTCTGCAAATCCACGTTGCTTTTTCGAGCAACATGGAACCTGCTGGGAGTACACCCCCCCCCCCCTTGGCTGTAGAGCCTGCAGGTGCCCGAGCCACCACATCACTCCCAGGAGAGATGTGTGGCTCAGGCGCAGTAAGTGCTGCCCCCCACCCCGATTCTCACCAGCTTTATTTACTATCAGAAGGAATGCTAGGGAAATGCTCTCCCCTCGCTAACACGGTGTGGATCTTTCCCTTCCTGACCCTTGTAAAAACCCATGGTTTGTTGGTAAAACCCAACAGGTTACACCCCCCCACACACACACTATAAAGCGTTTATACAATATTCTGCTGTTGCCAATGGATTAAGGCTAAGGTAAAGATAAGAGCACGCACTGGCTTTGATCATTATGTTGATAACCCCCAAGAATTAACAAGCAAAGCCTCAAACGTGGATGCAGAAGTTTAACTTTTTGTATAAAGTATGAGACCACTTCCCCCAGCAGTGTTCAGGAGGAAACAACTGTCCTATCTTGAAATTTATATACCAACCATACACTACTGGAGTTTTGCAGTTCTTTTTTTTTTTTAATTCAGAAGAAAATAAACTTTACTAGAAAACAACAGTGAGTGGAATTCAAAGTAGTGTTAAGGAGATCGCTCCCATCACTGCAAGTATTTCTGCTTCTCCCTCTCCTCCCCTGCCCCACACACTGTTATGAGGGTTCTCCTCACCTCCCAGAGCCAATTTGGGCAGGGGGTGAAGCTGAGAGAAGCCCTTTTGCATTAGCTGATGTCCTTGCACTGGCTGCTGCTAGTTCTGCCATCCCAATTGCAGATTTGCCTTCCTCGTTATTCCATTTTGTGTCTTTTCCTTTTTTCAAGTAGTTATCTACTTGCCAGTCGAAGTGTTGGAGAGAAAGTTGCTTTGGGATGTTGAGCGGAGATAAATCATATTCCTGAAGGAGACCTTGGGGAGCCTGTTCATCGACAGGCTGGTATGTTACATCTGCTGGAGAGGCGAACGGGTCATGTGTATCAATCTGAGCAGCATGTGATGTTGAGGGTACATGGTTCTCCAAGGCCAGATTCCCCATACATTCACTGCCTACAGAGGAACAAAGCGTTCTTTCTGCATCCCTTTCAAACCAGGACAATGTATTTGTGTGTTTCAATGTCACAGTTGCCTGGCATTTTTGACACTGATTGACACCACTGCCCTTCAGCTGATGTTTGGAAGATGTCATAGATTCAGACATTATTGCTCTCTGGCTCTCAAGGTTTTCTTGTTTTGCCGTTATGTCTTTTTGGTCCTCCTCAACACAGCCAGATTGAGAGCAAGGGACAGCTTTCTCCACGGGCTCCGGGCAGCTTTGCTGGGAAATCTCTGCATCACAGCCATTTTCACTCTCACTGCTACATATTTCTGGGGGGTCAAACAAAACCCCTTTGGGTACATGGTGAGAGATACTCAGTTTCAGCTGTTTTGAGGGCCTTTCCCACTTACTGTTTCCTTGCTGCATGAATATTTTCACTGATTCGGGGACTTTGGACTCCAGTGGTGTGCAGTTTTTAGCTGTCAAGTATTGTTGGAAATACATCTGGCATTCTTCTTTTTTTACCACCGGGATTATAGAGCAGGGCTTTAGCCAAGCTACAAATTCCAGCAACTCTTGGAAAGATGAGTGGTCTGAGTAGGGAACAACGTGGATGTCAGGGTGCTGGAACTTCAGCGGCCGGCTGGTAGGGAGAACAGCTATGGTCGGATGGCTCTGGTTCCAGCAATTCATATTTGCTTGGCGGATTTCTGAAAAATCCACAGCATGAATCCTACCCATTCCTTCCTCAGAGGTGAACACATCCTCCATCTCCAGCAGTTTCATAAGTTCCAGTTTCTGGGGACTTACCACAATCCAGGTGCCAAATTCCTTGGCCAGTTCCACCAACAGCGACTCTTTTCCTAAACTATAAGTACCTAGAAGAGGAGAAAGAACTGTAAGCATTTCAAAGGCCAGACGGCATGAGGCACAGTGAAGTTTATTCAGCAGCTAATAGTACCTTAATCTCAGGGCTTCTGATATAGCAGCAGCTTAGCTGTTACTCTGGAGTTCAAGGCTGCGTATAGACTATATTTTTAAAGCACATTTTGAACACAATCTTTTCCTCAAGAATTCTAGGCACTATTGTTTACCTCTCAGAGAATACAGTGGTACCTCAGGTTACATATGCTTCAGGTTACAGACTCCTCTAACCCAGAAATATTACCTCGGGTTAATAACTTTGCTTCAGGATGAGAACAGAAATCGTGCTCCGGTGGCACGGCAGCAGCAGGAGGCCCCATTAGCTAAAGTGGTGCTTCAGGTTAAGAACAGTTTCAGGTTAAGTACGGACCTCCGGAATGAATTAAGTACTTAACCTGAGGTATCACTATAATTATTCCCAGCAACCCTTAAACTACAGTGCCCAGAATTCATTGTAGGAATGTACATGGTTTAAAGGTATAGTGTGTACATTTTCCAAGTAATTCTACTCTGTCCCCAAGTGAGTGCCTGCCCCAGTGGTTAATGATCCTTGCACTACTAAACCCAGCTATGAATTTATCATCCAGATTTTATGGATTCACATCCTTCAGAGTAATTCATTGTACACGATTGATTTTCACATATGAATTTGGGGGAGATGTGCTTGTAAACCTCACTTGAAAAAGGTAAGATTTCTTTAATGTCCTAAGATTAAGGATTCCCAAACTGTGGCCCAAGGACCACCAGCAGTCCACAAATCCAGGTAGTCTGTGGTATGTCTGTAAAAATGAAAAATCTTTAATTGGTTCATAAAGACCCTCAGCAAATTTCAAGTGGTCTGTGGGGGAGAAAGTTTGGGAACCGCTGCATGAGGTCCATACTTGTGTTCCTTTCTGAACAGCCACTGAAAATTCCAGTGTGTTAGCCAACACAGGGATGGAGAACCTGTTGCTGGACTCCAGCTCCCATCAGCCCAAGCTAGCGTGGCCAAAGATCAGGGATGCGAATTATAGTTAAGCAACACCTGGAAGGCCTTGAGTTCCTCACCCAGTTTAAGAAACGTCTTCCAAACCTATTAGGACTACTTACCAATCTTAACCTGGTGATGGGGGTGGGCTCTGATCACCTCTTTGATCTGTTCAGTGGCCTTTTGCCGGGATGGTATGACAATATCGGGGTGGCAGTTGGTATTGTCCAGGTAGAGGCTGCTGATAAGCTTTGAGTTCTTCAGAGCTGGTTCCTGTTGCAGGCTGGGAGTGTAGCGGAAATCACCTGGTGAGGCACAGATGTCACATACCCGTCAGGGGAAAGCCACTTGAAGGGTTAAAATGGAAATTACGGTTAAAGTTCCAAAGGACTAAGCTAAGGATAAGCCAGCTTCTTTGGTTACTGTGGAAGAAGTTGCTGCAGCAGAGTTTATTATTAACTGTTTCTATACAAATTTCAAGTCTAAAATTATTGCTTTGTTCCTCCTTGTGACACAACCAGAGTGGAAACCCAGCCAGATGGGTGGTGTATAAAAAATAATAGTAATTATTATTATTAACCATGTGTGGCTAGTAGGCTTGGGCAATATATCAATATATTGCCCCGGACCGGTATCAGAAGCAGACTGTGGTGTTGGTTTCACTCAGCGGTATATCGCTGGTGAAACCACCACAGCTCCTGTGTCCCTCTTGTAGCAGCGTCTGATGGAGGGAGTCAAGAGTTCCTTCCTCCCGTGGGCACTGCCAGCAGAGGGACTCAGGAGCAGTGGTGGTTTCACCAGCGATACATCACTGGTGAAACTGCCATCCCACTCTGCCTTCATATGATGGAGAGGGAGAAACAAGGGGGCAAGTTGGAAAATAATGGGAGAGGAGGAGCAGCAGCAGCAGCTGGCTGACACGTTGTCACTAGAAAGCATTCCAGACCCACCATCTCCCAGAACCCGGCGGGCCTTAAAAGTAGGAGAGCAAAGAGCTCAAAGACTGAGGGCACTTAGCAACACCTGTAGAGGAGGTGATGATGGTGAATGAGGAAGTGGGAGAGAAGGGGGGTGGAGATTCACTCAGAACAACCCCATTATCCGTGAGGCTGGGTTCTATAGCCTCTCTCTGTAAAGTCTGAAATAAAAAAGGACTGTAAGAAACTTTCTCCCTCATCTGCCTCTGAGCTGTGACCTGGCACAAATCACTGTCGTAAATCTATACTGTCTTGCTCTTCCTCTTCCCTGGAAGGGTCAGGATGGGAGGCTGTCTCCACCACTCCTCCTCTTCTGTCCAGCCCCCGACTTCTCAACAGACTAACATGGCTACCGGTCCCAGGATATGGAAGGCACATGAGGCCAGCACCTTGCTGAAACTAAGGTCTGGTTGCTACCTAGCTGGAAACCATGTCTTGGTTCCATGTTCCATGACACAAGACAGGCAAGGGGTGTTTCTGCCTATTTATCTCTCTGTGTGTATTTCATATACAGTCATACCTCTTGTTACGTTCGGTTCAGGTTACATCTTTTCAGGTTGCGTCCCACGGCAACCCGGAAGTACCAGAAAGGACATGCAAAATGCCGTCATGCGCATGCGCAGAAGCGGCGAATCGCGACCTGTGCATGTGCAGACGCGGGTTGCGTTCCTCTCAGGTTGTGAATGGGGCTCTGGAATGGATCCCGTTCGCAACCAGAGGTACCACTGTATATATAAGCAAGTAATTTTAAAAATAATTTCTGGAAAATAGGCAAGGTGTTTGTGCTGAGAAACAAATTAAGAGATAGCAAAAAGCACAGAGGTAAATGTTAGATGTCTCTCCTCAACATACCTGTGTAAAGGATGACACCAAAGTAACCTTCAAAAAGGAACATGACAGATCCAGGACAGTGGTTAGCATCTATCAGGGTCACAGTCATAGTCTCTCTCTGCATCTCATCTAAGGCCAGGACATGGCTGTCTCCAACTTCCAGAGGGTGGATCCATTTTTCAGCCACCTAAAAACAGAATGAAGGCATGGCAGAGTCAACTGTAGGCCTCCCCTAAGTTAAAGTGGTGGAAGATCGCACATGTGTGTGTAAAGATCTACCTTCAGTTTAAGATGCAGAATTCGACCGGTAACCGGAGAACAATAAATAGGTCGGTTCCATGTGCTGGAAAGCCCCACTGTATGGTCACTGTGCATGTGAGAAAGAAAGAACAAACGAGCCCTCCCAGCTTTTCTGATATTCCAAAAATCCACCGCAATGGGTGTGCCTGCGATGAGAGTTCCATTCATCGGTCCAGCTTCTGTTAAAAGAAAGGGGGAAATTCTGAATACCAAAAACAAACAAACAAACAACCACCTCAGAAAAGTCAAGGGTGGATGGGGGCCATCAGTAAAACTACTAACGGCCTTAGAACTGGATCAACAAGAAATAAAAACTGAGATACATGTTTTAACAGGAATATAAAGATTCACAAATAAAGAGATAAAAAGAGAGAGGGAGGGGTTGGGATAGTGGTGCTTACAACCTGATCCTTAAATGTATTCAGAAGTCCTACTAAATTTTAGCAGCTGGTAATTACTTAATTTTCTAAATTCAGGGGAGGTTAAAGCAGTGTTTTATCACTGTCTCCTTCAAGCAGGCAGGGACTGCCCTCCCTCACAAGTAGGCATTCATCAACTGCCCTAGCCAGGTGTGCTCCCTCTGCTAGTTTTTATCAGCCACAAGGGGCAAAAGGGCAAGGGGCCAAGTGGTTGCTCGGAATAAACCAAGCACCTTGTTCACATCCTCAAGAGTTAGCAACTAAAACTCATCCAACGCAACAGGATGCAAATGAGTCACAAACCGCTACCTTTGGTAGCTACCACATCCTTCAGGCCAGACTGTGAGAATGAGAAAGGGTGGGAAGGGGACTGGCAGATAAGATTATAAGAATATGAGCTCCATAGGATAGAACTTTGTTAGGCCGTCACACTAGTTTGTATCAATTTGGATTGAGAAGCAACAGCAGGTAAGATGAGGAAGCAGGGTAGTTGCAAGGGGGACTCTAAAATTACAGGAAGGTACTGTACTGGAGTGATTGTACAAAGGACACCTACTACCCTTTGGAACTCCCTGCCTATGGATACCAGGCAGGCACCTTCACTGTACTCTTTTCAGCGCCTGCTAAAAATATTTCTATTTATACAAGCCTACCCAGCTGTTAAGAAAGTTTTAATTTTTTTTAGTCTCTTCTTGTAACTTTCCCAAAGTTTTAAATTATTGTTAATTTTATCGTTTTATGTTTGTAAACGGCTTTGAGGGCGCATACATTTTAATAAAATAATACACGTTTCACATCCGGTCCCAGAAACGCTTGCCCACTTCGCTCCGGAGCTCTCTCGGTGCTGCCTCCCACCCCAAAAACTGTAGCGAGGAGTAAAGGGAGCTTACTGTGCTACTTTGTAGGCCTTCGGCACAGAGAGCAGGTAAAGGGAACGGGCGTCTCCCTCCCGTTGCTAAAATGCTTTGCAGTCAGCGGGTTGAATCGGAGCGCCGGTACTGGAGAGCTGCTTTCATTTTTGCTTGCAGGAAGATCGCCAGGCTCCCCGCCGTTCGGATCTCCCTCTGCACCGTCGGATTTTCCCGCCGAAGAAATCAAAACAACTCTCCCGCTCCCAAGGCGCCAAGGTATTCGTAGAAACACAGCGCTTTCTGCGAAACGGAAACAGGACTGCGCCACATGCTGGTGGAGACCGGCTTGCTAGGAAGCAAACGCCCCGTGTCCTACAGTTTGGGGACGCGCGCAGGAGTAGATGCGCATTTATTACCGAGCAGCCGTTTGTTCAGCTACTCGGTGCGTAAAAGAAATCTGGCTGGGAATTCCGCTGGCTGGAGGCGAACTCCCTTGGGTTATTTTGGGGGACGGGTCCCCTCTGGGAGGGCAAGGAGGGAGCAGCTGCCTGTAAGGAACAATGGAGAAATTGCAGAGTTTTAGTATAGCTGTGGCTTTACTATCCTTGATGGTAACAAGAAGAAGAGACTACGCTTCTTTCTTGAAGCGTTAGTTTCCACCCGCCTAACGCGCCCAGAGTTTAGGCATCACTGTGCCGTTCCGCTCCCATTTATTTCCTAAAGCCTAGACCAACACAGGTAGGCATTTCACAAGGGAGAAGTCTTGCTTCTTCTTCGCCTTCAGGGCACTTCCAAAACAGGAGCCTTTTTCAAAGCCTGAGAAGCCAGCCAGGAAGCCAGCGTGGTTTTAAAGTGCAAGCGAGCTTTCCTCCGCTCGGCTTCGCGCTCGTTCCTGCTGACGCTTTAACCCGGCGCTCATGGAGGCTGAAACCCGGAAGGAGTCGGGAGAGAACCAGGAAGACGCCGGCCCCTTTTGTTGGTCGGTGCGAGACTGAGCAGCCGTAGGCGGGCGAGACTCGCGCCAAGGTACGTGGGGAAAACGACCGACGACCCTGGCCGGAGCCGATGTCCCGACTCCCGCCCCACCTGGCGACTGCTTGCTTCCTTCCTTCTCCTCTCCGGCAAAGCCCAGGGACTTGCAAGTTGACTGCTGCGCTGGAACTGCCAGGCTTCCGAGCGCGGGGAAGGGCTCTAGCCCAAGGCGCACTTTACGCACAAAAGGGTCCCAGGTCAAACCCCTGAAATCCCTAGGTAGAGCTGGGACAGACCCTCTCTTGAAAGCCTGGGGAGCCACTGCGAATTATTGGGCAATAGAACTAGTAGGCATGTTTTGGCTGTATGGCATCTGCGGTACTTCTGAGTGCCAGTTGCAGGAAAACATTGTTTCGTTTCTTTATTATTGCATGCTGCATTTACTCCAAAGAGCTCAAGGCAGCATACGCATTCTCCATTTTTTATTACATTTATATATCACCCTCTGTCTGAAGATCTCGGGGAGGTTCACAAGATAAAACTGCAGGGTAAAAGCACAAATAAATAGAACAAAAGCAGAACATTAACTTCCCCCAAAACACATTTAATCTTTGCATCCCTGCGAGGTTGGTTAGGCTGAGAGAGGGTGACTGGCCCAAGGTCACCCAGTGAGCTTCCTGGATGAGTAGGGACTTGAACCTGCCCACTCCCAACTGGCTCACGATTACTCCAACCCATCTTACTCACTTCTAAGACTGATTCCCAGAATGTGGAAGGATATTTCATGGACTAGAACCTAGGAGGCCAGGGTTAAAAACCACTCTGTGAAGGTCCCTGTGTGACTTTGTCTTGTTGAGAACCTAAGAGACTGCCTTATACTGAGGCAGACAATTTGTCCATCTTTCTCAGTATCATCTGACTGGCAGCAGCTCTCCAGAGTTTCAAACAGAGTTATCTACCAGGAGATGTTGGAGATCGAATCTGGCACCATTTGCATGTGCTCTACCATTAAGCCAGAGCCCTTCCCAATAGTAGGAGAGCGCTGTTGTCCTTATCTTCTGCCACAGTGACAAACAGGTTGCTGTACCAAGTTAGGCCTCTTGTTTGATCTGGCAGGGTTCTTTCTCTGTTCTTACTACAGATTTCTCCACAGTCTTTTCTCCCTAGGTGTTTAGGAGCCCATCAGAGATGCCATACTTAGGCTCAGAGGATACAGTGAAGGAGCTGAAGAGAGCACTGTCTAACCCTCATGTGCAAACTGACCGTCTCCGCTACAGGAATGTTATCCAGCGAGTGATCAGGTCTGTGGCCTGGACTGCTACTTGGGCATTGTAGTTGGGGCTCCCAAAATGCTGGGTGCTCAGATGTGTATGAACTGAGTATCTTGTGACCCTAGTAAGGCTGTTGTTGTTGCCTTATTGGTTAGTAGGTTCATGCTGACATACAATAAAGCCAATTAAAACAACCAAATGCAGACTACTAATTAAACGGAAATGGAAATGAAAGAATTGGTAGTATTAAGCAGTGTTTTAAATTATTCAAATAAATAAAAAATGCAGCCCCGGCACAGAAATTAACCTCACCCATTGCTTGGAAATGAAACAGAAACCTGATCAGAGGGTGAAGACCTTGTACAAGGTAGCACAATTGCCTTTCTCTGTTTGTCTTCTAGTTCCCTCTTCTTATCACTCTGTCAAGGACTAAGTTATATTGTCCATGCTCTAAAAAACAAATAAAAATTCTGCACGTATGTGCCTCAAAGTTCATATGAAATATCACTGAACACAATGATGATGATGATAATTTATTTATTGAATTTATATACTGCACTATACTCAGAGGTCTCAGGGCGGTTCACAGAATAAAATCTAAATATAAAATCACAAAATACATAATCAAAATAAAAACAACAACCCAGTAACCTCCCAATAACCCCACATTTTAAAAGGGCATAGGATGTCAATCAAATCAACCAAAGGCCTGGTTAAAAAGGAATGTTTTTGCCTGGCACCTAAAAGTGTATAACGAAGGCGGCAGGCAAACTTCCCTGGGGAGAGCATTCCACAAATGGGGAGCCGCTGCAGAGAAGGCCCGTTCTGGTGTTGCCACTCTCCTGACCTCTCGAGGAGGCACACGAAGAAGGGCCTCAGAAGATTATCTCAGGATCTGGGTAGGGTCATATGGGAAGAGGTGGTCCTTGAGGTATTGCAGTTCTGAGCTGTTTAAGGCTTTATAGGTCAAAACCAGCAGTTTGAATTGGCCCCAGAAACTAATTGGTAGGCAGTGCGATTGGACCAGGATTGGTGTAATATGCTCAAACTGTCTTTCTCCGGTGAGTAACCTGGCCACTGAATTCTGCACTAGCTGAAGTTTACGAACTTTCAGAGGCAGCCCTACATATAACGCATTGCAGTTATCTAACCTTGAGGTTACTATACATTATATTTGCATATACTTCTTATTTTGCATAATTCTACTTCTCCTGTTCTTAAAAAGAGACTGAGATATGCACAGCCCTGAAACTCACCCCAACTACTGGAGATTCTGTTTGGGTCCCTTTCTGGCTTTTAAGATTTCATTATACCCTTTCAAACAGCATATTGCCAATTTCTTCAATTTGCAGAAACTGTCCTTTAATGGGCACAGCCCTAGGCTGCAATCCTAATCACATTTACCTGGGAGTAAACTGCATTGAATTCAGTAGGATTTATTTTTGAATAGATATGCTTAGGATTGCACTATTAGTTTGGTTTTGTGATGCAGAGATCGAGACATGGATTGCAAATTGACTTATCGCATTAGGCCAAATGCAGGTAAACCTTTTCTCTCCTGGAATTTTACCTGCTAAACTTGCTGCTCTCGTGTGATTAAGAACTGGTTACAGTTTATATATTGTCTGTTGCCATTGTTGTTATATCTTATTGTTTCTTGCCATTATTGTTATATCTTAGGAGTTTAAAGTAGGCTGATACTTTTTGTAAACCACTTAGAAACTCTAACAATTAAGTGGTATACAAATGCTTTAACCGATAATAAATACATAGATGCTGTGCTTAAATACTTTATCTCTTACTTGCAGGCATATGACCCAAGGTGTAGATGTGTCCAGTGTGTTTATGGAGATGGTCAAAGCAAGTGCCACAGTGGATATTGTTCAGAAAAAACTAGTGTACTTGTATATGTGCACATATGCTCCTCTGAAGCCCGATCTGGCTCTTTTAGCTATCAACACCCTTTGCAAAGACTGCTCAGACCCCAACCCCATGGTTAGGGGCCTCGCCTTGCGAAGCATGTGCAGTTTCAGGTAACAAAACTATAAGTGGAGTGGTGCTGCTTGTTTTGGCCTTCGCTACAGGCACTTATGGGGAATAGAACTTGTTTCCTTCAGGAGTGGGAAACCTATTTCAACCCAACGACCACATTTCCTTCTGGGAAACTTTCCTGGGGCCACATGCCCCAGACCAGAAGCAAAAGGAGGCCGAGTAATGATTGTTAATTTTACCTCTGTACATAGCTTAGTTTCAACACACACATCCCACTTTCCTATATCCAGACAAGCAAGAAGTCTTGTCTGTGTTCAAGGGCACATTCCAGCCAGGCAGAAACACTTGAGGATGGTGCAAAGTAGGGCTGCTGAAGGGTGTGGCTGGGGAGAGTCCTTAGGTCCAGATACAGAGGCCTGTGGGCCTGGGCTTCCTCATCCCTGTGGCTTAATGATATGAGCCCCTAAGCATGACCAGTCTTAAGTTTATGAGCATAAATATGGTCCTCTCACTAGTTCTGGGGTGCAGATCCAATGCTTGATGAATGGAAAGGAGGTACATTCCCACACTGCGCTTTGTGTCATCACGAGGGAGGGGTTCTGCTGCCACAGTTCACTGCTCTGTTTGCCAGGGATTAGATGCCACTTTAATTACAAGGTTTTGTTGGGCTGGTCTAGCTAAATCAGCTTTGTGGAATTGTACCGCCAGCTGCATCTTATTAAGCAACAAGGGGCTTCAGGATTATAAATGCTTACTATGCAATAAAGTGTGGAAAGACAAGGAATTAACATGAGAAGTAGTATTTTGGGGTGACTTCCCCCCCCTCCAGCTGACTGAAGCCATTTTAAAGTGGTTTGCGCATAGAACAGAAGTCCATCTCCTTTTTAAAAAATGAAATATTTTTTATTCAGTTTTACTCTACACATTTAAATTCAAACATTAGACATAATCATCAACATTTAGGATTCCCCAAATCCTTAAGACTTCCCTCCACCCTTCCATCGTTTCCATTTTCAATCTTTTTCAACTGCATCTTATATTTTCCTCTATTTTTCTTAAACTAATCCATTTTTACCTTAGTTTTTAGTACATTACAAGCGTTACCCAAATCCTGCCAAAGTTTTTAGCTGTCAGAAGTCCCATTTCCTTGTCTTACCTAACTATTGGAAGCCTGTCGCAAAGCAGCAGTGTCTGTTAATGTAATGAATGGCAGGTTGCAGAGTAACATAAAATACACAAACAAGGATCTAGGAGGAGTCGGAACATGATGGCCCTTTAATATTCCTAGGATGCCCAGCATACAGGAGTATATCCAACAGCCAATCCTGAATGGTTTGCGAGACAAAGCCTCCTATGTAAGGAGAGTGGCTGTCCTCGGATGTGCAAAGATGCAGAAACTGCAAGGGGACTGCGAAGTGGGTAAATATGCATGCTTATTTTTCAGTCTATTTAATTTTTCCCAGACTCACACAAGAATAAAAACGGAGTAATGTCATTTTGGTGCTGTAATGCAGAGACCGCAGCATGACTGCGGTGGCATAGTTCCACTGAGCCCAAAAGCCCTTGGAGGCGAGATACCACTTTAAGAATGTATTTGCCCTGCTGGTTGGAACTCTCCCTATCGCCAGTCACTTGGCAGCAGTACTTTGCAAGAAGTTGGCATGTTATTGAGAGAGTTGAGTTATTTTGTTACATTTGCATGCACATAACACCACCGCTGCTTGCAAGAGGCACTCTCCTAGGCAGATGATTATTGCATTAGAGTTGGGGAAATTCTCTAACTTCCATGCTTTTTACAGATGGCGCACTAGTTAATGAGCTATATAGTCTGCTTCGTGACCAGGATCCTATTGTTGTGGTGAATTGTTTGAGGGCGCTAGAGGAGATCCTGGCACACGAAGGAGGAGTTGTCATCAACAAGCCCATTGCCCACCATCTTCTCAACAGGTAAGTTCTTCCCCCAAACAGTTTGTGAAGTCCATTGTGCTTTGCTTGTAGATTCGCAGAAGTCAACTGCCCAGCAATTGGTGACATTGATATGTCACTCAGCTCTTGCCCTTCTTTTGCTGTGTGAAGTTGCGGAAATGTGTATGAATTGTGTTGTTGCTGTGCATTTGTGCTAGTGTGTGTTTTTGTGTGTGAAGTAAGCCACCTTGTGGATCATTTAAAAAAGGGCATATGTATTTTACATAAGGGAAATGGGTGGTTAAGGGAAATGGATGGTTACCTTGCAAATTCTGATTCTGCTGAATAATACTTGGTTGGCAGTCCAGTTTGGGAAATAGCAGGTACAGCATTGAGAACTTGATGTTGTGGGTCTTGCTAAGAATGAATGATTGGATATTAGCTGAGGAGGGGAAAGGCATTATTTTGAACCTACATTTGAATCTTGGGGGGATTTTGAGATGCCGTTTATAATCTGATGCTAGTAATGTAATGATAAAATAATTCTAGAATTTTCCTATGAAGGTTTTCTTCAAGCATGTGAGTCATTACTTTCTTAGGCCCTGCCCCACAGTTTCCTGCACTTAAATGTGTTGTGCAAGTATATGGGTGTGAAACTAACAAGTATCAGTATCGAAGGCTACTAAATCACTCTTACCTTTTTCTTAGTTCATCTCATGAGGGCATATAGGTATGGAATCTTAGTCTTCCGTCCAATCATTTTGCCTTCTGAAAAACCAAATCTTAATATTTTGGGTTAATTATGTTATTTCTGTTAAATATTTGTGTGGTATTTTGGGGGGTTTTTTATATTGCAAGAGAGTTCTCTGCAGTGGAGAAGGGGTTCTATGAATGGATTCCTTCTCCCACTCACTCTGCTAGGCAAGACCAATCAGAGTTGAACATGTGGACGACTGAGCAGAAGAGCCAGCCTTGCCTTCAGTGCCTTCCTACTCAGTTCCAGCAGGCAACACTGGGATGGAGATCCCCCTGTTTTTTATTAGCAGCAGTTATTTTGGTACCCACCAAACTCTTCAACCTATTTTACCCTCTCTTCTTTTCAGTTCCCTTTAGGGAAGGAAGAGTAGTTGTCACACCTGCTGCAGAAAACCTCTTGTTCTAATTAAAACATAACAAGTAGATAAGTTGAGACTCCTATTTTTGCACGCCTAAATTGTAAAGTAATGTGGAAGTGCAGAATTAGTTTTCCAGCAGGTCTCTCAGACTCTGCCTTACAAGTGGTGGGTAAAGATGCAAATCTAGGAAATAATTGGCCGGCAGATTATGGAAGCCAAGCGAAGGTATTGCAATTAGCAATTCCAATAGCCAGTGTACTGATTTGGGTTTCTTCTCTTGGTAGGATGCCTGACCTAGACCAGTGGGGACAGAGTGAAGTGTTGACTTTCCTCTTGCGCTACAATCCCCGCTCTGAAGAAGAGCTCTTTGACATCCTTAACTTGCTGGATGGCTATCTCAAGAGTAGCAGCTCCAGTGTGGTGATGGCTGCCACGAAACTTTTCTTAGTGCTGGCCAGAGACTTTCCGCACGTTCAGGAAGATGTGCTGGTGAGAGTGAAGGGCCCGCTCCTGTCTGCTTGCACCTCTGAGAGTCGGGAACTCTGTTTCACTGCCTTGTGTCATGTGCGCCAGATCTTAGACAGCCTCCCCGGCCATTTCAGTAGCCACTACAAGAAGTTCTTCTGCTCATATTCAGAACCGCATTATATCAAGTGCCAGAAAATGGAGGTTTTGTGCAAGCTGGTGAACGATGAAAATGTGCCACAGATACTGGAGGAACTAAGAGATTACTGCACTGACGTGTCAGCAGAGCTTGCACAAGGAGCAATCTTTGCCATTGGTAAGTGAGCTAGCAGGATTCCTCCATGCAAATAAATGTTCTCTAAGACTGGGTGACAGAAGGACATATGCTTTATTTGCCAACGCCTTAGAAACTGAGAAAAAGATTAAGACCCTCAGAATAGAAATAAGTGAAACAATCTGTTCCATAGTAGTTTCATGGTTGAAGTCTTGAAGCCATGTAGTCCAAAATAACTTGCTGAGGTTTACCAGTGATTTCAGCAATGCCGCTGAAAAGACAAACATTTATTGCTTCTCTTGATAAAGTTCATCTGAGATTCTTCTGATAATACATGGAATTGAATTCTCAACAGTATACAGGATAACATTACTCATGTTCAATGAGAACTCAACAGCACAGCCCTGTGCATATCTACTCAGAAGCAAGTCAGTGTTCAGTGGAGCTAGTCTGAGGACTGCAGCTTTATTTAACTTTTTAGTTCTGATCTAAGTAGTTGGGAATTTGGGGGATTAGACACAACATTCAAGTCAAGGCTCAACTTGTTGGAATTTGCCCCATTGCTAACAGCAGCATTTCTCTGGCCTGTAGGGGATGTGTTATTCTTCTGAATTTTTAAAATTCTTGGCAATAACCCAATTTAGTGGTATCAGCTTCCTCCTTCTAAGTATTTATGCCCAGAAGTTCTTTGCTGAGTTTCCTGCATTTCAGTTTTATTCAGTCTTCTCCCTTTCTTGCTTTTCTGTTTATGGCCAGGCTACTCTGTCCCTTCTTGGCTGCAATAGAAACTCTGCCCAGGGAGCAGCCAAACTTAACAGTGGTGGGCCACCAACATCCACAGTTCTGCCACTCACGCCTGGAAAAGGGGTGGGGTAGGCAAACAATTTTCTTTAGCAACTGAGCTGGTGCAACGATCAGGCCTGACTTGGGATTGATGATGCCATTGTGTGAGAGAAACAGGGCCAGCTCAGATACAGTGGATTTTGTACCCGCTCATTCTGCCCTGGCCCCAGAGATTAGCAGACCTGGCTAGAGGGACACCTCTGCCAATCAAACCGTCTCGCCCACATGTCCAGCATAAAGGCGATTTGGATTGCAGTGTTAATCTATGAAAAACAGCTTGTTCCCATTTCTTTGAGATGGTCTCTAACAACCTGCTTGTGCCTCTTTTATTGAATTGTTTTTCTTGTTCGTTGCGCACTCTGATCTTGGAGCTGACTCACTTGTGCTTATGTTGTCATATTTCTGTATTAAGACAGGTATTTAGAAATACCAGAACTTCTTGGTGATTCATTAAGTTAAGAAAATGCTTACGACCCCCCCCCCAAAAAGAGTCTTTGCCTTTTTTGTCTCCTAGAAATCTAGGTCCAGCCCCTCTAAAGAATATACTTCCAATATATCTACATACAAGCCTTATTTTTTAGAAACATCTCGTTAGCAAAAAAAATGAAATGAAAAGTGTTCTCTCCTTGATAAATTGATATTTGGGATATGTGAAATTATTCTGTATGGTGCTACAAAAGAGTTGGAACACATTGGATCCCATTCATGATAGTAGTACTGTTTTTTTATTTCCTTTCCCCCCCTTTTATTTGTTTATTAAAGATTTTGTTGATTTACAAAAGTGATAGTAGTACTGTTGATCCATTCCAGGCAGGGAGATAGAGCTTCATTCAGTGCTAGTCTATACATCACCGGTGGGGGTACTAATGGTACTAGTTTGGGCTACTGAGTCTGAATAGCCGGCTACTTTGTTTGGGCACAACAGTGTTCCAGGGACACTTCCCATCTTCCTGGCTGAGTGCTCAATCACCAAACTGAAAACAAGGGCAGCTTGGGTTTGAGAAGTAATTTTGACTGAAGAAAGAAAGCTGCTTCTTGCTCCATCTCAACTCTCATAGAGGGAATATGTTGCAGTGGTGCTACTTGGATAAAAGCTTAAGTTGAAGCTGCCTAACCAAAGCTTGGGTTGTTTTGTGGACTTTACAGGTAACATTGCAAGGACCTACACCGAGCAGTGTGTGAGGATCCTAACAGAACTCCTTGAGCTGAAGCAGGAACATATAACTTCAGGTAACTATCTCCACCCTTCTGATTGAGATTTGGTTTCCGCCTTACCATTCGGTGGTCTACAGAACACAACTGTGCTATCTCCATTGCAGTTTATATCACTGTAGCATTCCTTACTTGTGCCTCTTTCATGTGATCACTCTTTGCTTCCTTTTCTTCAAATTATCACCTGCTTACAGATGCTGGATCGATTAGACTTCAGCCCACATTGGCATGCTTGTAAACTGGAAAACAGTGTTTGCTGTATCTGGGTTGTGTGAAGAATTGTTTGCTTGAAACAAATACCCCAAACCATGCAGATGAAACATGAAAGTGTTCGTAAAGCTAGAGCAGAATGCTATGGCCAGGATAATTTCCGTACACCAGTGTTGTAGATTTGTAAAGATTTTGTTTTTCTGGCTAAAATGTTTGTAAAAGTTGGAAATTATATATATATATATATATATATATATATATATATATATATATATAGTTTACAGCAGGTGTTTCTAAGTTGTAACAGAGATGGTGCCTGCTGTATCTCTGTTGGCAGAGCATTCCAGAAGACTGATGATGCTAAAGGCTTGGTTTCTTGCTGTCAAATGCGCCTTGCCAACTCAAGGAACTTCGGCTCCCATTACATGTCAAAGAAATCAACAACTATATGACTTTCCATAGACATCTGAAGGCAGCCCTGTAATGGGAAGTTCTTAATGTGTTTTTATTTTCTGATGGAAGCTGCCCAGAGTGGCTGGGGCAACCTAGTCAGATGGGTGGGGTACAAGTAATAAATTGTTGTTGTTATCTGAGTGTGTATTAATCTTGCTTGCTATGGTTTTGTGTTTAACTGTTTCCTTCTGGTTTTTAATGTCTGTTTTTTAAGTATTGAAATTGTTACTTTTGCGAACTGCCTTGGAGACCTCTGTTTGGGCCAAAAGCTCATATAAATTGTTCTCATAAATATTTTCCCCCCCCACATTGTAGCTGTAGTTCAGGTGTTCCGGGACCTGGTGTGGTTGTGTCCGCAGTGTATAGAGAATGTGTCCCAGGCTTTGGGTGGCTGTGAGGAGACCATCCAGGACAGTGAGGTAAGGGGAGTGTCTTTTTGTGTATGGCAGAGAATGGTACTGATGGAATGACTCAGTTGAGGGCCTGTTAGAGTCTTACATGAGCCAAGAGAGTTGTGAAATGCAACTTGGAATCTAGAATTGTCCATGAAAACCCCTTAAGATTATGCTATTGGGAAATCCAAGTTCTAATTTCAAAACATTCTGGGATCGTATCAGCCTGCCTTCTGTCTTGTAGGAGGTCTGCACTATGTCTTCCTTCTTAGGTGAACTGTGTATATGTGGTCTATTTGCAAAAAAACTATGGCGCTTCAACTTGTATTGTGCTCCAGAAATGTAAGGTGAGCTGCTCCTGTACAGGAATGTTTCCATGTTTCTCTTCTTTTCCGGTTCGGTCAAGGTAGGGCTCCTGATCAAACCATTCTAGAGTTATGCATTGATATGAAAGCAAAGGACCAAAAGGGGTATCCTTCCATCTTTTGTTAAAGTGAGAAAGCAGGGAGGAAAATCTTTAGCATTTGGCTAACTCAGAAGCTGTTGGCACAGCTAGGTGTGCAGGAGCAGGCAGGCAAGACAAACGCTTTATTGATTCAGTAGTGTGTAAACTTAAACTGGGTGAAGGGGTAACCATAGGACAGAGTTGCATTTTGCAACGTGGATACACTTTCAGAATCTTCAAATCAAAAGGGCTTCAGTATATGGGATTTGAATTACTGGGTGAGGCAGCCTCTGAACCCGCTTCACTCTGCAGGGATCTGCTCAACCCACCACTCTCTGTGACGGTCTGTGAACACTTATGCCACTAGCTCTTGGTGGTATAAGTAAGGGGTTCTAAGTGAGATAGTGTGGCCCTGTCTGTGAAGTATTCTGGTTTTTTCTCAGGGCAAGCAAGCACTGATCTGGCTGCTGGGCGTACATGGAGAGAGAGTCCCCAGTGCCCCCTATATTTTGGAGGATTTTGTAGAGAATGTGAAATCAGAGACCTTCTCGGTTGTGAAGCTGGAACTGCTAACAGCTTTGGTGCGGCTCTTCATAAGACGTCCAGCTGAGTGCCAGGACATGTTGGGTCGATTGCTCTATTACTGCATAGGTAAGTACAAGCCTTCCAAGATGTCTGCTGTATTATGAAATAGGCCAATGCATCTCACGTGAGGATGAGATGTACAGAGAATTGTCTGACAAACTCTGTAGTTCTTTAAAAATGCATAGATTTCAGTGTTAGACTGGTGTATGTTGAATCATTTCTTTCCTTGCTTCCCTTACTGCCAGTATCTTATACCCAGAGGTGGTAAGGGGAATCGCACACTGTATAGAGTCAGAGGTCTATGCAGCCCTTTGGCATGGAATCACTAGGGGCTGTGATGAATAAAAAGTCTGTGTCGTGGTGAGCAATAAAAATAAAACAGCGCATCTTTATTTCATCCAGAGGAGGAGAGAGACATGGCAGTTCGGGATCGTGCTCTCTTCTACTATCGTCTTTTGCAAGCTGGCATGGAGGATGCGAAAGGGATCCTTTGCAGCCCTACATCTGATCACTCTCTGAGGTTCTTGGAAGGGCAGGCTGAAGGCTCTGTGAATGCGTGGGCCTCTGACTTTAACTCACTAGTGCCTATATATGGCAAAGAGCAATGGGCAGCCATGACAGCCAGCCGGGTTACTGGCCTTCCCCATGCAGATTCTCCCTCTGAAGATCCCACAATGGTGGATGAAGGTAATGGATTCAATTGGCCATTTCTCTGGGCCATTTCTCTGTTTTCCTGAATTAAAACCAGACCCTCCGTTGAATGATGATGCTTTAGGCATCTGACACTGCTTGCTTGATGCTTTTCTTTTGGCCTGCTCAGTATGGACTGTGAAGTGTCTTACAGTTCTGATGTTCATGCTGGGATGTAAAGTGATCTGTGCTGCCTAACTCTGGCTTTTGTTTCCTCTTTTTTTCAGAGCCCCTGATACCAGAAAAGGAAGAGGAGGTTCCTTCTGTCGACACCAGTTCGAGCAGCCTGATTCTCAGACCAAGCATGTGCATGACTGCCGAGCAGTTTGAGAGGACATGGCTAAACCTGGGTTTGGGCTGCCAGCAAGCTGTTCCCTGGCAGGAAACTGTGCAGCCAGACACTGTACAGGCCGCACTTCAGGTTGTCCATATCCAGACTATTGCTATGAGCAAGGCTGGGTCACCGCTGTGGAAGGCCTACCTCGTTGCCCAGGATGATACAGGCTGCCTTTTCCTGACAGAGCTACTACTTGAAGTGGGGGCTGCAGAGATGCAAATGTTGGTGAAGCAGAGTGAAAACAAGCCAGAGGCACTGCAGGCCTTCATCTCAGTCTTGAAGACTGTGTTGGGAACAGTGGCAGGATTGACGTCCTGATTCTTTCAGACCACTGATACGGTTCATGAATAGGATGAGACTTAAGTCTGTTTGCATATGTCGTTCTTCAAATTATGCTGCAGCTCTTATGAACTGTTTGTACAGGAGAGGAATGCTTCCTCACAGGCTGAGCGAGATCCAGATGCTCAGTCCCACTCCCTTATCTTGGAATATTTTGGTGGGAGCTGCTGCTTGGCTTGACACCAGAGAAGAACAAGCAAGACGGCGGGGAATGCTGCTTGAAGAATGCTGGTTTTATGTTACTTTGGTTCCCGTAGTGGATTTGAGTGATTTTTATTTTGAGAATCTTTTGTAAGCTGCCTTTCAGAGTGGATTGGGCCTACTTTGGATAGTTTAAAGGGGTCAGCACATTCCCATCAATGGGTTTGATGCATCAATCATCTTTAAAGTGCTGAAGGATCCTCTTTTAAGACTTCCTTTTCTCCTCATTCCCCCACCAGTCTCTACTCCCCTGAACTCTATTCACCCATTAATGTTGCAGAGCCAGATGTTTCCTCAAAGAATTCAGAATTGATAGAAGGGGATGAGGAATATTTAATCAGAATGAAATGTGTACAGAAATGGTGCACTATGATAGGTACGTGGTCACAGCCCTGTGGTATCAATTGTAGAACCTTCCGCAAAGGTTATGCACATTTTTTAGCGGAAAGAATTGGAGGAACCGTTTAAATGGGAAGCTTGAGTGGGAAAGAAATGGAAGGGGGAGGGGGAATTTGAGGTACACACACTTTTGCACAAAAGTACAGCGGTCTAAATAGGAACATGTATCCCTGGGTCGGATTATCTATTCTAAGATAAATATATCCACTCTTGCAGTTTTACCTGAAAACTTCATGGCTATGGTTTGAGCACAATTTACACATGTCTATTAAAAAACAAAAGGAAAAGACTAACTCACAAATGACTCTGGATAAAGCATTAAAATCTCATAGTACAGTAGAACATTACTGACTACATGGTGGGGGGGGGGGTTTAAAACCAGGCCAGGAAATACTGAACAACAAAAGTAATTATAATGATATGGGGTTGCTCGTGCGTAAGTTGCCGCCTCTCCTGGCTATGTTGCCTTGTTAAACCTTTCTGTCTGGACAGTCCTTCAATTCGTGGCTGCCTCAGTCGCTAGCAGAATCCGTCAGTGGGCGTTTCTTAAACCTTTTCCAACATAAAAGTTGTTTGACACCCAGTCTCCTCCTACTTTCTCTGCGCGGAAGTCTTCTGCGCAGGGAGGGCGTGGGTAGCGGAGGACCAGTGCTCTCCCCGCTGGTGTCCGGTGAAGAGTCTGGGAGCCCTCTCTCCGATTCCCCATCTGCCCCTCCTTATTCCTGGTGTTGCACTGAATTGCTTCCCCATCTGCTGAGCTGCCTCTCTCCCTGCTGGGCCCTTCTCCAGCATCATTAGAGAGCCTCCCCTCCACCTCTAGCTCCGATGTCAGTTCCCTGACAGTAATAAATGACTGGTGGTGGTAAGACATGGTGGTAAGATTTATTTGGGATCTTGAAAGCCTCCTCCGGCTGCGCAATCATATCCATTCCTAGGAGTAAGCCCTGTTGAACTCATTGAGGCTTACAACAGTGTACACATGTGGGATTGCGTTGTTGTGACACAGAACAATTAGTACTAAACAGAGTTCTGTATTTGTATTTGCACTCCAAACTTTACTCATTATAGATGGAAATTGATATATAAAATGAAACATAAATCTCTTGTTTAGTGTACTGTGCTAGTCTTTATCTGCTCCATATGCACATTTTGTTCCTCCATGTCTAACATACTATTTGGTTTGGAAAGTTGAGAAGAGTGATATATTTAGGGATACAGTATTATATTATATCTAGGAAATCCTTCTTTGTTTTGCAGGAAACAAGTAAAAATACTATAATGAACAGAATGTGAGAAGCTAATACATAGTCAGTTGCCATGCACATAACTATAGTTGCTCTTAGAAGAACTTCACTGAGGTTCTGGAAAAGAGGAAGAGAAAGCCGTACTAGACTTTGCTCCCTCATGACTTCCTTGTGGTGACTTTTACTGTTTAAAGCAGATAGCTATGCTAATACTGATATGGGTGTAGCTGCAGCTGCAACACAAGAACAAGCTTCCTCTTGTAATGTAGCCTGGTCTGAGGAGAATCTAGCTTTAATATATTCTGGCCTGCTAGGAGGCTGGGTGCTAGAAACTTTACATGCGCAAACTTGTGCAGCCATAGGAAGAACAACTGGTGGAAAGCCGTGGCAGCAACTTGTGTTTCGAATAGAGAACAGCTAACATGAAGGACTCTATGACTTTTGAGGAACAGGTGGAGCAGATTGCAGAAGCACTGCTTGCTGACTTCCCGGGGCAAAAATCAAAAGCAGAATTTCGTGTCCTACATTATAACGGTCCAAGTGTGCGTTTTGAAGGTAAGAATATTTGTTCATGGAGAAGTATGAACCCCTCTTCTAGAGCTGTGTAATCAGGAACTGATGATTAAAATTACATGCAAGCAAAGAGGCTTGGTTTAAAAGTTCAGCACTTCCGTGTTAAGAGCATAAGGAAAGTTCTTAATAAATCCTTATGTTGTAGTGCATTGCAGCTAGAATTGCCGGCTAGTTTTAAGACACTTTAGCTGATTAGCCATCTGTTCACTGATTAATGCACTAAATACACTTTTATTTCCAAACTGAAATTTCAGTAAAGATCTCTTTCTAAGAGATTGAAACGAGTCTGTGATAACAGACCTCTAGTCAGAAGAAAAGGGCATATTAGATAAGCATGTATTTTAGTTCCGCTTTTAGTAAATCGGGGGGGGGGGAGGCGATGGTCACCTCCAGGCTTGACTACTGTAATTCGCTCTACGTGGTGGTGCCCTTGAAACTGTCCCACAAACTCCAGCGGGTGCAGTATGCTGCAGCAAGGCTCCTCACAGGGTCTCTGCTGTGGGAGCATATTAACCCAGTGCTTTACCAGTTGCAGTGGCTCCGGGTAGAGTATAGGGTCTGGTTCAAGGTGCTGTTTTTGACCTTTAAAGCCCTTTGTGGCTTAGGGCCCTCGTATTTACGGGACCGCCTCTCCTGGTATGCCCCGCAGAGGACCTTAAGGTCCATGAATAACCATAGTTTAGAGGTCCCGGGCCCAAAGGAAGTCAGACTATCCACCACCAGGGCCCAGGGCCTTTTCAGTGATGGCTACGACCTGGTGGAATGCTCTGTCCCATGAGACTAGGGCCCTTCAGGATTTAACCTCCTTCCATCGGGCCTGTAAAACAGAGCTATTCTGCCTGGCTTTTAATTTGAATTCAGCCTGATCTTTTATTTCCCTTCTCTTCCATCCCCCTCCCCTTTTATGAAGATTACCCTTTCTGAGACCCCACAGCTAATTCTCCCCTGGCCTCCTCGCTGGCCCAAGTAGGACTATTTCAGCCAGCTAGCCCTGGGGATTATCTAATGCTTATTAGATGGATTTCCCCGAAATGTATTTATGAAGTTTGAATTTTATTGTTATTCATGTTTTTATACTGTATTTTATGCTGCTTTTACAATTAAGTGTTTTAAATTTGTTGCTAGCCTCCCTGAGCTCAGTTTTTGAACTGGGAAGGGCGGGGTATAAATAAATTTTATTGTTGTTGTTGTTGTTGTTGTTGTTGTTGTTATTCAGTTCTGTCTGAACCTTTCAGTCCTACTGCTTTAGCTGTTAAAACGTTTAGCTGGTTAATAGTCTGCTAACACTTGCAGGTACAATAAGAGTTTGTTGCTTTGCTGCCAGAATGCCTGCTACGAATGAGGCTTGGTTTTGCATTGCTGTAGTAGCAGTTTGATATTAAGTCAATGGTTAACACTGAAGTTTGTTTATAGTATTTATTCCTTGTTCTTCATTACAGAAGGATTTTCTGAGCACCTTAAAATATGCCTGTGCCCATATGTGTGTGGGGGGGGGCTATTTCACACAGGTAACAGATTCAGTTTCCCCATGTGTGCAATTATGCAGGGGTGTTCACAGAGAAGTAGTTTTTTAAAAAATGCCTCTGAGTTCTAAACCAATGTTTCCCATCCACACTAGTGGATAGTCTGTGATAGGGTATAGCCGCATGGTATGTACATGTCCTTATCCCCTCGATTATTACCCACCCTAAATTACAATTTTTTTCCAAATTGTATGCATTTACCAATGCATATAGCGTACTTTCCCATGTATAAGAAGAGGTTTTTTTATTTAAAAATTAGGTTAAAAATTGGGGGTCATCTTATACACGGGTAGTGCATAGGGGCGATGTGGGATTGGTTGCTGCCGTGAGCAGAAGATTGTCAGCGGCGATTGGGCGTGTTATTGGTGGCTGTGGCAAGGGCTAGTGTTGATTGGCTGTCGCTGCAGCGATTGGGCGGGCGATTGGTGGCTACTGCCGGTGAGGGGACAGATAGGTCGCTTTGGCAACGCATGCGAGTGGCCGCATAGGTCAAGCAGGTGAGCAATTTTCGGCAATCCCCCATAAAAAAATCTCCACAACTCTGGGCCACCCCCCCCAGCTGAACAACTCTGGTAAATCTCCCCCCCCATTTTCTTAATTTGGAGTCCCCAAAAATAGGGGGTGTGTTATACACGGGGGTGTGTTATACAACAGGAAAAATTCTCAGCAGGTGCACAAGAGCACATGTTAGCAGCGTATTTTACAACGGGCAAAATGAAGGTTTGTGAATTGGGGTGGGGTGAGGAAAACACTCACAAACATTTATAACCTGTCACTGAAAGCAGATTCCTGCCGAAGACTGTTCCCGGATCTGTCACCAGAAAGCTGGCTAAGGAAGTCTGCCTGCTTTTCTGCTTCCTCTGATATTTCCCCACTTCCAGCAGAGGATGGCGCTCTAATTAACCCATGGCAGGATGTAACTCAGGTGTTTTGCAGGTAATTAAAACCTGTTAGGAGACGGCAATCTTTAACATTCCCCACGGTGGAAACTGTCCAAGGCTGTTTCTCCTTGAAATTCAGTCAAAACCTATGTGCAAATACAAGATCATTTCATGTATTGCTCTTCTGTGTAATGACTGCAAAGATGACACCAGGTGAGTTGGGCGGTTGTCATGGTTGCTTCTTACTTTATTATGAGCAACCCAAAAAGGAAAGGCGTTGGTAGCATAGAAAGTTACAATTGCCATGTCTTTTGCCAGGCCCACGTCCTTCCCTGCTTGCCCGTGCTACAGCTCAAGGCAGTAAGACAAGAGATGAAGTCCATCAACATCAAAGTCAGACCTCACACTTTCAGGGTAACGTACATATCATTTTTTAGGAACCTTATGCTGAAGTAACATAGCACAAAGTAAGCTGATGCTACCAGAAGAGCAGTGCTTTACTTATTATGCAGCACAAATTCAGTTTTCGGCACATAACTTCCTGCGAAGCAGAGAGTTTTGTCTGAACATCCTCTTTGTCACTCTAAAGCTTAGCACAGTTCTAAATACTAACACTCAGTGCGTTTGGACATGGGAGGAAAGTCAGCCCAAGCTGGGCACTGGGAATTCACTTATTCAGTTTATATCTCTCCTTTCTTCTGAGGAGCTCAAGGCAGTAAACACGGCTCCCTCACCCTCCAAATTTTATCCTCACAGCAATGCTGTGAGGTAGGGTTGGGTCGAGAAATGGCAGGTGTCCCAAAGTCAGCTAGCAGAAAATTGAACCTGGGTCTCCCCAATCCCTGCTTCAGCACCCTGCTCAGTATTCCATACTGGCTCTTGAAATTGCCATGTAAGGCAAGGTCTTTACGCTCACTGGAATGCAGGAGTATTTTAGTATAGGGGATGTGGTATCACCCTTCCTGATTGAAATGCACAGGGAGATCCTGAGATGAAGAATGAAGTCAAGGAAGCACCCAAAAGAGGAAATGTTGTAGTAATGGGTGGCTTAAACTACCCTCACAGAGACTGGCCACATATATGTTAAGTCACGACAGGCACATTAAATTCCTTGATATCTTATTGATCATGGAACCGTCAGGAGATGTGGTGATGCTGGACCTAATCTTGATTGGTGCCCAGGACTGGTGCAGGATATAATGGTTGAGCCATTTTATTTTATTTTACCCTGGCCAAGACTGGGCTCAGGGCGGCTAACATCAGGTATAAAAACAATTGATTAAAATACAACTTAAAAACAAGATTAAAATACTACTTAAAATGCAGCCTCATTTCAGTGGAAGTCCAGATCAAAAACTGTTTGGGGGGGAGAAAATGTCAAATCTTCACCAAGGCCAACTATCCAGACTGGTCCTACATGGGCTAGAAAAGCCAGGGAAGTCCCCAAATAGGGGTTCCATCACAGAAGGAAAAGGAAAGAGGGGGAGGGGATCAGGCTGATTCCAAGCCAAGGGCCAGGCAGAACAACTCTGTCTTACAGGCCCCGCAGAAAGAAATCAGATCCCACAGGGCCCTGGTCTAATGAGACAAAGCGTTCCACCAGGCTGGAGCCAGTGTTGAAAAGGTCCTGGCCCTGGTTGAGGCTAATCTAACTTCCTTAGGGCCCGGGACCTCTAGGGTGTTGCTATTTATGGACCTTAAGGTCCTCCATGGGGCATACCAGGAGAGGCGGTCCTGTAGGTACGAGGGTCCTAGGCAGTTATTTGGGAGCAGATATTATAGTGCTATTAAATTAAAATTCATAGAAGACATTCATATAATTGTAGAGTTGGAAGGGACCACGAGGGTCATCTTCTGCAACCTCCTACAATGCAGGCATCTTTTGCCCAGTGTGGGGTTTGAACTCATGACCCCAATATTAAGAGTGTCATGCTCTACCAGCTTAGCTATGTATGTAGCCATATGTTGTAAATGGCCAGTTGCAAATAAAATATGACATGGCCGCATCTGATTTCAGAAGAGGAAGCTTCCCCAAATGACAAGATTGCTAAACAGGAAAGTCAAAGGCAAAGTCATGAGGGTCAACTCTGAAATACTTGGGAAATAATCCCTGCCAAAGGAGGAGGGAAAGGATAGCTATGCCACCATGCATGCATAGGGGCCTTCTGGAGTTCACTGCACCAAGGATGATGGTCCTTGATGTCATAAGGGCCAGAACATGCACATACCCTTGTGTGGTCTGGTCTACAAGAAGAGGGAGCCTTTTGACTTGGGATTCTCATGACAGCATGGCTAAGGCTGGACCAGAAGAAGTCACTGTCACCCATATCACACAGTAGCAAACTAATGTGCATTTAAGGAGAAGCTGCAACATACAAATGTTCATTGTTCCTCTAGGCTTTATGGATTTTATTATTATTTGGGAACAGCACTGTAAAACTGGGTGGGCAAAAGGTAGGTAATAGGTCTCTGGGTGGTTTGCAGCAGATCACCAAGGATTTCTGACACTGAACTGTATAACAACACATGTTGTTGTTTAGTCGTGTCCGACTCTTCATGACCCCATGGACCAGAGCACGCCAGGCCCTCCTGTCTTCCACTGCCTCCCACAGTTTGGTCAAACTCATGTTTGTAGCTTCGAGAACACTGTCCAACCATCTCATCCTCTATTGTCCCCTTCTCCTTGTGCCTTCAATCTTTCCCAACATCAGAGTCTTTTCCAGGGAGTCTTCTCTTCTCATGAGGTGGCCAAAGTATTGGAGCCTCAGCTTCAGGATCTGTCCTTCCAGTGAGCACTCAGGGCTGATTTCCTTAAGAATGGATAGGTTTGATCTTCTTGCAGTCCATGGGACTCTCAAGAGTCTCCTCCAGCACCATAATTCAAAAGCATCAATTCTTCGGCGATCAGCCTTCTTTATGGTCCAGCTCTCACTTCCATACATCACTACTGGGAAAACCATAACTTTAACTATCTTAATTCTGGCTTGGGATTCATCCAGCCCAGACTTTCGCATGATGAATAACAACACATACACCACCCCAATCAGTTTGCTGGAACAAAGAGGGGAAAACAGTAAACGGATTTTTGTGTGTTGGGAGTATGACCTGAATTCTAATCCTGAAAGCTATTTTGTGATGCAAAATACATTTAGAGGTGCATTATCTCTTAATTCTAAGTGTATGTCTGCCCTTCTTTTGTATTTGGCGCCAGCTGGTAGACATCTGAGTTTTGGGGGTGAGGGTGGGGGGAGTGGACCCACTCCTGTTACAAGAGGAGAGGAAGTTGGTGTCTGCTTAGAGATGCAGGAGCTAATGTTTCCTAACAGCCTGCATCCCTGCCAGAATATCAAAGCGAGGTATGATGACTAAAGATATATGGGCTGGACAGCTGCAGGTTGAGTGGAAATTTCTCTCTAATACATGTAAGATAAAATAAACCTTTTCCAGCCTCTCCACCTCACCTTCCATGCTTGCTGCGTTCTCTTTCCCCCTCTGTTCTGAGTAATCTTGCCTTTTTCACTATGTGTTCTTTGGGAAAGCAGTTTTGTGTAGCCCTTTCAGACGGTGCCTAAAGCTGTCTGGGTTACGCCTAGATATAATTAATATTACTAGAATGTTACTAGGACTTAAAACATAAGTCTCTGTTTACTTTCTTCCAAGGTGGAGGTGGTGCCGCAAGCCCTTTTGACCCAGTTCCTATTGCCAATACACTGAGACGCCTAGGAGATCAGTTTAATGCAGACTTGGAGAGACCAGCGCAGGAGATCATAGAGGCAGAGGTAATATACATTCCTACCTCTCCAACAAAAAAACACCACCTCAGTCTCTGCTCATAGGGAACTTCCCAGCTCTGAATAAAAGGGGGTGCATGCATGACACACGTGTGACGTGATTATGTCTCGCATGCTGGCCCCCTCAATCGTGGGGGCAAGCCGGCTCACCTGAGAGTGTGTGTGTGTGTGTGTGTTGCATATTACAGCTGCTTCCCCAGTGTATTGGCCCTTTATTTTGCTGTCTTGTGTGTACTGTATGTTAGAAATTTCCATTCTCTGTTTACAGGGAAGGAAATTCAAAGAAAACGTCGAGAGTCTCAGCAAGACCTGGACAATTCAGAACCCTGAGCTGGAATATGAAAAAGCTTTCCTAGTTGTCGCTGTAAAGTTGTTTAGATACATTGCAAAGAAAGCTCATGGTGTAGCCCAGCCGCGCTTACTCACAGAGGCAATCAACGCAGCTCCGGAAGTGAGACACTATATTGAAAGGCAAGGTGGCTGGGTGAGTTAAGTTAGCATTTGGCTACACAGTCCAACCATCTCCATTCAGCAGTTCACCCAGTAAAGTGTAAAAACTCCAACACTTTCTCAATACAGTTATGTATTTTAGTTTGTTTTCAAGATTTATTTCCTGCCTTTCAGTCGGAAAACCTTTAAGGCAGCTTACAAGGATTAACAGGCCACCAGGGCTGACCTAAAATCTCCAGGTTTGCCTGGTTCCCTCCAGGTGGCAGAGGGAAAGGTTTCAATCCCCAGGTGGGTGAGGGTGCCTTAAAAATAATAATAATGAAGAAGACTATGCATGTAGCTTGTAAGCTTCAGTCCAGCTAGAGCTGGCTGCAAATTACTACATACATTCTAAGGCGGTGGTCTGCTCTCTTCCTCTCCCTCTACCAATTAAACTCTGTCTCCAGGGCTCAGTGGTGGGAAGAAGAAAAACTAAGGGCTGCCTCCATGACATCACCTGGGGTCGCCTCTAGGTCTCAGGTTTGAGCCCTGAAATCTTAGGGTCTGGGATGCTCTTGACCTGGCAACCCTACAACTTACAATTTATTTATTTTTATTTATTAAATTTGTATAGTGCCCTTCATCCGAAGATCACAGGGCAGTTCATAATATAAAAATACAAAATGAAAACACAAAATACATTTTTTTAAAAACCCAACCAATATCCCCCGCAACACATTTAAAAGGACATAGAATGTTAATCAGCCGTACGCCTGGTTGAAGAGAAACGTTTTTGTCTGGAGCCTAAAGATATGTGATGAAGGCACCAGTCAAACCTCCTTGGGGAGAGCCTTCCACAAAATGGGGAGCCACCACAGAAAAGGCCCGACTTGGTGTTACCACCCTGCAGCCGTCTCATGGAGGAGGCACATGAAGAAGGGCCTCAGAGGATGATTGAAAGGTTCCGATCAGTTCATCTGGAGAGAGACGGTCCTTGAGGTGTTGTGGTCTTGATCCATTTAAGGCTTTATAGGTCAAATCCAGTACTTTGAACTAGACATGGAAACTGATAGGCTGCTAGTGCATTCAGGCCAGGAACAGTGTAATATGTTCCAGTGTGCAACCTGGCCACGGAATTGCATATCAGCTGACGTTTCCAAGTCTCCATAGGAAGCCTGGTGTATAATGAGTTGAAGTTATCTAACCTAGAGATTACCAGAGCATAGATGGCAATAGTTTGCAATAGAACAGCGCCAAATTTAGGGCAGTGTGGGTGGTTCTCCCGCACAGGGTGCTGAGCTAAGGGGGCAAAAAATAACATTAATAACAATAGTAATTATATATTTTTGGAGGTACATACTGAGAAGATCTATTAAAAAGCATATGTGCCAAAAGGAATTATTGTGAAAATAAATATTATGGGGTGCCACCAAATTTTGTCCTTGCTCAGGGTATTGTTTTATGAAAATCTGCCCCTGCAACAGAATAGAACAACACACACAAACACAGCTGATGGATGGTAACAGTATAATTCCAGGGCAACTGGCCGTTGGAGCTGGGAGGAGGGGAAGCAAGATCCCTGCAGCTGCTCCTTCTCTGTCTGATGTATGGAAACAGGATAGCCTATTCCTAAAAAGAAGAGGGTGCAGCCCCCACAATGGATGGGTGCTGTTGTGTTTAGAGGCCTGGGCCACAAAATATAGATGGAGACGATGTTTGCTAAATCAATAGCTTATTGTAGAGCACTTTCCCTGCTCACAGAGGAGTTCTTGCTTCCAGAATTGCCATACATCCTGGGATGGAGCAAGCTGTGTTTAGACCAGAGCATTCTGTTCTGAATCAGGAATGGATCTGCTCAAACTTCACAGGCCTGCCCCCCCCCCCCCCATTTTGTCTGCATGCCCAAAGGGCCGGATTTATGTTTGATGAGCCCTAAGCTACGGAAGGTAATGGGGCCCTTTATATGTCCAGCTGTCCTTTGTCAACAACAAATTGTCACTGTTTTTTGTGCTGAATATATGCTATATGGTAATTTAATAAACACAAAACACTATTGCTGTATGTAGGTTTTATTTTATTTGTTTTTATCTTATATTTTGGAAATGTACATCCAGGTTTTTTTCCTTTACATTTTTTTGGGGGGCCCCAAGAGAGTGGGGCCCTAAGCTATAGCTGGTTTAGTTTATACGTAAATCTGGCACTGCATGCCCCCATTACTCCCAGTATTTCTTTCACACCTTGTCTCTGTGTGATGGGATCTTTACAAGGTGCCTCTAAGTTAGGTCTTTTATTTCCATTTGCTGATTTTTCTTCATTTTTCCAATTAATACCTTCTTTTTTCATTTTAGGAGAACCTTGAAAACAGAAGAGGACAAAATAATCCCTAATATATCACTTTTAATAAAATATGCCTAGCTCTGTTTTGCTACTCTAAGAGAAATGGAGCTGGAAAACTTTCCTGCACTAGAATTGCACTCAACCTACCTTTATTTTGTTTTGTTTTAATTTAAATCACCAAATAAAATAAAATGATGATGTCTAGATGTTGTGTGCCTTCAATGATGCCAAAAGTCACTCATGTGACCACACTTCCGCACAACATTCCATCTTTCAATGGCTTGGATTGACTGATTAATAACTATTATCAATGATAACTATATAGTTCTGTTTTGAATATTTGGAAAACTGGGCCACATATTTCAGCTCAACTCACTGGGTTTATCTCATTTTGCCATCTGCAAAAGGAAGCCTAGTTTGTTTTGTTGTTGTTGTTTTTTAAAAAAGCTTTGTAAAGCACTTTAAAAGACAAAGAAATAAAATGGGGGGGGGCACCCAACAGAACTTTAAACTTGCTCACTCTGGTCATCCTTTGTAACAGGGCTGTGGAACCTGTGGTTCCTTAAGGTGATGTTGGATTCCAATTCCTTACCAGGCCCAACCAGCAATGTCCCACAGTCAGGAATGAAGCAACCTGTAGGCCAACAACCTATGGAGAACCACAGGTTTGCAATCCCTGCTGCATAAAACGGGAGACCATTTCCCCTCAGTTTCATTTAGTGCCATTTTCCCCTATAGCATGGAGAATAGCTCATTTTAGGATGTTTTACTAAATTTGATATCTCCGAAATTTGATACCTCCTTTTTAAAAAAAAATTATTGGTTTTCTTTTTCTCATCACAAATATACTTATATCCATAATATATAGTTTGCATAACATCTCCCCCTCCCTCTCTTTGGACTTCCCTCAACTTTCATTTCTGATTAATTATCCTCATTATTATATCCTGCTGTCCCCCCCCCCCCAATGTATCATATTTTCCCTTTGTTACAATATTTGCAGAAACAAAGAAAGAATATCGACTCGATGACAGGATTTAAATAAACAGTCACAATTTTATGGATAGGGAACAAATATTGATAGCTCCTTAACTTGTTCATGCCATTAGTGCTCTCTGCATTCTAATCTCAACAATAAGGTTGAATTGGTTATGGGTGATTAGGATAAAGGATTCTGGTTTTGCTGATGATTAGGCAGATGGAATTTGCTTTCTCCCAGGGGTGGCCTGAGATGTTTTGGTGAGTGAGGCCTGAGGCACGCTCCCCTCTGCCCCACAATGAAGGGTGGGCATGAAGCCCTCCCCAAGCCTCTTCAGCCCACTGGGCTGAAAAGAGGGAGGAGCTTTGGAAAGTGGTTCTCCTCTACAGTTCTTTGCTTTCCTGGGCCAAAGATTTTCACAAATAAATCCAATATGCTCTTAAATAGACTGTAATAATCCTCAGGGTAATAGTTGACAATAAATACACTCTTACATTATATAGATATGATGTTTCAATGAATCAGAATGAAAGAAGCCACGAGAAGAACCATGAACACCCAACGCAGAATCCCCCATGGGCTATAATTCCAGTTTCTAAAACAGAGGAGGAAAGAGGGGGAAATCCTAAATAATTGCTCTTACTGATTTTACAAGAAAGTAAATTACAAACTGGAGTCGTATCTCAACTAAAGGAAATTTAACCATTATGAGCACTGTATGTTGTGATGGGGAAAGACAAGCTTTTACTCTCCTGGTGATGATACACACTACCATCCTGACATCTGGGGTTGCGGCGCTCATTTTGCTTTATTGGCTGAGGGAGCCGGTGTACAGCTTCCGGGTCATGTGGCCAGCATGACTAAGCTGCTTCTGGTGAACCAGAGCAGTGCACGGAAACGCCGTTTACCTTCCCACTGGAGTGGTCCCTATTTATCTACTTGCACTTTGACGTGCTTTCCAACTGCTAGGTTGGCAGGAGCAGGGACCGAACAACGGGAGCTCACCCCATCACGGATTCGAACCACCAACCTTCTGATTGGCAAGTCCTAGGCTCTGTGGTTTAACCCACAGCGCCACCCGCATTGTAGTTACCGTATGCCTTAACTGTGGACCCCTCACCCCCACAACTGATTGCTGCAGAACAAAAGGTGTTAAATGCTAGTTTTTGCCTCCACCAAGAAAGCAGATAACAATCATAAAACACATGGAGCAACTGCTTAACAGGGTGCCTGCCTTAGGCCCAGGGAAATACTAAGCACAACTTGCACAAATCATTTTATCAGTGCAAATAGCAGGTGCATGAGTGGGGGAGATAAGGTTTGGAAGTGAGTGTTGGTGGTTGAACTTCCCAGTCCTTGAAAGTGATGCTTTGAAGTCACATAAAAGTGATGCATTTAAGACACATAAATAGTTATGCTAATTATGGTCAGATGTTATTCATGCAGTTTTAACCCTCGCTGATTAAGTAAAAGGGAACTTACCAAATTTTGTGTTCAAACCCAATCAGAGTATTCCCCACCCCCAAACTGGCAAGTACAACATTTTTTCATTGGGAATGTGGCAGAGAATGAACTGGGGCTCATTGTTTCTAGTATGTACACCAGAGCAGAAATAAAAGGTTGATTTAGAAACAAAATGTGGATTCTGTTTATGCAAAGTTAGCCATCAAATATAATCTTGTGATTAGATGGCACTTACCTTTCTGTGACTTTATGATGACAAGTGGCATTGGAGGACAGAGATGCGTTTAAATTAAAATCAGAAATATCTGGGAAAGCTGTAATAACCTCAGCTGTAGATGAAGGAGTGGAGGGAGGACTGGTTTGCACATGTTGACATGTTGTAGGAGCTGAATAATAGCAATGAAATATAATTTGTTATATTTACAATCCTGGGCAAATTGCTTGTGCTATGAGAAAGGTAGTACACTCTTTACACTGAAAAATACTATAGAAATGATTCATGGTTATTAGCTGTGCAAGCAATGAATAATGAAAAATATCCAGAGTCTCTGGAACTGGCATCAGAGTGGCCATAAGGTAAAGTGGATCTTTCTAACTGTCAGGGAGAGGCAGGCAGAAGAGGATTTTTGTTCTGGCAAGTCTCCCCATTGCAGGCATGGAAGCTCGGATACCTCGCTGTTCTGCCATCAGTGGTCTGTCATCAGCAACAAAAGAGGACAAGCCAGAGTAGACTTAGGTTACTAGACATCCCCGTTTCCCGGGGACAATCCCTCGATTTACAAATCAGTCCCCATACAAAATCCATTGAAGTTGAAAAGTGTCCCTGGATTCATTGAAAAAAATCTGGTAACCTTAGAATAGACTGGGGAAGACATTGGATTGCACATCATGGCCTGAAAAAAGCTGGGATGTGGGTACAGTCCAGGGCCTAGCTACTCAGCCAGCAACCAAACAATACCAAACACTGCAATCAGCCCCACCTCACCCCCCCAAACCCTCACCTGTGGTTTATATTAGGACCATGGCATGTGGGAAATGAAACACTTCCTCCCCCCTCAGTGGTCATGATTGCTCCTCCCCATACTGCAATGGGGGTGGGAGGGAAGAAAAATTATAAAGAACATGCTGCTTTAAAAAAACCAGTAGGATAACATGCCATAGAGAAGGAAATGGCTAGAGCAATCAATATAGGCCAGAGTAGCAGCATGACAGCCATCCCACTGAGTTTAAAAAAACAACAACTTGGATTTTTTTGAATCTGGGCACATTGCAGATATTAATATTGCACAGCTTGAAGCAGTAGGCTGAATAAAAACTGAGTCCTCTTGGAATAAGAATTGTCCAGATCAAAATATGGTTCCAAAGCTTTACGAACATACTGTAACTTTCTTCAGAGAGACATGAAAAGCAAGTTATGTTACATCCAAATAGTGGCGTAAAATCAAGTGCTCGTCCAAGCACAGTACATCTTCTTAGTAATATAAGATTAGTCTAAACAGATCTGAAATCAAATGCCTTTCTCTCTGCACACAGATTCCATTAGCTTGTATTCCAGCCTGAGGCTGTTTTCTCCAGGAGAGACACATTTACACATCTTTGTCTTCAGTTGCTTGAGAACAAAAGACAACTTCCACAAAATGGAGATTGAAACAAAATTTAAAAATCCTTCCAGTAGCACCTTAGAGACCAACTAAGTTTGTTATTGGTATGAGCTTGGCAGACCAACACAGCTACCTACCTGTAAAATGGAGATTTGCAACTAAATACCTTACTCATGTGATCTAAGGTTAGGTGTGTGACACTTTGTTATTAGCAGCATGAATGAGAACAGACGAAGACTGCTTATATAAGATTGAACTGTAAGTGCATAAACTACTGGGAAGGTCTATGCAATCCTTAATTGCTCCAGTTATATATGTAACTGGAATGTCAGTTTTTGGAGGAAACTATGCATACTTTCCTTGGCCTTCCTAATGTAACATGACTGGTGCCTACTGAGTAATCCAGCCTTGTATTTAACAACCCTCCTGGTAGCCCTAAGTGCCCAGAAATTCTATGCAGATGAGCGCATGGAATTCTATGCTGGCAAGGGAGAAGGGTTAGCAGTGGAAGGATACATTGTTCTGTCCTTTTTCTGCCAGCCCTCTTGGTTTCAATTCCAAATGTAGAGGAAGAAAAGTTTTTTTGTCCACAACCAAGCACAGAAATGGTGGAGACTTGCAAAGAGGGGACAGATCACTTTGTCATTTTGTCCCTCCTCCACCAGTCTGCTTGGTAGCAGTCCTTTTTAAAACAACAACAACCAGGCTTTAATGCTTACCACAGAGGAAAGGACATCCCTTCCTCTTTGGCCAGCATGAAAATACAGGGTAGTATAAAAAAAAATTGAGCCTGGTAACTTTTGTGTAGTTACTGTATTTACGAGGCTGACTTACTCCATCAGAGCTGGCAACAAGAACTTTATTTCTATTTGCATTATAACAATAAAGGTGGTGATGAGACTCATATGACACCTTACCTTTATTTACCTTCAGTTTCACTGAAGTCATTATGTCAGCAAAAGGCCTATCAATTCCACACCAATATGTTCCTGAATCATCTTCTGTCAGTTGGTGCATTGTCACCCAAAAGACGCCTTTCCTGTTATCAAGGAGTGTCAATCTGCTTTTATAGTTCCACTTTACAAACTTCTTTGTTTCTCCTAAAATATCACAAGATGTTCGGGAACTTCCTCGGCACCAATATTTATTGTCAAATCTGTATTCCATATCATAGAAGCAAGTTACTGTTGTGCTTGTCCCCTCTGTGGCTATCTTTTCTGTATTTTTCTGAATGAATGCTGTAAAACAATCTGTTGGGGGGGAAACACGGGGCAATATGTAAAAAACGTAACTGGGTAATTGCCTCATACTAAATGTCAATCAGCTTCCATTCTCTGCTGCAGCTATATATTAGTCCTCTCATGTTATAATGTTTCTTAACTGCTCCTTACGGGAAAAACTGAAAATATATTTACGTTGTGTATGTCCCATTTTGTCCTGCTCATTCAAGGTCGCTCAATTTTTTCCACTAGGAAAACCTGTGGTCCTTGCTGTTGGATGACAATGACCATCATTCTTGACCAAAGGCCATGATGGCTGGAATCAAAGTCCAACTACAACTGGAGGACCATTGGTTCCCCACCCTTGGGGTAAGCAGTAGAGTGGAACAGTCAGATTTTGGAACTAGAACCATTTTGAAATGCTCTGTATTTTCACAATTGCATTCTATAAATTGAATAAAAGAAAAAAGAAAATATATTGACCTGTGAGAGATATATTTTCCCTTCTGCATTTTTATGTTGTGAAGCTGCTCTGAGTATGGGCCTTGACAGATATTGAATGGACTTTAAAATATAACAGTGTCCGATTCAATCTAAAGCCTGGCTTGAAGTATTACTCTGGGGGGGGGGGCACCAGAAAACATGGTGTCTGTGCTTCAAAACACAGCAAAGCAATTGTAAAACTTTGGCGCAGGTTTGGAGTAAATCGGGCAATGTTGGATTTGGGGGGGGGGGGAGTTAACTATGAACCCCGGTTTGATGCATAAATTTCTCAGCTTGGGGGGCTCTGCAGAATGTGGTGTTTCCACCGTCAAATGCTGCAAAATGGTTGCAGCACTTTGGCCTAAGTTTGGAGAAGATGCCAGATTTCGGGGTTCATATGCAGAAAAATTATATCTTCAAAAACACCATCAAAAGATAGGATGGAACAGAAAGTTGCTTAAAGCTAAATGCTGCCCCCCTCAATCCATACCCACCCTACCACAAATGTGCCTTTGCTTGTGCCACTACACCCTCTCTGCCTTGTTACTGCCACCACACCATAGGCATGGCAGGGAAAGCACAGTGGTAGGAGCACCGTAGCAGCGGGGGGGGGGGGGGCAGCCGCATTGGCCCAGGCACAGTGGCAGAGGAAGCAGCAGCAGCGATCGACACATTCCTCTGGTCCGGATCTGCTTCTTGAGGTGACAGCCTCACCTCGCCTCATGGGCGAGCCAGCCCTGCCATTTTTTTCTATTCTACCAGTTCAATATTCCTTTGCTCAGGATTGCAGTGCCCTTAATATCCTTTCATAATTTGGTTGACTACATCGACTACCCATCTGGAAATCAGAGGAAATGAAAAACTTTCTGGATAAGATCTGTTCCAAAACATTTTTCTTACCCACATACAAAGAAATCCAAAGGGTGAAGCAGCGATTCATCTTGCGCGCTGTCTATGAACAAACCCGTACAAGAAAAATCCAGGCATTGATGATAACTTTTTCTTGCTTTAGGAAGGAGGCACTCTCTTGTGCTGCTCATCTAAAGCCCCTCTGACCAGATGAAGTTGTACCTGATAATTCACAGAAGTATGATTCACAGAAGCACCAACCACACAGCCACAGCATCTTCAGAAGGGAAATGGGGCTATCAAGTCTTCCTCTCTGCCAGACGAATTCTCCCTGCCAGACATTTAATGTCCCCTTAAGTTTGCACCAGCCACCAGGGCAAAGCCACTTCTATGTCTTTTTTGCAAAACTTAAAATCAAACACACATACAAACATGTGCTTTTTTCTTCTTCTTTCAAAATTGCACTCAGCAATGCAGACTGCAAACAAGGAAGGGGGGGGAGGGAAGGTAAACTCTGGGAATAATTCTGGGTGCTGGCTGTTACCCATGAATCCCTAAATGTATCTGACTATTTGGAAGACCTTCTTCTTCAGCTGCACGTTGTGTTCATCGTTGGAAGCTCTTGCTCCACTGCTCACTGACTGGGATGCATTATAGGTTTTCCGTGGAGCCAAGGTGATGGAACTCCCTCACTGAAGAAGCTTACGTTGTTACTTCTGTGTTTGATTGTTTTTCAGTTCTCTGTTTTAAACTATTTCTTTGCTGTGATTCTACAGTATATTGTCATTTTAAATTTGGAATAGGGAACCTGTAATTTGTTCCTTCAGATGTTGTTGGACTATTGATGGCATCTGACCGTCTGCTGCGCCTTTGGGGGTAAAGAAGAAGAGAAGAGTTTTGGATTTGATATCCCACTTTATCACTACCCGAAGGAGTCTCAAAGTGGCTAACAATCTCCTTTCCCTTCCTCCCCCACAACAAACACTCTGTGAGGTGAGTGAGGCTGAGAGACTTCAGAGAAGTGTAACTAGCCCAAGGTCACCCAGCAGCTGCATGTGGAGGAGTGGAGACGCGAACCCGGTTCACCAGATTACGAGTTTACTGCTCTTAACCACACTGGTGTATGTGTCAATGCTGGAGAATTACAGTGCTTGCTGTGGCTGTAGAGACTGATGTGGGAGAGACATGTTTATCGGTTTTCGTGCTACAAGTACACCATGGCATTTCTTCTCTCTGTGCTCCTCCCAGTAGTCATTCCACCTCTGGTCACTGCCTGAGGATACACGACCTGACTGTGTGTCTCCAGGCACTGCGATTGCCATACAGCGGGGATAGTGTTGCCAGCCTTCACTCCCCCTTTGCTTCTTACACAGAGGGCCCCACTCTGTGCTAACAGACTCTCACTTCATGGCCTTTGAGCTCCATAACACCTTTCACGCTTGCTGTACACTCCAACCCATCTAGGTTCTTACCCACAGTGGTATGAACTGCTGAAAGACCTCTCGTTAATGTTTGCATGTCAATCTGACATTAAAGGCACAGTTGCAGTGCCTTGTTTAAACATGTCCCGTCCCTCCCCTACCCTTGTGGAAAATACGAGGTCCTGTCCTGTCAGGATTCATTTCCTGATATGAGGCCCATCTTACTGGTTAGGCTCAGCTGTATCATGTATATAGTTTCTTTAGCAACCCTAAAGAATGAAACAGGATAAGTGACTTTTCTGACCCTGGAAGGTCAGCTATCCTTAGAAGGGCTGGTCCAATACATTTTGCTGCCCTTTCACAACACCCAGTATCTGCTGCCTGAGGCAGATGCCTCAGTGTCAAACATTAGGGCCAGCCTCGACATTTTGCACTGTAAATGGGGAAAACATATCAAAATTATACCATTCCCCTCTTCATTTATAACTTTGTTTCGTGATATGCAGAGATGAAAGTTGAAAGAGCTGCTTTCCAATTAGAATCTGCTGCCCAAAGTGATGCCTCATCATAAAATCACTCCCCTTCCTTCTGCCAAGTTATTTCAAATAGGACCAGCTCTGCAGTCCCCTGTGAGCTTCCTAAGCTCCACAGGACCTAAGGTAGCCTGCTATTCACTGTGGTGGGCACTGTCTGAGGCCAATGATGAAGTAACTGCAGATTCTGCATGTGGCATGAGAGGAGGGCACAGTCTTGTCCTTTGCCCCCGGCAACAAAATGTCTTGGGCTGGCCCTGGTTTCAAAGCATCCAGTAAAACCGGGTTTGACTCTCAGTCAACCCCTCGGCCTTTTCTGGTGCATCTGAGTTCTGTGAAGACTTTTTTTCTTGCTTCATGAGGTCTGCTCCTGCAAGGAAGCCCTGCACATAGCACTGAGAGAGAGCTCATTATTCAGTTGGTTAGAGCGTGGCGCTGATAGCACCAAGGCTGCAGGTTCCTGCATTGCATGGGATTGAACTAGATAGTCCTCAGCCTCTTCCAGCTCTATGATTCTATGAGATATCTATAAGAAGCGCACACTGAAAATCCACTTTGTAAGCTGCAATTTAAAACAATCTATCCTATAGTGGCTAAAATGCAAAATCTGGCAAAGGAAAACTGCAGTTATTAACTTGATTAGAAGCCATATTCCCAGTAACAGAGGAATGTGTCAAGCGAAAGTGCACTGTCAATTTTTATTAGTAGTTTATTTTTAGCCTAAAAGCCCAGGATGGCAATACCTGCTCATTTCATCTTCCCAGTGCAGCCCTGAAAGGTAGTTTAAGGGTTCTTCAGAGAACTTCACAGCGGGGGGGGGGGGGGCTTGAACATGAATATTTCTCCTCCCTCTCTTCAGCACAGGAGATTTGCTGTTTAGAAAAAGGAAAAACACACCAGGTCATAGAATCATAGAATCATAGAGTTGGAAGAGACCACAAGGGCCATCGAGTCCAACCCCCTGCCAAGCAGGAAACACCATCAGAGCACTCCTGACATATGGTTGTCAAGCCTCTGCTTAAAGACCTCCAAAGAAGGAGACTCCACCACACTCCTTGGCAGCAAATTCCACTGTCGAACAGCTCTTACTGTCAGGAAGTTCTTCCTAATGTTTAGGTGGAATCTTCTTTCTTGTAGTTTGGATCCATTGCTCCGTGTCCGCTTCTCTGGAGCAGCAGAAAACAACCTTTCTCCCTCCTCTATGTGACATCCTTTTATATATTTGAACATGGCTTTCATATCACCCCTTAACCTCCTCTTCTCCAGGCTAAACATGCCCAGCTCCCTTAGCCATTCCTCATAAGGCATCGTTTCCAGGCCTTTGACCATTTTGGTTGCCCTCCTCTGGACACGTTCCAGTTTGTCAGTGTCCTTCTTGAACTGTGGTGCCAGAGTCTTGACTCCTTTATGGAGTGAAAGAAGTGAGGGTGGGGGTGGGGTTAGTGTTAGGTTGTGGGTGAACATATCAGACGACACAGTGATTCTTCAAACAGCTCTTGTTTATTCACAATCCAGGACAGAACTGAGGTGAAGGGTTCAGTCAGCCTGCTTATATAGAGCTCCAGTACCATGTAACTGTAACAATTTTCTAAAACTATCCAATCACTGAACGTTACTTTCGATCCCTTATTTGCATAACTATCTACAGTATCCCCCTGCTGGCCCAGGGTGAGAACTTCAGTACATAACAGTTAGAGTGATTAAATGTATGGGAAAAGTCTCTTGTTGTGGGCTATGCCAGGAAGGGCTGATGGGAGTTGTAGTTCAGCAACATTTGGAAGCCACACGTCAGGTGCGCCTGCCCTGTTTTGCTATTATTAGCTACCTTTGCTCTGTGCTAAGTGTTGCTACTATTTTTATTTTAGACAGTTACCTATGTAAATCTGATAATAAATATGGCACAAATATGCTGCTGGTCCCTAGCACATTGGGGCGAGGAACTGCCAGTTCACCACATCAGCTAGTTTGAGAAGCACTGCACTACTACCATAAAATTTTATGTTATTTTCATTAATATATTCATTTTTAAGCACATTTCCACAATGGTTTGGTTGGAGAACTGCATTTAAAAATCTGGGTAACTATGACTTTCAAAAGATGGCTGTGTTTTGGTTCTCATATTGTTTCAAAAAGTGCAATTGAATAGATTCACCTTTAAATGCTACCTGAATCAAATTTCTACCTCAGCCCTAGCTTCCAGGATTCTTTGGGGGAAAGTCATGTGGTTTGAATGTGCATTGGATGTATGGTGCTTTAAATGTATGGTATGGATCTGCTTACTGTTGTGGCTGATATATATTGTTTTTCATGTGAACTGGAAGGGCATTCTTTATGTTAAAACAAAGGGCCAGTTTGTATTTTGGCCCTTCTTTGGGTGAATTCAAAATATTTGGTTTGTTAAATTCACTGCTGACAAGAATGTTATTGGAATTTCAGTATTGTCCAGCTATAGGTGAGATGTTGTTTCCCATTTTAATATGAAAATTTGAACTCAGTGCTGATGCTTGGGATCATTTCTAATCAAGAGCGAATGGTGTTGGGTTGATATGTGCTTTCTTTTGTCAAAACCCCTTGGGGTGAAAGCCAAATTGGAGAGGAATAAACTTTGCCTTATTTAGATTCTATTTTGACTATCTGATTTTCTCCACAGCACATGGGAAATCACAATTATTAGTCATCCACATATGGAAGCCAATAAACAGCTGGGGGCCATGTTCCCCTTTGGCAGAAAAGCTCTGCATTTCTTGCATAGTATTTTTGTGAGTTAAGTAGGAAGGATAACCAGGATTCTGTTTTTAGTTAGTTTTCCAAAAGCAGTGATTGACTAAAGATATTCTGGAAAGTGTATGGATGTTCACAGCACAGTCACTCAGACAGCATGCATTCCAGGAACTGGCTAGTCTCTTATTCACTGACCCCTGTGTAACGTCAACATTCTAACATAAATGTCTGATTCTGACGTGGCTTCACAAAGTTCATCCCAGGCCGTGTGAAAGGGCGGCGATGGCTGAATGTTTTGGTGTTTTCCGGCGAAGTTTAGGGCTGAGGCGTGACTAATGCATTTAGAAGTTAAGCCACCTCTCCAGGGGGAGATGGATGAATGAGAAGGCTGCTTATCTACACAGAGATATTTCAAAGTGGTGATTGAAGAGAGCCTTGGTAATGATCCCTTTGGTGGCCTCCATCAGGGATCAGATGCAGCTTTTCTGGAGCTGATTTTTATAGGGAGATTTTTCCAGTTCATCAAGTGGAAATTGCTTCAGACCAAGGATGACCTGGTTCTCAAGAATCTAATCTGAGCGGCAAGTCCAGCAGAATCAATGCAAGCAAAGCAGAATGCCTTTTCTTTTTGAAAAACGGTGTATTATTTCATTCTTGTAAAGGGAGGCACTAGGGCCCAGCGTGGAATAATTCTTTAATTTCCCCACAGTGGGTGCTACACACATACTAATTTCCTTTAGGTCTTGTGATGAAGTAAGTAAACCACAGACTTCGACAGGAACTTCCCCCCCTTGTTGTAGTTTCCACTGAAGCATGACCTTGTCATGTCCATCTTTATCTCTAACAGTTCAGCTTCACCTGGTTTTACAGAATGGATCAAAGAGAAATTATCACGCAAAATCTGGAAACAGCCCAAAGCAGAAAGCTCAACAAAGAGGAGTTCACTAAAGAATTTTTGGTAAGTAAACAGCAGCGATATTTCTCAGTCTGAATTCATTCTAAGGGGAAGCCTTCAGCTACTGTGGAAAATGTGCGGCTTAACAATTGTTGAGTCTTCTAGCTTGTAGACAATTAGCTGCAACGTTGAAGCAGCATTGAAGGAGCAAAGGTGCAAAAGTATTTAACTGTTTGGCTCTTACGTGCTTTACCGTTTCAAAACTAGGTCCTTCCTGTTTCTTCTTGTGAGACTGTATTACTATCGCTTTTGGCTTGATTGCAAAATCATTTGCTGCTAATTTCCTACTAACACGGGGAGATAAAAACAGTGTTTGGATTACAGGTGGCCAATGGGGGCTAGTGGGGATCCTGGCCCTTTCGCCTTTGTGATGGTCACATAGCCAGTGTTGACACCATGTTTGGGGGGCCCTTGGGCAAAATGCTTCCACCTCCATGCTATAGGCAACATTCCCTTTGAGCCCAATGTGCACCACTGCCCAGGAGGAGAGGGCAGGAGCAAAGTCTGCCAATCTGCCTCCTCTATCCAATGCTAAGACATCCAATGCTATGACAAAATGCTTTCTTAATGGTCATTATATTATGCATTAGCTTTTAATAGAATTGTCAGAGTCTGTATTCTTTTTCCATTTTATATCCCTCTGACCTCAGTATTTCCCCATTTCCCCAAATCATGTGCATATATGCTTGCCAATTTAGGATCATGTATCTGCTGAAGGGGACTGCAGCCCATGAAATATTATGCCATAATATGACAGCCTTTAAGGTGTCATAACTCTTTGTTGGTTTGCTACAACGAATTAATGCAGCTACCTCTCTGGAAATTACTCCTCCTTGCTTGTGTTCTTGAAGAGAGCAGGTGAACTGCAGGAACAGTAAGGAGGTGGAGCAGAGCAGGGTACTCTGGGGAACGCACAGTGGACCTCCTTCTGGGGTGTGGGCAGGGTACCCAACGTTGCCAACATCAAAAGTCAGTCCTATCTTTAGAATCTATGTTTAGAAGGCTACCCAGAGTGGCGGAAGCATGATTTGGCTAAAACTGGAGGGGGGGGGAAGAGTGTCAGGGAGTGAGGCTTCTGGATTTCGTTAAACTATGAAATTCACGGCCACAAGTGTTGGCAGCAGGGGCTTCCCATAGATATTTGGGAAGATAGGCAGACAGGCCTTTAGTCTGACCCATCAAGGCTTATCAGAGGCCTCCCATGAGAGGATTACAAACGGTTTTTAAAACTGATATTTTTTTGATAAACTGCTTAGAGGTTTTGTTACAAACAAGCAATATATGTGTTTTGTTAAATGAAAAAAAGAAGAAAAAAAGAATGGCGGCAGGCGTTATTTATTTGAAGGACAGCTTGTCCCCCACGGCTGTGCCCTGCAATGGACATACAGCCACCTGGAAGTGTTTGGTGGGTTGCAGGATACATTGCATACCCTCCAAGTGTCTGGATCACACAAGCCAATTCCAGCTTCTGTTTGGATCCCAGTATGTCCCGTTTTTTGGTCCGGTGCTCTGGCATGAGTCCTCACGCTGGATTGCCAGACTGAAAGACGCTCACTCTGGCACGACCCAGTATTTTATTAATACAAAAGCCCACATGGGGTATCAGTGAAGAAAAGTGTTTAGAATAGTGATTTTCTTCAAGTTACTTTAATTTATGTGTTTGTGTTTTTTGGGGGGAGAAGGTTGTATTTCTCACTTTTAATGCAGATGAAAAATCTGTATTGCCTAGAATGCCAGTCCAATTTAAAGCAGTTTTATTCTGTACACCCACCCACCAAACCTGCTGGATCACACCAATGGCTCATCTAGTCCACCAACCTGTTCTCACAGCAGCAGACCAGATCCCTGTGGGATGTCCACAAGCAAGACATGAGTACAATAGGACTCTGCTGACCTGCAATTCCCAGCAACAGCAGAGGTAGAACTTAGCCAGCATGGCTAGTAGCCATTGAAAGCTTTGTCCACTCTGAATTTCCCTAATCTTCTTTAAAGCCACCAAAGTTGGTGGCCATCACTGTCTCCTGGAGAAGTGACTTTACCTAATTGGGTGCACTCTTCCCACCTTGGATCAAATCTATGCTTCCAGGTGTCATAAGAAAGCTGCAGAGATAGTGCAGGATAGTACGCGCCCCGGAAATGATCTCTTTCAGCTTCTGCCTTCTCGAAGAAGGTACAGGGTTATAAAGACTAGGACTAGCCGCCTGAGAAACAGTTTTTATCCAAATGCAATTTTGGTTTTAAACGCAGTGTAAGGTAGTCTCTGTGGGAGTATATTGTATTTAATTATGGGGTATCAGATTTTTTAGGGGGTTAACCAGGCTGGCATAGCAGGCTTGTTGGTTTTTGAATGTCTGATGTAGATTTTTTCCAATTTCGTTGTTCTGTATGGGACAATGACAATAAGGATTATCGTATCGTATTGTATCATACCTATGCCCTACACAGATAAGAACTTTATTTTTCCTGTCTTGATTCTTACAAATATTCAGCTTCATTCGATGTCCACAAATTCTAATGTTATGAGAGAGGGAGAAAATATTTTCTATATTAATTGCATAGAAAAAGTGGACTTTTTTTTTGTCCTGCTTTTCCCTGGGAAAAACCATGTTTTACTGCTGAATCAGAACAAATGGCAGTGGTGGTTTTCTGTGGGAAATGCCTGTGCCTGAAAAACACAGTACAAAGGGCATTCTGGGCAAGCCCTCTGTTTACAGTGGTCCTTTTGGAGTTCTTCACAATCTCTTTTTGTTTTAATGACCCTGAACCATTTCATATCATCAGCAAACTTGGCCACCACAAAGCTCACCCCTAACTCTTGACCTTTCTTTGTATTCCATTACTGCAAAGTTTACTCAAGAACCTTTGGTGAGGTACTTTGTTCAAAGCTTTTTTTGAAAGTCTAAGTACACTGTATCAGTTTGACCATCTCTGTCTATATGCTTGTTGACTCTCTCAAATAACTCTAACAGGTTCATGAGACAGGACTTGCCCTTGGAATCCTGGAGCATGCATATCAATAACATTCACAAGTGACTCATTCCAGAATGAAAAGCATTCTTAGCATTGCTTGTGAAAATGCCCACAGAGCTTCTTGTGTGATACAACTTTCCCCCCTCCCTCTGCCAAGGCATGAAGTCGTGTGGGGCTGAGGGTGTACAGGCAACTGGAATGAAAGGGGAGCAAGGCTAGTCAAAGAAATTTTGAATGCTTGATGTGAAGGACAAGATGGTGCCCTCTTTCCATATTCAGAAGTTGACTGGACTACAGCTGAATCCTACACTGGCAACAGGACAGCATCTACCACCCCACCTAAGACCTGCCCCAGTTTTATAGTGGGAGGAAATTCCAAGCTCTTCCCTCATTTCCTTTTCTGCTAGGAAAGAGTGAGTCCATTCACACAGCCACGAGAAAACCTGAATTATTCCACACAGCACAATACTCAATACCCCTGCATTAGTGAATGTTGGCAGTGATTAATCGGCAAAGATAGCACCTCTTCCTCCTGGGAACTCTGTCTTTTAGGGTGACTACTTACGATTCATGAATAAAGAGTGACATCAGTTTGAAAAAAGATTTGCATGTGCTATACAGAGAGACAAATTTAGAAATTATTATTATAAATTAAAAAGAAATACAGTGCTTTTCACCTTGGTGGGGAAGACTGTGATCAGATGACCTGTGTGCCTGCTTGGTTGGAAGTCCAGATACTAAATGTTCATGGGCAACTTCAAGACCCCTCCTCTTGCTTTGTGTGGTTCTTTTTCTTTAAACTAGACTTGGTCGCCTTTGAAATAGAGGACTGTCCTCTATAAAGTAGGACACATACCCCCTAATGTCATATGTGTGAAGGTTACTCAGTGGCAAGGTAATGCTGAGAGGCACGCACACTCTTGCTTCAAATGTTCTCTTCTTGAGGCCTGCCATTAAAAGCAACTTCCTTTGCTTAGGCCTTGCAGTAACAGAATCAGAGAGTTGAAAGGGAATTCAGAGTTCATCTAAACCAGTTCCCCTGCCAGTGCAGGAAATCCATCATTACATCATCCTGATAGATGGCTTTAAAGCATCTAATGAAGGAGAAGCCACCATCTTCTGAGGCAGTCAATTCCATTGTCAAATAGCTCAATGCCATCAAGAAGTCCTTCCAAATGTTTAGCAGAAATCCTTTTTTTATTGAAATTTGAAAGCATGGGGTTCAAGCCCTATCTTCTGGAGCAAAAGAAAATAAATTTGCTCCATCTTCTGTGTGAGAGACCTTTGATACATAATCAGCCTGTTGATCCAAGTCAGTGATGTTTCCCTTTCTTCCCTTGTTGAGTGTGATTGACAGATTTACAGGGACAGAGGTAGAGGTTAGCAGAGCATCAGAATGGCCTCACCACCCTCCCTATCCTAGAACCTGTTGAATTTTGAGCCCCTCGAGGTGCCAAAATGAGCAGCTATTAGAATTCATTCTGTTTATTGAGAGTGGGAAGAGCCCAAGGGTAAGATCAGCTCAGGCAGTTCCTCCACCATTTCATTTCTATGGTAAATGTGACATGGATCATCCAGACTTTGACAACTTCAGAGCTACTATCCTGCCAGTTAGGATTTCATTCACTTGGTCATTTTTAAAATGGTTTTGTCTCAGCCCATTTTGACTGTATGATGCAGGAATGATGGGTTTTGGACACCATTAAGACTGGGGGAGAAATGCATTTACACACACATCACATCACATCACATCACATCACATCACATCACATCACATCACATCACATTTCACTATCAAATTCCAGGGCAGTTTACATATATTAAAGCAACAGTACACCATAGGAACACAGGGAGCTGCCCTATACTAAGTCAGACCTATGAATCTTGCAATGAGGGTCCCATGGAATGAATCTAGGCTAATCTCTTAGGAATGTTTGGGTCAAAAGGCTTCTGTCTCAATTGAGGAGTTGGGCCAGATGACCTTTGCATCTCTTCCAGCTTTGTGATTCAATGATTCTCATAGTGGGGGTTGCTGAACTGTTTTGCAAAGAGTTTCTGACTCATCTGTTCCCCCACCCACAGCTCTTCATTCTGCATTTTGGTAGCATTATCTTGAATTACTTTCCTATGGCAAACGTAACACGCAGGCCATCAGCTCCTGGACAAACTATTATATAGTAGTTATATTCCTGCAACTTCCCTGTGGTTATGAATGAGGGTTGCCACCTTGGTTCTGGCAAAATACAGGACAGGGTGGGGTGGGGAGAGCAGTTGGGGGGGGGACTCTTTCTTGTTTCATCTGGTGCTGAAGTGACTTCAGAGCAATCCATTACAATCTATTGCAGCCTAACAACATGCCCCTCTGGAATTTGTCACACACACACAAATTTGTAAGTCTGTCTGTGCTTGGCTACCCAAAGCTTAAATACATGACCTTTCACACCATTTCAAATACATGCATTTGGGGAGAGACAGACAGACAGACGACAGACAGACAGAGAGGAGGAGACCTGAAATATAGGACAGAACTGCTTCAATACAGGACAATCCTGTAATAGGTGGCAATGGATGGTGGGCACAGGGGCTAAGGTGGGTTGGGAGTGTGCATTATATTGATCTTGTGCATTGTGCTCTTGTCCACTGTTAACTTGTCAGTTGAAAGCTGTGAAGTGTGTTGAAGCTGTGCACATGTAGATTCTATCCACATGACTGGCGATTCTCTTCCCCTCCTGCTCCATTGATTTGCTTATTTTTATATTTTAAAAAATGTGCCCCTTTTTCATATGAATTTCTAAAAGCAGTTCAACAACTAATAAAACATCTTGTATGTAAACTGATGCTACTTAAAGAAACCAAACAATAAAAACAAAAAGAACAGCAAGAAGCAACAAAAGCCATACAAAAGCCAGGAGGGTAAAAAACAAACCAGTTTATTTTCAAATAAACTGAAACATCATTATTTGCGTTTGCAAGGAGTAAGCAGTATGGTTCCCTCTTGCTAGGGCGTTTCACAATGTTACTGCTGCTGCTGTAAGGTCCCTGCTATAAGGGGAGACCATCCTGGCCTCAGTGTAGGATGGAAATCTGAGCAGAAGATCTCAAGTGCTGAGACGAGGGAACACAGGAAGCCACCTTCTTAGTAGTTCATTAGACCAAACAGACTAGACATTATGTTTTGCATAGGGGAGATTGTCAGAGCTGAGCTATAGGGAGTCATCAAGAGAAAGCCAAGACTCCTGGGGCTGAGGTTCTTGCACCCCCGCTATAAAATAACTGAGGGGGCCGGGTCCTGCAAAATTGATGGGCACCGCCATTCAAATGGTGTGCATGCACCGTGCCTTGTAATCGATTATGTGGGACAGGGCTTACCTGGGCTCCCCCATATTTTATTCAAGTTGCAACCCCTGGCCAGAAGTAAGAGGTCTCTCTCTCTCTCTCTCTCTCTCTGTCTCTCTCTCTCTGTGTGTGTGTGTGTGTGTGTGTGTGAAGCCAGGGAACATGGAGATAGTCATGGCTATGGAACAAGCAAGGAGAGTCATAAGGTGCAAGATTATTCACCAGTTTGGTCCTGGTATTTGCACTTAAATAATTTATTTTTATGTCGCAATGAGACCGTAGAGTGGCTAGGATTTTAACTCTTTTGAACAATATAAATGCAAACACATACATATAAATTTGGATAAATGACTTTTGTAGTATATTGGTGGCTGCGCAGCCCTTGTATAGTGTGGCTGTATGAGACAATGGGAAGGAGAATTACAGAGAGCAGTCCTGATGCCGGTGTTCAGAAGTGAGATGGTTTTATGATCTCATGAAAAACAGTGGGATAACATAACTCTTCAAGCACTGCCTATCGTGCAGGGGAAATATGTTTGTGACGCAGGGGCTGCAATTTGAAGAGAAATGGTTGTTAAAGAAAATTCCTCTAGACTCTTCTGGCAGGCATGTAACACCGCTGCAGCAATAAAGAAAATGTATGCTGCTTCCTCCTGTAAATGTTGGAGATGTAATTGTAAAGATTATGGTTTTCTTCATACTTACAAAAGGTTTATGGAAAGGCATTTTAAAAGTCATATTACAGATAATTGGAGATATGCTACTTCCACAGGTAGAACTGCTAAACAATTTGTGAAGTGGTGTAAAAGAAGAAACACAGGATATCAGTTAGCAATCTTACAGGAGGTGCTAGAATGCTGATTGTAAGAAAGAAACAAAGAAATAAAGAACACGGAAGCATGTCAATCTGTAGAAAAATGGAATAGAGATATATGGAAATTATTAACAGCTTTTATTACTAATATAAGGCTGGGCAATGACAGAGCTATGATTAATTTCATGAATAACTAGGAAAGTGTATACTCTTCTGGAAGAGAAATAAATAAATATTGAGAAAACAATTCCCCCATGGATGTTAACAATGCTGTGAAGATTCATTATTATTTTTATGTTGGTTAGATGCTTTATACAAAAAGTCTCGAAGTGACAACAAGATAAAAAAAAATACAAACAGTTAAAATAATTAAAAATAGGAAAATTTAAAAACAATGTACAACGCAGAATTCCGAAAAATGCTCATCTAACAATGCAAGAAAGAAAGTCAAGCTTTGGACTACAAGAACCCAAAGCTCAACAGGTATTTTTATGGGTTTATGGGATTATAACGTAACATTTTTCCTGCTCCATAATAAATCCCTCTTCTCAGGTAACTCTGAGAACTGTTGATCTGTGTAAGTGAACAGGGATCTCCTAACAACTCTCAGGCCTCTTAACAAACATGGGGAAATGGATCAAATTTGTTTTTATTAGCCAATATATCCCATATTCTTAAAAGTGATTTAATTGTTTCCAGAGTCACCTGAGATTTCAAATATTTAGATCCTAATACAGTCGTACCTTGGATCCTGAACGCCTTGCGAGTAGAACGTTTTTGCTCCTGAACGCTGCAAACCCAGAAGTGAGTGTTCCGGTTTGTGAACATTCTTTGGAACCCGAACATCCGCCATGGGTTCCGCAGCTTCCGATTGGCTGCAGGGGCTTCCTGCAGCCAATCGGAAACCGTGCCTTGGTTTCCAAACATTTTGGATGTCAAACGGACTTCTGAAAAGGATTAACAGAATAACCTGATATTTTACCAAAAGCGTCTGTCATTTGGATCAAGATGGGTATGCTAGTCTGAGGTTCCAAAATAAACAAAAGTATATCGTCTGCAAATAAAACTAACTTATGTTCAACTGAATTATGAACTGCTCTGTGAATCTCACTATGTTGTCAAATAGTGCTAGCCAGAAGGAGAGTCCACAACCTCCCAAGACAGTCTATTCCACTGTCGGACAGCTCTTACCATCAGAAAGTTATTCCTGATGTTTAGTTGGAATCTCCTTTCTTGTAACTTGAAGCTACTGGACTGAGTCCTACCTTTTGGAGCAAGAGAAAACAAGCTTGTTCCATCTTCCACGTGACAGCCCTTTAAATATTTGAAGATGGCTTTCATATCTTCTCTCAGTCTCCTCTTCTCCAGGCTAAACATACTCAACTCCCTCAACCGTTCATCATAAGCCTTGGTTTCCAGCCCTGAGTTTTGCACTGAACAGATGTTTTGTGTCATGATTTGTTATGAAATGTTGACTTTTTTGGATTGGTTGTTGTGCTGGGCAATATTATGGAAAGTGGTAGAGAGCAGGACAAGGTATAACAGCTGAAAACCATAAATAAAATGTATGTAAATAGACACTATGCAAGTTACTATCACACACCGTAGTTCCTCACTCTCTGTAACAGTGGTCAGGATGAGATGGGAAACCAGTGGCAATTATAAAACGCTTTGAAGATTGCCAAATTGTGCCAAAATTGGCTAAATTTAGCTCAGTGGTAGAGCATCTGATTTGGATGCTGAAGGTCTCAGATTCAGTCCTTGGCCTCTCCAGGTATGGCTGGGAGAGAAGCTAGTCTAAAATCCGGAGAGCCATTGCCTGTCAGCCTAGACAATACTGAGCAAGATGAACCCATGGTCTGACTCCATATAAGGTAGTTTCCTGTACTCCAATTCTACTAATATTCCTGCCACCTCAGATTTTTTAACTCTGTTTTATGTATATATTTGTTAGTTTTGTTTAAAGAACTTCTAAGCTGCTCTTCATCCAAGAGGATCCCAGGGTGGTATATGACAATAACAACCATGACAAAAGATTATTTTATTGTGTCATGGGAATTGGGTTTCCAGACAATTCAAAAGCAGGAAGAATGGACCAGTATTTGTGTGGGGAAAATGTAGCAACAGAGCTGTAGTTGAGCTTCTTCTCTTTTGTCAATAGAAGCATTTTCATATTTTCCACATGTGTCTGAAGAGTGTATTATTCCACCACATTACACCTGTGCGACGCCTGCGGAGCAAGTATTTTTCTATGAAGCCACATCAGAAACATATGTGCCTGAGCTGTGCATGGTTCCTGCTTGGTTCACAAACTTTCCACTTCTCAGAAGCCTCACACTGCAAAGTAATGACGACTGTTTGGTTCTCTGTGTGGTTGTTTCAAGTGAGGCTAGTCAGGAAATAATGGGAGATGCAGGCCTATGACACTGTCTATATGTTCTTTGTAATCTCTCTTTATGATTTAACAACAGAAACTGAAAAGGCAATCGGCAACCTACAGAGCTGACAAAATCTACCCAACGGCTACATCTGAGCAGCCGGAAAATATCAGCAAGAACCGATATAAGGACATCTTGCCATGTAAGCTAGGAATTAAATATTTATCACCGTAGTTTTTAATCTTTCCAGCTACTGTATGAATGAGGTGACGTGTATTTGGGATGTGTACACCCTCTACTTTTAAAGCACATTATTTCCTTCAAAGCCCTGTAGTTTACCCCTCACAAAGTTCCACTTCCCAGCAACTCTTAACAAATGTCAGTGCTCAGAATGTGCTTTAAAATGCAGAGTCTGTACACAGCCTTGCAGTGTGAATGGCCCCTGTGCTTGTTAGAATTAATATAATGTATACAACTTGGATCCTAAATTAACCTAAGGACATTATTGCCTCTCTGCATCTCAGGTAAAGTGTTTGTTCTAGTGAGGTCTTCAGGGGTGGGAGGCGGAGAAGAATAACAGGTTCTATCATGTTGAGGGCAATTTCCCCCTTCTCAGCAGCCCATTATGTCTTTTCCTATATTGTTCAGGAGATAAACTTCAGAGAGACTTTTGGGGGGGTGTATAGGGAGAGGAATCTTTCCTTTCATGAACTTTCCTTTCATGAACTTGCCTTTGGACCCAAGGCAAGTTGTATGCAAACATGCTATTCACACACACCACACAAATGCCGAGTGGGGTGCAAATAAGAATGAGTATATGGTTCACACTCAATACACATCAACAGGTTGGTACAAAGATACATGTTTTCTGATACATCTTAGAAAAAAGATCAAACAAGTTTAGAAGGGCTTTTAAAAGAACGCTTGTTTACCTTCCTGTCAATAGCAATAGCTAGAGGAGGGGAGATATCACAGGGATTAATCAGTGGGTGCCTGTGAGACACTAGTCAAAGCAGCAATTATGGAAGCACTAGCTGGGTTGAAATCTCTTTTCCCCAGCAACTGAATGTTTTCATTCTGAGAACTGGGAAAATGCTATTTCCTTGGTTTGGATGCAATACTTTAGTGATGGCTATGTACATTGAGCATAACAAATGTGTCACCTTGACACATTCTGACCACAAAAAACAATACCCATTCTCTGAAAAAGGCTCTTAATATGTATAGGTTCCATGACTCATGTTCACCTTTGCATGCTGATAGACTTCTTAGGTCAGTCATTCCTTCCCCCCCCTTACTGTTTCATTCACTTGTGATTGTCGTCTGATTAGGGTACAACTACCCACTAGTTAGGGACGCGGGTGGCACTGTGGGTTAAACCACAGAGCCTAGGACGTGCCGATCAGAAGGTCAGCGGTTCAAATCCCCGTGGCGGGGTGAGCTCCCGTTGCTCGGTCCCTGCTCCTGCCAACCTAGCAGTTCGAAAGCACGTCAAAGTGCAAGGAGATAAATAGGTACCGCTCCGGCGGGAAGGTAAACGGCGTTTCCGTGCACTGCTCTGGTTCGCCAGAAGCGGCTTAGTCATGCTGGCCACATGACCCGGAAGCTGTACGCCGGCTCCCTCAGCCAATAAAGCGAGATGAGTGCCGCAACCCCAGAGTCGGTCACGACTGGACCTAATGGTCAGGGGTCCCTTTACCTTTACCCACTAGTTAGCTGACATAGTTTCCTAACCTCATATTTTACTTGTAATGCTATTACAGAGGTAGGGAACATTTAGAGGGGAACATCAGTTGGCTTAACCCTTCTCCTCCCACAATTCTTTATCTAGTTCCTCTCTCCCCCTCCTCACTGTGGAGCAGCTGGGGAGGGGTTGTTTGGCACTATTGTCACTGGCAGATCAAGGAAGGCTCAAGCACATTCACTGTCCACTCACCACCCCTGCATTATCAGTAGCTGGCAAATATGTTTGCTGAAATAATTTGCAGTTCTTCCCTTAATTAAAGAACATAGACTCCTCTCTGAGATCTCAGCCATAACAACTTTGGCGATACGTAAGTTATATTTTGCCATTCTGGAAGCTGCAACTTGAGTTCTCCAAATTCCTGGGCATTAAAGCTGCTCACATGAGTAGATGTTTCCTGTGAAGGAATAAAATGGGGATCGGAGTGGCTTCTGACCTTTTGCCAGATGAAAATGATCTTGGATATACTGAGTTGTATCCAGTACTGTGGAAGCAGAGCTCCTCTCACACAATGGGACTTCCATTTCCTCTCTTTCCACTATGCTCTCTCAAAATCTGCTCGCTCTCTCTCTCTCTCTCTCTCTCTCTCTGTGTATGTCCTCCAATACTTTGGAGTTGATTTTGAGAGCTGCAGAGGAACAGAAGAGGAAGTTCCATGACAGGCACAGAAGTCTGTTGTATGAACAGAACTGCAGCATTGGATGCAGCACACTTAAACAAAACCTGGCTTTCAAAGGCTTGGATCCAAAAATCCTCCTTCCCATAGCAGCCTCTCAAAACTCCACTTCTGAGGGCTGCATGGGGTTGCAGCTGTGTATGTTCGAATCAGCTACTTGGCCCATTCATGAGTAGAAGTGCCTTTCATTTGGATGAGAAGATATTTGGACCCAACCCCAAGTTTATTAGATACAATTTATCAACACCATTTAATTTAATATCAAATATAGATATTCTGTGGAAGAGATGGAAATAGACTTGGTTGGGGGATGGATTGGTGTGTGGCAGGAGATGAAAACACTCTGGGAGCAGGAAACAGAGAAGGAAATATACCCAGTGGTGCATATACTTAGGCAGGAACAACCTTTTGCTCCAATACAATGCAAAACAAGCTATTTTGATCCTTGTTGGTGCACCACAGAAGAAGCTAAGGTCAAGCACAACCCCCCCCCCCGAACATTCTGTGATGCAAATGAGCATGAACTGTGCTGCTAGTTACGTATTTCTTTCTCTCTTTCTGTTCAGGCCAGGAAATATTATGGGGAGCAGCACTAAAAAAAAGTGTGCATCCTTGTGAAAGTGCTTGGAATGTGCCTGTGCAGTTGGGTGACAAAAGGGTTTAAGGGTGACCTCTCACAAAGCAACTGTCACAGTGAAACTTGACTTGGATTTGCTGTTCTAGGATCCGTTATATAAAGTTGTTTCATTTGCTCTTCCCTATAGATGACCACAGCAGAGTGAAGCTCTCCCTTATCACGTCTGACAAAGACTCTCATTACATCAATGCCAATTTTATCAAGGTAGTACCTCATTTGGTGGCCTGTCGCACATGATTCGCATGGACTGTAGGCTCTGCTGAGTGAAAAATACAGGCATATGCTAATAATCTAAAGCTGTCATTGAGCCCCTGGAGACATTTAAAAACTGGAAAAAACTGTTGTGGGTACTGCACACACACACATAATATATGCATGTACACAATGCAATCAGTCAGTAATGGGAACGACAGACCACAACTGCATATAACCTCCAATAATTTGCCCCCATCCTGCAGTTAGGCTTGAAAAAAGCCTCTTATTGGCTACAATGGAAGGCTTCTTTCAAGCCTAATTTCAGTAGAATGGGTGGCTGTGGGACAACTAGAAAGGCCTATGTGATGCCTGGAACAGCACTCATGATTGCTGCTTTGGTGACCCACAATCCTTAGTCAGGTTTATATGAGAATGCAAATGGTTTAATGGAGAAAGTACTCCTCACATTGAAGAGATCCCAGGAGTGGCGAATTAATTAAAATATATTTGAAAAGTTATAGGGCCTTTGAAATACCTTACGTTTGGGCTTCTAATTTAATCCTAGGCTACGTGAGTTCCTTCCACTGCCTTCCTCACTAAGGAAGTACTCTAAGGAAGTTGTCTCCTCTCAATAGTTCTCTGTCCCATTTAATAGCAGGAAGTCACACAACCTCCTGTTTTTAGCAGTCCTTCTGAAGTTAACGACACAACCAATTTCAGGATATTGTTACGAGTTTTTGGGTGCCCAGATCCCCCAAAATTCCTGGGTCTAAAAAAAAGTTAGAATTCTGTGTCTGTTTTGCAAGCTGGAGGGGGGCGGGGCAGGAAATGGGTGGCCTGTTTTACGCTGCAGTGAGGGTCAGTGAGGGCCAGTCACAATGTTTGGGGTTTCTTAGAATCTGGAGCTGCAGCAATAGAGGGGACAGGACCTTCCTGGCATGTGAATGCTCTGCATTTTCTCCATCTAGGCTTGTGTTGTATATATGTGTAACTAAATTATATATAATAAAGACACCACAGTCTCTGCTGTGCCTCATTGTTCCAAAAGGAAACACAGACCCTGATCAGTGTGCCAGGTACCCCTGGAATCTCACACCAGTTGGAGATTGGGGAGGCGTGTAACAATATAATGGGAAAATACAAAATACTCCAGAGTGGATTGCACCTAAATGCTTTTTAACAAAAACTTGTATTTTATTTATTTCCTTTTTAGGGTGTGTATGAGCCAAAGACTTACATAGCTACTCAGGGCCCCCTTCCCACAACTGTTGTTGACTTCTGGAGGATGATTTGGGAATATAAAGTCCTGGTAAGCTCCAGATCAGTGCTACTTACAAGTCACTCCTACAGTTTTACATTCAAACATTGCTTGCTTTTTCCAGGGGAGGGATGGGGTCCCATGAAATGAATTAAGTCAAGGGAATGGTTGCACTAATTCTGGAGTTTACAGACCTTGGTTACAGCTTGTGTTTAGTCAGGAGAGAACTAAGCCACAAGCCCAGTTTCAGATGGTACACTAATCCAAACTGTGGCTTAGCTCAGTGTGGTGCAGTAACAAATCAGCTTGGGAGAAGTGGTCTGGACACACATGCATGCATATTAAGCCATTGTTTTGTGTAGTGTGATGTGCAAACCAGGCCAGATTGTGGTTTGTTTGGAGTTAAGCAAGCCACAATTCCTGGTTCAAATATAATGCTAAGTCAGAGATCACGGTTTGTTTCCTGCCTTCACTAGTGATAAGGTTATGACTTACTGTGATACGTAAATATGTATTCATACCTATTGCTTTCTGCTAGACTTTGCTCCCCATGTTTCAACCTGCTTTTAGCCTGCTTTATCATGGGTTTTCTTTTCATCATTTTGCATTCATGCACATGTGCAGTTGTACAGTGATCATATTTACATTAACTCCCCCTGGTGATGCTTACATTCAACAGCCTGTCCCATACACTAACAGCAGATGCTGAGACTTGGCAACAGTGGAAGGAGCCTAAAGTCAACAGCTACAACAGCTGCTGGATAATTTCTGGACACCGTGGTAGAGTTTAAAAGTGCCTAAACATTGAATCCCTTGTTTTTCCAAAACCCACTAATCCTACATAAGCAACTAAATGTTGCAGCTCATACAAATTAGGGAAACAAAGCAAATATGTACAGCTTATTCCGTTCCCAGGATTTGAGACTTCTAGCTATATAAAAAGGATGGAGTTCTTACTTAAAAAAAAAAAATCTAAGCCATCCTACTGCACACAGCCATTTTCTATAAGTGACAATTCTGCTCAAAGGCATCACCAGCCACATGCTGCATATTTGCATGTCCCATGCACACACTGGAGGGCAGGGGCAGCCATATGGCATCATGCGTCACTTGTACGCATTCCAGTTTCCCTCCTGGTTAATGCACATGTTCCCTTATTGTGAAAAAATCTGATTAGTACTGTCAAGGGAGGTATAGCTGTGGGAAATCCAAGGGTGTGGTGGAACTGTTCTATTTTTGGAAGAGTTCCTCAACCCCGCCCCCATGTGTTACATGGCATTTCTTTGGAGCAGGGGTGCTCTACTGCCACACCTCCTCAGTGCTTGTTTGACTGTTAGTGCTTGTAGGCACACCTGAGCCATTTTATCTCCAGGAACTGCAATGCAGAGGTTGGTGCTTTTGCTTCAGCTAGTGACCCCGTGGGAAGAGAAGGGAGATGGAAATAGTGCTGGGCATGGAAATTTGTTTTATTTTTCTTCGTTGCAAAGTGGGACTTTACACCTGGTATAAGCCTAGTTTAGAATTTTGTCGCTAGACTTTTTTTTGGTGAACAAATCCCAAAGCTATAAAGAAAAAAGAAAAACCTTCCCATTTCACACACACCACAATCATTTGAGAAGCTTGCAAAAAAACAAAGCAAAACAAAACAAAACCCAGATGATGTATCAAAGGCCCTTGGAGTGAAATGGGATGTCCCAGCAACTCCCCCCCTCCCTCCCTCCCTCCCTCCCTCCCTCCTTCCTTCCTTCCTTCTTCTCTCTCTGTCTTGCAGAATCAAAGGCTGGCTTATTGCGCGTCTCTCATGCAAGTGCAGGAGATGTGCAACAAATGCAGGAGCAACTGTACACCAAACATTGCATGTTGCTGGACAATTACAAAAATCACACCCTGCTTGATTCTTGATGTGGCTGCTTGGTGAGGTGGAGCAAGTAGGGGGTGGAAAGTATGGAGAAAGAAAAAGGGCTATGCAGGAACAAAATAGGCACTATCAGACATCCACTGGTTTGGATGGGAAGCAACAGTGAAAATATAAAACTAGCAAAGGGGTGAATGGAAACGTGCTATCTCATATTATGATAAAAATGGAATGAGAAGGAAAAGAAATTGGCAGAGGTCTACCTTGTGGAAGTGCCCAGTATTGAAAATTTTCCTATTTTATTTGTGTAGCTGAAGGGCGCTCAAGTGTCTTTTTATTTTTATCTCTCCAGGTTGTGGTCATGGCTTGCATGGAATTTGAAATGGGGAAGGTAAGCTCTGTGCCAGTGGATAGCACACACACACACACACACACACACACACAGAGAGAGAGCTTAATATAATAAAAAAACTCTAAGAAGTTTGCATTAAAAAAATCATTCAACAAATTTCCTAAAAGCTAAATAAAGATAAAGTGAAAACCAAATTATATATCACAAGTAAAACTAAGCACTTTGCAAAAATAAAAAAGAAGGTCATCCAGCAGAGCAACCAAGGATGATTCGGATTCTGTCCCAAAACTGGACTTGACCTGAAAGGTCAATATAATCAAAATATTGCAGAGAATCTGTGTTTTCCTCAAGTGGTGTCTATATAAGATAGTGCTAACTCTCCTGGCCACCATTCCATCCTCTTTTCTGAATTATCAGAATCTTTAAAAGTCTCTTTGAACTGTGTGTGTGCCACTGTGTCTTTTCTTGGTGGAATTACTTTTTGTACAAGCTAAATCAGACTGTTTAATGATCCCAGATCTGGAATTTGACACTTTCAGGCTCTTGCCTCAAAATACACACACACACACACACACACACACACACACACACACTCCCTCCCTCCCGCAACCCTGTATTAATTTTAAAATTCAGACAATGAAGGAGAAAAAGTAAAAGCACCAAGAGTACATGTCTGGATACAACTTTGGCACCAAACCTATGATGTGGGAATTCTGTGACTGAAGCTCCCAACATTTTTTATTTTCCTTTATGGTATGGTGTGAAAGTGGGGTGGTGGTGGTGGTGGTTAAGCTTTCGTTCCATGCTTTGTTCCCTGGTATAAATTGTACCCTCAGCCTCAGAGCTGCTATTAGTCATGGAGAGAGAAATTTACAGTCACTTGTACTTGTCAGTGGTTGTTGAGACAATTATGACTTCAGTAAGTTTTATAGGGCCATAGTTGAGCAGTTTAAAGTTGTCCTTTATGGTTTATCAATGGATACACCAATTATCTCTGTGTGCAGATTGCTTCTCATAATGGGTTCACAGTTGAGCCAGGCTGTGTATATGCCAGATCTTCCTTGAGCTCCCATTAAAAAAATAGGTTTATGGCTCCCTGTTTCTGTTTCTTTATTAGCATCAGCCCCTTGTCCTTGGACTTTCCCCAGTATTTCTAGTCAGTAGTTCTCTTATTGCAAGCGTTTTGATTCCCCTCCTCCCATTCAGTATATCACCTGCTTCAACAAGAAGCCACAGAAGTATACAGTGGTTGTTGAGCATCCTGCCCAAGGTGTGCCCTTCACTGGGGGAAGGGCCATAGCTCAGTGGTAAATCTGCCTTGCATGCAGGAGGTCCCAGATTCAATCCCCAGCATCTTCAGGCAAGACTGGAGGAGATTCCTGTCTAAAACCATGGAGAGCTGCTGCCATTCAGTGTAGATGATACTGAACTAGATGGACAAATGACCAGACTCAGCATAAGGCAGCCCCCTATATTCCTATGTCTGTGGCCAGGCTTAGAAACCAAGTGAATTCTATAAACAATTAAGGCAGCCTCCACTACTGTATAGTGAATGTCTTAAGGCAGCCTCCACTACTGTATAGTGAATGTCTTAAGGCAGCCTCCACTACTGTATAGTGAATGTCTTTTTTTGAAGAAGTGTTGCGTCTGAGAGTTGCCAAGTTGGCCAGACAGCTGAACGCATCACTTGTGTGGCTGAAACTTTCCCTGACTGGAAACCACTTTTTGTGCTGGGGGCAGGGAAAGGAAGATGTGAGAGTTGACAAGGCAAGAGACAGATAAACACAGTCTCCTTCTACTTCTTTTCCAACAGAAGAAATGTGAGCGATATTGGGTTGATGCAGATGAGTCTCCAATCAATATGGGCCCTTTCTGCATATCCTGTGTGAGTATAACCATGCTTATCCCCCGGTCTGTTTTAATTCATAGTTTGCATTCTGATTAATGCAAATTGTTGCTGTTTACCAGCAGAAAATGTCATCCTGGTTTGTTTTCCTATAGGAGGCTGAAGAAATGAGAAATGAGCATGTGATTCGCACTCTGAAAGTGAAGCTGAATGACAGTGTAAGTCTGGGAACATATGGTAGGAATGCTTGGGGAAGTAGTCTGTGCTGGTGCCACCGATCAACCCATTTGTGTGAATCCTTTTGTGGTTCCAATACACCACTTATGGTGGTGGTAATAGAGTCTGATGCTTCATAACTGCAGGAGCTTGCATCCAGCATAAACTTGAGGAAGTAATCTTTGCCTAAGAAGAGTTTTGAGTCAGGTATAAATGCTTAAGCTCCATTAAGTTCAATGGGACTCATCTGTTGCACTGATGCATTCATAGCATGTAGAACTGTTGTCAGGGAAAGGAAGACAGCTAGAGAAAATAGAGGGGAGAGAAACAATTATAGAGAGCCCAGAGAGCTCATTAGCAGTCAGTCATCCGACTCAGAGGGGGAAATAGGGAGGGGGCAACCAGTCCCCGGAACTAGCTACTCGGAGAACAAAGGAAATAAGAGGCGTGCCCTCCACCGATGGGCATGCTGGGGAAAAAGACATCTGGAGACATCTGATTGAGTTAAGCACGGATGCGTTTGTTTGAACTCTTGTAATTGCTTCGAACTTTTAGTAATAAATCAACAAGACAGAAATGGCTGGAAGCCTGGAGCGTTATCTTTACTAGCTTGGCAGCGAACACTCCTTACAACTGTGAATAGGGATATTGGTATGGAAATCTGAACAGCCACAATCTGAATATGCTCAATGGAAAGGTGTAGGTATGGTTTGAGTCTTTGCAGATATGTAGGGTGTTCAGTTCAGCCTAACTTTGCATCCTCAAATGGCTACAGTGGCATGTGTACCCACAACAGTGAAATTACCCACCCACTACTTCCACCACCTTCAAATGAGGATGAGATCAATCAGAGTCACTTCTTCTCCTTTGGTGCCTTTACAGGATAGCCGAACTGTCTACCACTTCCATTATAAAAACTGGCCAGACCATGATGTACCGTCCTCAATCGACCCTATTCTTCAACTCATAGAGGAGATGCGCTGCTATCAAGCACACAGTGATGCACCTATCTGTGTACACTGCAGGTGAGGCTATTTGGCAGTAGAGATTTATTCTTTTCTTATGCCAAGGCAGAATGCTCAGTCTCTGTATTAATGCTCAAAGGGAAATACACACTCAACTATAATCTTGGAGGCTTACAATTATTTTAGTTTTGCATCTTCTCCTTTGTCTCCCCTCTCTGTGGATTCTATATTCTGATTATTTTCATGTAATGTTTTCTCCACCAAGTCAATATGTTTTCTTAGTTTTGCTGTCCAAAAATACCTAATCCTGTAGTGAGGTTAAAAGATGCATACCACTTAGTTCAGAGCAAGAAATTAAGTGAGTTCAGCAAATAGATCAGAAATATACATTGAGGGTTGATATCAACCTCAATTTGAATGGATGACATTATCTGCCCCCAATACAGCTCCTGGGAAAGCACATAAAAATCCGTTCAGGAGCTATTTTAGGACCGGTTCAGGGGAAGGACAAAATTTTCTTAGGTTTTTCCACAAATTGACACTTGTTCCGATTCAGCAATAAAAAGCGGGTTTTCCCAGGGCAAGTGGCAGGACAAAAAACCCAAAACTTTCTCAGGCCTGTGATAATAGATTTATACAAAGTACTAGTAATCACAGGACAAATAAATGGGTGGATGGGCCCTAAGAGATTTTCAGGGAAGGTTGAATGTTCTTTTATTAAAATACTGGAGGAAAAAAGAGAGCTGTATGCTGGATGAAAATGAGAGCTGTTCTTGCCCTTCTTCCAACAATCCCTTGTGTCTTTTTTTCTATTAGTGCGGGCTGTGGAAGAACAGGAGTCATCTGTGCCATTGACTATACGTGGACTTTGCTAAAAGACGGGGTGAGTTTTTGTTTCCCTGTTAAACATCTTTGTACTGTTCATGTGCTGCTATATCAGGCAAGGAACTTCCCACCGATGGTAGTATAACTGTCACGAGATGGGAAATTTTGCTGTCTGTTATGCTGTTACTGGAAATGGAAACTTTTTCACTAGCTGATGTGTATAACTGCCCAGAGTATAGTGTAAATATCCAGAGGATATTGTTGACTGGGTAATGTATGGATGCCATCAATCAATCAGTAGGAATTACTGAAACTCTTCGGTAAGACTCTGAAATACGAATTCAGTTATAAGGTGTGTTGCGACACAGAGTGGATGGTTGGATCTGGGCATTCCATATCACCAACAGTTCTTTGTCTTTCCTCTCCCCTTCATCATCTTAAGATTCTGCCAATGAACTTCAGCCTTTTTAATACGATCCAGGAAATGCGAACACAGAGGCCTTTATTAGTGCAAACACTGGTACGTTCAAAAAATATTTTTTCTATCGTGCAAAGTATATATGAAATTGTAGAAAGTATGTTTGCCTTATAGAGAGACGCTGCTGTGCTCTAACAAGGAAATCCTTGTGTGTGTGGCAATAATGTACAAGAGCCCTCTTTGCATGAAAGCCTCCTGCAGAGACATCAAAGGAAAAGGTGCAGTTATTATCAGAAGAAGGGAGATCAAAGTTCAAAATGCTAAGGCATTTTGTGGATAATGTGCCAAATAAACTGGCTGGCAAAAGGGCACGCACAATCTTTTAAATGCTTATTGCCACCAGGAAATGATCTGTTCTCAAAATGATGTTCAATCATTCCATGAAATCTTTAACCCATTAAAAAGGTACTGTCCCAGAAAATGGAGCAGTGCCAGAACTTCAGTTTCCTCTTATATGTCACCAAAGCTCAGCATGAAGCATAGTCACACCCACTTATTAAATGAATCTCCCCAACTTTGGGGATAACCACTGCTCCTTAGCTTGTATGCTAGAAAATATCAGTATAGCTTTCAAAGTCTATGATGAAGTAGAGAAATGAATGAACAAAAGTTGCATATCTCCATGTTATTTATTGGCATCATTTTACAGGAGCAGTATAAGTTGGTCTATGATGCTGTGATTGAGCTCTTTAAAAGGCAAATTGAGGCACTCGCTCATCATTCCGATAACTTTGCTATGGAGGTAAGTGTACAGTGTCTGGTTACAAATACAGAGCATTTCCCCCCAAAATACAGCATTCCTACCAATGCTAGCACCAAACAGGAACTGGAACAGGAAGTACTTCAAACGTTGCATTTATCCTTTGTAGAGAAATTCAGATCTCAGGCCAACAATATTGCATTCACCCAACCCCTGTTTCTTGCATGCAAACTCTCCCCTGTTGCTGGTTTTTGTGTGATGTGTGATCAGTTATCCACCCAATTTTCCACCTGTCCCTTTGGTTTCTGAAAGCTAAGTCAGAAGGAGTGAGCAGGGCTTAAACAGAAAATCACCCTGAGCTCATTTCTCTAAGGATTAGTTCATTGATGATGATGTCAATATCCTGCAATGTTGTGATTCCACAGCATGGAATTTCCAAAATGTACGTTCCACCCTCTCTTATTCACAGAACTGCAACCTACTCATTTGCAATTGCACATTAAATGAGTGTTCACATTATTGCCTTAGAGTGTTGTGAAGTTGCTTTTCCCCTGGTGCATTTCACAGCTCTATCTTCCCTAGCCATTCACTTTGGCAAGGCTTCAATACACTCCTGTTTCTGTTCACATCATGGAGCATTTATGGGGTGGGGAGCAAGTCTTTGTCCTATGCAAAGGTGTCCATACCTTGCCTAGAGGTGAATGAGGAATGGCTTGTGAAACTGGTTGACAAACAACACACCCAGCAGCAGTATTCTATAACAAAGTACAGGATACACAGGCTTTTTGAATAACATCATGTGAACACGGATTAAAAATGCAGCACTAGAAACACAGTGAGTGCACAGTAAAGAGAAGTGTGAACACAACCTTTACTACTAAGTGATAAAGGAAAACCTAAGATAAATTCAAATGCCATTACTCCGATTCTTTAAGTCCCAACTGAATCTTACCCACACCAATCCCCCCCCCCCGTGTGCTTGTTGTTGTGTTTGCGGAGACCTTCTGCTCAAGCTGAGAGAGTCATTTTCTTTCTCATCTGCTGTGGGCAGTTATGTGGTCTAGCAGAAGCGTAAGGCCAGGGTGACAGAGGCAGCATTTCAACCAGGATGTGGTTTCACAGATACTGGCTGTTTTTCACAGCTTTTAGGACCTTCAAAAAGGACCTTTGAAAAAGCAGTTTACCAAAAATGGATTTGGGGCTGAGACTGACTTACAATATCAAGACAAGAGCAAACCCACCTCTGCGGAGCCTGTCTGAATGATTAACCCGAGGGCCTAGATAGAGAGCTTCCTTGAGAGAAATTTGGGGCATATATCTTTAAAGAAGCTAGGTGCATGCTGTCAGGGAACTGCCATCGGACGGAAGGGAGGTGAAAGGGCTCACACAGGTTGGGAGAGACGCAGCAGCTGAAGAGGGAACCAACAGGGAGGTGAAAGGGCTCACACAGGTTGGGAGAGACGCAGCAGCTGAAGAGGGAACCAGCAGGGGAGAGGAGCTGAGCTGGAGGGATGGCTCAGAGACACTTCCAGCGAAAACAGTGGGGAAGTTTCAGGACCTCCTGTAAGAACAACCACTCCTCGCCGGAAACTGTCACGCAGAGATTCCAGAAGACGTGTTTCCGTTAAGGAGCTTTTATGTTGGAAGCGATTACGAAAGCAACCACTGTCGGAATCTGCTAGTGACTAGAGTAGCCATGTCTGAGGGCTCCGTCACAGACAGAGGTTTGTGGACTTGAACAAACTCTGAGGGGATACGATTTTACGCACAAGCAGCTCATCATCCCATCACAGCATTCCGACAGTCTTTGAAAGCAGCTTGTGCAGGAGAAGGCATCATGAGCAACCCAGCCGGAACCGGAGAAGCAGGAGCTGGAGCGGGTCCAAGCCTGGAAGAAAGGTACCAGATGTTGGAGGTCCAGCTAGCGATGCAGACGGCGAGGCTTGAGGAGAGGAGGGCTCAGGATGCAGACAAAAGGGGGAAAGCCACCCAGTTTGCCAGAAAGGTACCAGGATTGGTGCAGAAGTTTGGGGGGGGGAGCCCAAAAACTATCATGGTTTTCGGACAGAAATGCAATATGCCCTCAATCTGCAGTTTGATGAATTCCCTGACGAGGAATCACGAGTGGCTTTCGTGATTGAGCATCTTGAAAAGGGTTGCGAGAGACTGGGTTAGACCCCTGATGGCAGCTAATAGTGACGTCTTAAAGGACACGATGAAGTTCTTTCGCGCCATGGATCTGATGTTTTCCAGCGATATTGAAAAGGGAGTGGTGCGCAGACAGTGAATGGGTTGCAAACAGGGAGCCGATCTGTCCGTGAGTACTGGACTGAGTTCACCATGCTTGTTCACAGATTGGGGTGGGACTTATCGGCGGAACCCATTCAAATGCTCTTTGAAGAAGGGCTTTCTTCGGCTGTGAAAGACGAACTTTCCCGGGCGCCCAGGGCGGAGTCTATGGACCAGCTGACCAAATCAGCGCTGGCCATAGGAGCGCGCCAGGAGGCGAGAGCATTGGAGAGGCGGGAAGGGAAAGGGGAACGTTGGAAGGAGTTCCGCATTCCAGACATTCCAGAGCCAACTTTCCCACCGGCAGAGCCGATGGAAATCGGAACAGCGGCGCGCGCGCAGTTTCAAAGCCCAGTGAGGGGGCAAAGAAGGAGGGAAAAGGCGCCCGGAAATGCTATCTCTGCCAACAGCCAGGTCACTTTGCCAGAGTCTGCCCCCAGAGGAAAGAATGGCAAGGGATGGTAGGAGCTGTGGATGGAAGAGAGGAAAATATACCGGAGCAAGTAAAGCCAACGCCTGGCTGCCACTGTCAGGGCACAGCAGCCAGGCCAAAGAGCAGTGAGAGTGCCCACGCCAGAACCTCCTAAACCCGCCCTAGTGATAGAAGTGACGCTAGAGCTGCCAAACGGACACCCTCTAAAGATAAAGGCGCTGTTGGACTCAGGCAGCTCCTGCAATTTCATGAGCAAAGAGTTTGCAGCTGAACACCAGATACAGACAATCCTTTAAGCAGCCCCCTGCAGGTGACCACGATCGATGGCAGGGAGCTGTTGGGTGGAGAAGTCAGCTTGCAGACCGTCCCAATGATAATGAAGGTAGCAAGGCACACCGAACTGATAGCTTTTAATGTGGCCACCTTGGGAGGAGCTCCCATTATATTGGGGATGAGCTGGCTAGCGTTACATGATCCGCTGGTGGGCTGGCATCAGAGAGTGGTTTCTTTTGGTTCAGCACATTGCTTAGAACACTGCAAAGAGGGAAAGGGTTTGGCAGGGGTCCAAGCCACCCTAGCAGGGACTGAAGTAACAGAGAACGTGAAGGTACCACGACAATATGCAGATCTCCGTGACGTCTTCAGCGAAAGGGAGGCTGACCAACTACCCCCGCATAGACCCTTTGACTGTCAAATCAACTTACTCCCTGGAGCACAGCTCCCTGTAGGCAAGCTGTACGCCATGTCAGACAGAGAGATGCAGGAGTTAAGAGAGTTCATTGACAAGAACCTGAAGAGAGGGTTCATCAGAGAGTCCAGGGCGGTGGGGGCAGCCCAGTGTTTTTGTGGATAAGAAAAACACGAACAAGCCGAGGCTGGTGTGTGACTTCAGGGCCTTAAATGCAGTGTCAGAACCAGTAGCCTTCCCTATGCCCAGGATTGACGACATTTTGACAAGGGTGCGGAAGGGAAAGATTTTCACAAAGCTGGACCTAAGGGGGGCGTACAACCTGGTACGAATAAGGAAGGGGGATGAATGGAAAACCACTATGTTCACCCCTTTAGGGGCATTTGAATATTTGGTTATGCCCTTCGGCCTACAAGCAGGCTCCGCAACATTTCAATCATTTATGAACCACGTCCTGGGGCCTTTGCTTTACAAGAATTGTGTGGCCTTTTTAGACGACGTGTTGGTGTATTCTGAGAATGAGGAGCAGCATGTGAGAGACGTCAGAGAAGTGTTGAGCAGGCTGCAAGCCAACCAGCTGTGGGTGAAACTGGAGAAGTGTCAGTTTCATACCAAGGAGGTGGAATTCCTGGGGTATCGCCTGTCAGACAAGGGATTGGCCATGGATCCCGGCAAGGTCCAGGCGGTACTGGAATGGAAAACACCCAAAACAAAGAAGGATGTGCAGAGGTTCCTAGGATTTGGGAACTTCTATCGTAAGTTCATCCGAAACTTTGCCCACCTGACGGCGCCCATTACGGACTGTCTCAGCAGTAAGAAGAAGTTCGTGTGGACTGAGGAGGCGGAGCGAGCATTTGAGGAACTAAAAGGGCCTTCGCCTCGGAACAACAACTCCTGCATGTGGATTTACAAAAACCGATGAGAGTGGAAACTGACGCATCAGACAGAGCGATTGGGGCGGTGCTTCTGCAGCCAGGCAAGAAGGGGTCAGAGTGGAGACCGTGTGCCTTTTTCGCGAAAGCTGAACAAATCCGAGAGGAACTACACGGTGTATGACCGAGAACTACTAGCCATTCATGAGGCGTTCCGGAGATGGAGGCACCTGCTAATTGGCGCACAACATAAGGTGCAAGTGTGCACTGACCACAAGAACCTAGAGTATTGGAGGACGGCACGAGTGCTCAACCAACGGCAAGTGAGATGGGCCCAGGAGTTCTCCAAATTTAACTTTGAGATTAGTTACGTGCCAGGCCCAGAGAACATTAGGGCGGACGCTCTCTCACGCAAACCTGAATATTTGGAGGGGGAGGGGGCACCCGAAGAGAGACATGTTATTCCAGAAGACCGCTGGGTGTGTGGGGCGGCATTGGTGGGACAAAGAGAACTGGTAGAGGAAACAGAGAATGATGAATACGCCCAGAATAAGCTCAGAGGTCTTAGGGGTGATGGAGAGGAATCAGGGGTTTTGAGGAAAGAAATGGAGCTTTGTATTACAAAGGGGCACTGTAGATCCCTGCAGGAGAGTTAAGGTGGAGGGTACTCAAGCAGTTGCACGACAGCCCTACGGCGGGGCATTTTGGACAACACAAAACCATGTGGTTGGTCACCAGGGAATTTTGGTGGCCTAAGGTGAGGGAAGATGTACGTGAGTATGTAAGAGGGTGCGAGCAATGCCAGCGAGCCAAAGGGAAAGGCGGGCGCCGGCGGGGCTATTAGAACCCTTACCAACCCCAGAACGACCTTGGGAGGCAGTGTCGATAGATTTTATGACTGATCTGCCGAAGTCCAAAGGGAAAACAGCCATCATGGTGGTGGTAGACCTACTAACAAAGATGTGCCACTTTGTAGCTTGCTCGCATGCAGTCACGGCGGAAGAGACAGCGAAGTTATTTGTAGAAAACATTTTTAGGTTGCACGGGGTGCCATTGAGGGTGGTCTCAGACCGAGGAAAACAATTTACTTCCAGGTTCTGGAGGAAGCTCATGAGCTTACTGCAGGTGGAGGTCAATTTTTCGACTGCCCGGCACCCTGAAACCAACGGGCAGGCGGAAAGAGCAAACGGTGTCCTCCAGCAATACCTGAGGTGTTATGTCAATGACAGAGAGAATGACTGGGTAGAAAAGTTGGCGCTGGCGGAATTTGCCTACAACAATGCCGAGAATGTGTCCACAGGGATGAGCCCCTTCTTGGCTAATTATGGGTGTCATCCCAGGGCTTTCCCAGGGGGAGAAGGGGAGAGATGGAGCGTCCCGGCAGCCGAGCATTTTGTGGAAGAAATGGAAGCAATCCATCGTCAGCTCCAACTCAACTTAGAAAGGGCGAAGGAAGAATACAAGAGGCAGGCAGACAAGAACCGAAGGGAAGGTGAAACCATAAGGGTGGGAGATAGGGTGTGGCTGTCAACCCAAGGGTTGCCGTTCAAAGGAGGTTGTAAGAAATTAAGACCCAGGAGGTTGGGTCCCTTTGAGGTCATTCAACAGGTCAACCCAGTGGCTTTCAGGCTCCGGTTACCCAACCACATGAAACTGCACCCAGTATTTCACAGGTCGTTACTGTCACCGTACGAAGGGGGACGAGAAGGGCTGGCCCCTCGGGGACCGGTCGTAGAAGAAAGAGAATGCAGCAGCCATGTGGCAGAAATCCTCGACGCCAGGTGGAAGGGGGATCAGGTGGAGTATTTGGTAGCGTGGGAAGGAGAACCGGAGTCAGAAAACACTTGGGTAATGGCTGAAGATATCAATGACGAGGTATTGATAGAAACGTTCCATCAAAGGTTCCCAAGGAAACCTCAGCCTGTGGAGAGGTTCCGGAGGGAATACTTTGGGACCACTGATGAAGGGGAGGAGTTGGAAGGATTCCCGGACTCGGAAGGGGAAGGGGAGATGGACTCTGAGGAGGAGGTGTACTTCGAGACCAGGAACCGCAACAGGTTGAGAGAAGTGTTCGAGACATCGGAAGATGAAGGAAGTTCATTCCGGGGTTTTGCCTCCTCACCGCCTGTAGAGGAGGGGGCGAGAGGGGGTGAAGGGGGCCCTGGAGGGGAGGTGGATGTCAGGGAACTGCCATCGGACGGAAGGGAGGTGAAAGGGCTCACACAGGTTGGGAGAGACGCAGCAGCTGAAGAGGGAACCAACAGGGAGGTGAAAGGGCTCACACAGGTTGGGAGAGACGCAGCAGCTGAAGAGGGAACCAGCCGGGGGAGAGGAGCTGAGCTGGAGGGATGGCTCAGAGACACTTCCAGCGAAAACAGTGGGGAAGTTTCAGGACCTCCTGTAAGAACAACCACTCCTCGCCGGAAACTGTCACGCAGAGATTCCAGAAGACGTGTTTCCGTTAAGGAGCTTTTATGTTGGAAGCGATTACGAAAGCAACCACTGTCGGAATCTGCTAGTGACTAGAGTAGCCATGTCTGAGGGGCTCCGTCACAGACAGAGGTTTGTGGACTTGAACAAACTCTGAGGGGATACGATTTTACGCACAAGCAGCTCATCATCCCATCACACATGCATATTTAGGTTGCAGTACTAGAAGAAATTGATGATATGGCCCTGTGATTCCCACCCCCCGGGGTAGGCTGGAGACAAGTGCGGGCTGGGAATTATGGCCCAATACAGTTGAACCCTTATTTGAAACAGCTTGAATCAGAGGGCATGTCCGGACAAGGTTGTTCCACACTTGTTCTGTGTGCGCAACTGGTACATGAGGATCCACACACTCCTATTTCTTTCAGTCGCCATATTAATTGTTATTCCGTTCCTTGCAATCCACACCAGTCAGCAGAGGTTGACAGACAATATCCCAGGTGCGGGTTTTTATCCCTCCCCTCAAGCACACTGCCTTCCTCCCCCAGTTCACTTAGGCAGTGTACACATCACCATTTCCTCCGACTCCAGTGGGCTCCCACCACTGATGTATGAAGCAGAGTGCACATGGCATTAGCCACAATCCGTATGTATCCTGTAGATTCTTGAGGATTGTTCCTGTTGATGTACTTCCCCTCAAATCAGCTTCCATCTGATTTGAAAATGCAAGCTGTCGTTAAGCTGAGGTATACACAGTTCAGATAGTTATTGTGCATGCGCAGATGGGAGCACATGTGCAGGTGACAGCTTCATTCAGTTCAGGGATGGTGGTGTAGGCACAGAGAAACAAATCAGGTAATGTGCATTGAATGAAGACACCCCTGCTCCCTCTCTGGTGTACTCATCAAGTGCAAACATAGAGAGGGGACATGCCCATAATGTGTACATAGGTTTAAACTTCATTTTACTTACACTTTTAATAATAATAATAATAATAATAATAATAAACTGTACAATTCTGATTCTCATCAAAGTGCCAGCAGAGAACACTTCAGGGCCCTTCAAAACTGGAGTCAGTCATGATGGAAGACAGAAGCAATTTGCTTTCAGGGGTGTTATGTTTGCACCAGTCCTAAGCAAAGTCTGATCTTTATGTTACCAGTTTTTATATGGAAGACGCTGGAGATGCTTCTGTCTCACAGTAGCTCCAACAGCTGTTCACCATGTGGAGTGCTGCAATAGTATGCAGTGTGGAAGCATTTCCAATAACTCATGAGGTAGCGAAAATGTAAGACTTGGTGCTGAGTACTACGCAGAAGCCAAATACACTGAAGTAAGATGGGTGATGAAAGAGGGACATACCACATTAATTATAAGCAATAAAAGTGAATCAACATTTCCTGGAGAGCTTAGAGAGAGGTACCCTACTTGGCAGATTCCGTAGTAGTCTAATATTTATCAAGCCATTGAACTCCAAAAATGTATTTAGAGAGCAGGGATGTCCTAGATAAAGGAGTAACTAGATAAAGGAGTTCAGTGATTATCTGTTGCGATGGCAAATATCAATTCCAGATTCAACAGTGTAGCCCACTCTTTCCACTATGAAAGGTGTGGACACATGACTATAGCCAAGGGAGGGGCAGCTGCCCCACACCAATCAAGTAAAACAATAGAAATACTTAATTAACTGACCAATCAAAATGGTTCTGCCCCCCCAAACAAAAGTCCTGCCCCCCAACAAAGTCCTGCCTCCCCAAAAAAATCTTGGCTATGCCCATGTGTGGACCTCATGGAATACAGATCTTTTAGTCCAGACCGGGGCATGACTTAGCCCAAACATGCATTTGGCAACCAATTTCTTAAATATTTTGTCCTTTATTTATATGGTGGTAGTGCTGCTGTTGTTACCCACCTTACATTGGGCTGCAAGCCAGTACCACGTCTACCTGTTGAAAACCAATGTTCTGGTTCTGTGAATCTACATACCTATATTTTTTTTGTAACTTTTGTAGGCTGAAGCAAGCCATCCAACAGCCACGGCACTCCAGGCTCCACATATGGAAACTTCTTCTTTGATACAATTGAACAGGTAAGAAAAGATGTAATTCTTAAGTATAGCACACAATTCAGGGAAAGATTAAGCACTTTAAAAAGGCTGTAATCCAATGCACACTTATCTGGGAGGAAGCCCCATCGATCTCAAAGGACATGCACAGGATTGCACTGTGGAGCCCACTAATCTCCGTGGGACAGTTAAATATGTATTCTCTCTTTCACTGAAATAAATGAGCCTTAGCTCAACTTGGTTGGTTTATACCCATAGTCTCAACCTAGCTATGGACCAGGATTGGGGATGCTGTGTTTTACCCATAAGTCCCAGCCACCATGGCCAGTGGTTAGAGATGGTGGGAGTTGTAGTTCAACAACATCTGGAGGGCCACAGGTTTCCCACCCTTGCTACAAAGAAAACAAGGTTACTAAAGTAAAACAATTCCTACCTGCCTCTCCTCTCTACTGACTTTGCATCAAGGAAATGTATGGAGGTCATCTTGTCTATCAGCAGCTACTGTCTATGGTAGTTACGGTAGTTGGAACCTTTAAACACAGAGGAACTCTGAATGCTACCAATTGCTGTGTGAGAAGAGTGAGGGAGGGCTATTGCCTTTATGCGCTGCTGGTAGACTTTCCAGAAGCATCTGGCTGAATACCAAGGTAAATAAAATCTTGGCAGTCCCCAGGGTGTCAAAAAGAGTATACCTTCATTTTTAAGAAGCTAGTCTGGGTTCCTTTGGTTGATGTGCTTTTTTCATAGGTGGAAGTAAAGTTTCTGAGTTTTCACTTATCCCTAGCCATTTTGCAATGTAGTGGAGCTTTGTCTGGATTGAGAAGGGCCTTTCCGAATAGTTATACCTTTGACAGTCATGTTCCCTTCGTTTCAGTTCAGTGCAAGAGGAACAGGAGAAATCTCTGAGCCTGGGTCATGATATAGGCACTCGTGACAGATATAGAGATGGTGCTTCTCTGGTCAGACAAGCTATTTCAATTGGATCCTTGAGCTTCAGCGCCACCAGAAACATGGATGCCGCAACAGGCTTGAACTCTTGGTTGCCAAGACAGCCACTTCATAAGCATCACAGTTTGGACTTCAACCATCTCTTTTGGGCAGAGCTACCTGTCACTTTAAAATCAGGAAGTGAGGCTGGGATCAGCTTAGATTCAAAGGTGCCTCTAACACGGACCAAATCGACCCCTTTTGAGTTAGCATCACAGAGAGCGTCCCAAACGTTGTCAAGAAAGGACCCTGGCTCCTGTGACGGCCTCCAGTCTGGAGGATTTACAGCTGACTCTAGCCTTTCAAATAAACTACCAAGCAACACCAAGCGTTGTCTATTTGCGAAGTTACGCCATCAGTCCTGTACTTGGTCATCAGAAGATCCTTACTTTTCTTCCCTGTCATCGGACGAACCATGCTCCCCAGCGCTACCTGACCTTGCTGCGAATCCATCTGAAACAATTCCCCTGCTTGCTTCTGCTGCAGATGCCACAGCTCAGCCCTTGGAAAGTCCAGCAAGTCCCAGCTACCCACCATGCAGCTCTGTGGCTCAGAATAGCCAACCAGTGGCTGCAGTGGAATCTGCCTGCCAGAGTAAGTCCTTGAGAGGTTGTGGGTTCCTCCTGCAGGGGGATTTGCATTACAAAGGAAAGGTGTACAAGGAGGCTGTTTTGTTGCCCTAACAGATCAAGGGGTGATAACATTTTAAGTTTGCACATGGCCAGAATTGGACTTTGCTAGTGCATGGATGAGGAATCAAGATGGACAACTAACAGCTTTTTCATATGTGGAGATTAAATGGCCTTTGAGCATCTATGTTTTATTCTTTATGTGAACATCTAACAAATATTAACAGAAGAGATGTATATGGGTTATCATAATGTTTTAATATCTAGAATTCAAACTCCTTGCTTGGCCCACTGCTGGGAAGGGAAGGAGGAGGAATGCTGCACAACAACCCAACACTTTTGGGTGATGGGATACCACAGTTGTAAAAATCTAAAATCTGAAAAAGTATGAATAGTACTGTGCTACTCTGTATTCTGATAAATGAGGAATGAGAAGGAAAATAAATTAGCAGAAGGTTTCCACGTGGACTTTGGATACACAGGATTTATGGTTGATGGGGGAAGGAAGTGTAGTTGCCAGTGCTACCACTTCCAGTGCCATCTGGTGGTCACTTTGTTTATTTTTTGAAAGTAAATGCTTTCGTGCTTCTGCACTTCAAGATTTTGCAACAGAGATTGCAACCTGGTGGTGTTTCCCTATTATACATTCGGAAGTTTGTTCATGTTTCCAGTGTTCCTGATATGCTTCATTTAAATCAACAGAGAAGCTTGTTGCAAGACACTTTCTATTCACACTTATGGCCTGAATAGTGCTATAGACTTGGGTTTTAAGATGCGCATGGTTTTCCTACATAATGGCAAAGATTTTTGTCGAAAAAATGATACTGCACAACTGAAGCAGGGAAGGTTCTGTAGCGCACATGTTGCAAGCAGAAGTTCCCATGTCCAATCATGGATTTTTCTAGCTAAAAGGATTTCAGCTAGCAGTGTTTGCCTAATATATATATCTTGGAGAGGTATTGCTGATCACAATAAACTGTTTGGATCTGAATGGGCCAACAGTCTGACTCAGAATAAGGCTGTGTCCTTTATTTCATGTCTAGTTTTCATAAACTAACATTGCGTAACGAGTAGCTATGCAATGCAACCAAGGTCAAGGAAGACCATGAGAGGTCTTGGTTATTATCTTGCATGTCTGCAATAGATATTTGTGTATACAACCCAAGTCCACTAACTTCAGCATTTTGGCTTAACAGGTTCTTCCCAGGTGGATGAAGACATTCCTCCCCCATTGCCTAAAAGAACCCCTGAGTCCTTTATTGTACCTGGAGAAGATGGTGAGTTCAAGTATCATCTAAGTGTATACAGTTTTGTTGATGGCAGAACACGATATGCAAGATGAAGTCATCATCTCTTTCAAGGGTGGAGAATCATTTTGGCCCAGATGGCCAGATAGTTTTCTGTCATCCTCACCCCACAAGCCAACTTCGCCATCCAATGATTGACACTGAGCACAGGGCTGGCAAAACACCTTTCCATAGATTTGAACTCACTGCCCATCACCTGATGGATGGTGAATTCAAGCTGCTTTCTACAGGGAGTGGCTGCATAATTGAATTCCCCATGAGGAAACTAGTCACACAGTTGTTCAAGCTTGCTTCCTGCAGGGAAGTGGCATGAAGCAGTCTGCATGGAAACTGCTGGTGAAATGGTGGGGGAAAGCTCCATTTTAGCAGCACTTTCAGTGTAAACTGTTTCATGCTATTGGAGCCAAGGATGCTCCCATTGCCCATCAGCTGCCCATTGCCTGCCATGCCTCGCTCCAGCACAGAAATGATCAGGAGCTCACTTTAAGCTCCCTTTGTAGCCATTTGGTACCTGACACATATGACATTAGGTGTGGAACAGGTTGCTGTGGTTTGTGAGTTGTGACCCCTGTAAGGCCAAATCTGAGCTGAAGGTTCCCCATCCCTGATCTACAACTTAGACTAAGATAGTGATGATCTGCAGAAAGTTTTAAAAGATCCATTATGTTTTCTAATTTTATCCATTGCAGATGACTCTGTGTTGCCAGATTCAAACCACCAATCACTGTCCAAAAATGAGAAAATTGGAATCTCTAAGGAATGGAGCGGTGTGTCTCAGCTGAAATTTTCTGATGACTCTGTGAGACTGAGGCCAAGTAAGGTAACACATTAGAGATTTTATACATCTCCACCAGTAATATTGCTATATAGTTCTCCTGACTTCTGCAGAAATAAAGCCTGCTACTTTATATAACTAAATTGCAGCAGATATTCAGTTCATAGTCCAACAGCTGAGGCTAGGACAATACTTCTGAAAAAGCAAGTTGTATTAAGTCTGAGTAAGTCAACTGGCAGTAGAGATGTCCAGCAAATTCCAGTGAAGATGGGAACATCTGCTAACAAACACTCTTCTTCCTAAAATCCATTGGGAGCTGATGTGACTAACTAGGAAGATGCCACAAAACAGGGGAAATGAATAAAGGGCTTTGGCTTTTAGTATGAGCAAGTGGGACCTGAGAGAAAATGTTGCAAGGTTCTGTTCAGGGTTCCAGCCAGCTATGCCTTCTGCAGGATACTCCATTCTGTCCATTCTTTTCCTCCAGTTTTCCACCCCACCCTTGTTAGTCAGTGTTCCATGTCCACAGAGCATTCTCAGTTCTCACTGGGCTGTTACTGCAATTTCCTGAGCTGGTAAGGGCCCGGTAACAAATTTACAACCTGTGCAGATCTCTGAGTAGATGTGTTATATGCTGACAGAGTAGCATCCGTCTTATGCAGCTACTACTGTGTTGCTGAAACACTGTTCTGCGGGTAGGGCTTTTGTAATTGTTATCATTCGCAGCACTGCTAAATTTGCTTCAAGCTGTTATTCTTATTTGTTCAGTTCAGTACAACAGTTTTTCAGGAGTGGGAAGTAAAGAACACTTTCTGAACCTGAAGGCAGAAAAAAGACAGAAAGGAAGGGCATACTGATATTAGTAGAAACAGGACCAGGGCACTCTGGTTCTTACTAACACCACAGTTAAAAATCCCTTCAGCAATTTAATGGGGAGAATAAAGACAAGCGGCTTGCTTGAGTGTCACTTTCAGTGGTCACATTTTAAAAATGAGCAGAATGCCCTTTTTTCTGATTTAGTTTTGAAAAATTGAAATAAGATTTTTGCAAATGCATGGTTCACAAACGGCATGTGGATCCACCTTCCACTACAATTGTACGCAGCATGTAATTCCTTAAGAACATTGAGTATGATGCTGTTTGGGGGCATTGTCAAACCTTTAGAGAGTTACAGCTGTCCATCACCTACTTACTAAAAGTTAAATGCAGTTATACAGAGTTGAGGGACGATAAAGTATTCTCCTTTTGTTTGTTTTTCAGAATGCAAAGCTGCAGAGACCCAGATCAGGTAAACATTCTCCTGACATTTCTATGAATTAGTCTGTGCTACTACTACACCTGCTTGCTTTGTAATGAAACGGGGGTATATCCTGTTCTAATCATGTTCCATCATTCTAGCAATGCCTTGCTTTTATTGTCAATGGAAAACTTCTGTTGTATAGATGGTACACTACCAAATCCTGTTCCTCATTGTCATCTTGTTCTGTTAGCATTATTGCAAAATACTGAAGAGCCAGTGATATTAACACATGTTTTTAGAATTCTCCCTATGTATGTGGGAGCTTAAGGTGCATACATGTTCTCTTGGGATGGATTGTGCTTAACACTGATAGCAGATAGCAGAACTGAAGACATTGCAGACAGTGCTGGCCTGATGCTGGAGAGGCTCAGGGTTTTTTTTTTTGAATGCAAGCTAATGAAAATGTTTTCTTTAAATTATTTTGTATTGCTTGTTATTACAGAGATTCCCCGGGATCGGTCTCCTTCCCCTCCCCCACTTCCTGAAAGAACTCCTGAGTCCTTTATTCTTGCAGATGAGGAATGTAAGTACAATAGCTGTGGTTGTCTTGTAGCAACATTATTGGGTGGTGGTTTTAGTTAATGCATTTTCATTTGAGGAGGTAGCAAATACAAAGTCAGGTTTGAGAAGGTCTGGGTGAAAAGTGCTGGAGGAGAATCTTGTTGTTGGCATCTGTCTGTCTCGGGAGACAATGGAGGAGTGTGCCTTTGGGGGTAAAGTCAAATCTTTAGAGCACCTGCTGTGGCTGTAGAGACTGATATGGGAGAGAAATGTTTTGTTGCAGCTGGGGCAGATGGAGGAAAATCACAGCAACAAGAAAGCAAGATAACAATGAGTCTCCATATAATCACATTCAGAACCCACCTTTTGCCACTAATTCCTATTAATACATACTTGTGGCATACTGAGAAACAATAGCAAATGTCTATAAATCAAGTGATGTGGCCAGAGAACCTCAGAAGGACAAAAAAAAATCTCCAATGTGGTTTAAAGTCTAGTATTAATTATACATTTAATTATACTGAAAGAATATATTGAAAGAATTGCCATATTTTGGGAGAAGAATTGGTTTATTTTCTTTTTCTTCTTAAATGATGCCTTCCATATATAGCAGGGATAGGGAACCTTTGACCCACCAGATGTTATTGGACTACAACTCCCATAATCCATGAACATTGGCCATGCTGACTGCTAGGGCTGTTGGGAGTTGGAGTCAAACAACATCTGGAGGTTTTCCCATGTATATGAAAGCATCGATCCAGTTATTGTTTTGCTGAGTGTGTTTTTGTTTTCCTAGCTCAACCTTCTGTTAAGAACAATGCTGTGAGTTTCGGAGAGTCTGTGATTAGATCAACAGACAAGTCATCAAAGGAAGCAAAATGCTTCAGGAGGAGTAAGGTAAAGGAGCATGGAGAATGCATAAGAAGTGGAGGGAGAGACAGCTGTAACATTTCTATTAGCAGAGAAGCAGGGCTTCCCCCATTCCATGCTAATTATGTAAGTTTCAGCTGTGCAGAAGTTCTTTATCTTTAAATAGAGAACTGTCTTCTGATAACGCTTCAGTGGAGGGCTGCCTTCTGTTAGGAAGGATACATGACTACCCAACTTTCGAGTTTTAGTCCACATTATGCTGCTTAAAAACACAACGTAACAATTGTTAGGTGTCTCTCTCCCCCACTGACTCCATCCATAATATGGAGAAGAAATAAGTTTTTAACTGATAGATCCTCTGGTAAAAACCAGAGCTTGGAACATTTCTCATTCACAACACTAGGGAGCGCTCTAAGCAAGAAAGAGAAGCAAATACAGTACATATGAAACCAGAAACTGCAGTTTTGCTACCTGTGCAGTTAAGCTGTAATAATCAAATATGTAAATCAACAGTGATTCACTCTTTTCAGAAGGAAATATACCCAAGGACCTTAATTTCAAATTAATGGCCCATTGTGATGCAACTCAAGGCTGGCTTTGTTTCACCTTTAAACGGTTACTAGAGCCTCAATGCAAAGAGAATTCCATTCTGCTGTCCCAGAAAGTGAATGGGCTGCTTGTGTTGATCTAGGGTGCTTCCACACAGCAATTTATTGTACACTCAGTGCTTCTCAAATGTCACCCTATATCCTCCCATCCAATTTGGGTAGAATATGGGACAGCCTTTTGACAGGTACTCATGCCAATTGCTCCCTGTAGTTTATTTTTCAAATAGATCTGTTCTTAATAAGCAGGGTTTTTGCAACACTGTAATTTTTCTGTGTTTCCCCCCCAGAGCTTGAAAATTTTACGAAATGTGAAGAACAGTAAGTCTTTTGAATTTATAGACTGTCTATATTTTGCATATTCACTGCTGCGGTGCTGTGTTGTAGTCTGAGCTGAGGAACCATAACCCCGAACAATTCTATTGGGAGATGAAGGCACTCAGTAGTTTTGCTGGATTAATAAAGACCTATCACGCAGCTCCACTGTTTTTCACTGTGCATCTCAGAGGGTTTCAGAACCAGGAATTAATTAAAGATCTACATTTATCTGCAGAGGTCTCATTGTGAATACTAAACAGAGAAGGCAATTTCTAAAATGTGAAATCTTTCTACACCTTTGTGTATACTGCTTGCCAAGCCTCTCCCACATCTTTTCAGTATCTCTTCTGTATAAGAGGCGGGTGAACTACGCATTATGATCACCATGGGGCAACAAAATCCTAATGCTATGATTCCCATGAAGCAACATTCACTATGTGAACTGGGGCATTATTTCATTCCACACACGATAGATGACAGGCCTTTTAGATTAGACCTACTTGGCATGGTACCTCTAGCACAAAACATTTATTTTTTAAAATGCTGGTTTATAAAGCTTTGCTCCACGCACCTGTTGATGCAGGTTCCTGCCTTCAAAAGTTTTCCAGGAAACCTTGATAAATCTTTACAGTGCTCTTCCTGTGTGTCCTTCTTTGGATTAACAAAAGCAGGAAATATCGCTGCCAACGTTGCTGATTTGGTAGCACGGCACCGTCTAATATGTGCGTTGTAACAAAATCCAGGCAATATCAGCAGCTAGTGGTCACATTGTGGGTGGGATATTTTTAATGTATTTCTTGTTCCTCTTGTCTTTAATGTATCTATGTAGGGTTTATTGCCTCTTCGTTTGGTTGTAAGTCACTTTGGGTTGCCCTGGGCAAGATAAAGCAACTGACAAATTTAATAAAGAAATTTTATATAGAGTGATATAGTGATACACAATATATGCTGTATTGTTTTCTTGTTTTTGCAATAAAAACAAAATTTATTTTAAAAATCTGAGGGGGGCGGGAGTGTTTAAGAGAGTGTTTAAATGACCCAATAATATGGCCATAGGTCTTTGTCACTTAATAAGCAGTCCTCCCCCTCCTGCAGAACAGTGCTTGTGGGGAAGACCCATGCGATTTATCCCTATTGTTGGATCATGTGAACCACTTAGCAGATGCACAGGAACTTGCTGACAGATCAGTAATTCCTATGTGACTAGAAAAACATCTCAGGAGCAGAGCAAGCAATAGACAATGCAGAATACAGTGGTCTTCAAAATTCTGTGTTATTGTTATTCACACTTGTGCCCAGCCTGAGTTCCACAGCCTCCCCAGCAGGAATCATGTTTCAAGAAGCCTGTGATGTTTACATGGGCCATCAGCTCAATCCTAACAATGTCTACTGAGACATAAGTCTTATTGCACTCAACATGACTTGCTTCAAAATAAGTAGGGTTAGAATTGCAGCCTGTCGGTTCCTAAGATCTTCCATTCTACTTCTAGGTATTTGTGGTTCACCTTCAGTTTTAAAAGTTCCAGAGGCTGATCAATCAAATCACTCCAGCTCTGTTTTGAGGTTTGGTATGTTGTTGTTGTTGTTTTTAAAAATGTGATGCTTCCTTATTTGACTAACCATGAAAAAAATTAAAGGTAGTGTAGTTGTTGTTTTGCCACTGACTATGGTTATTGTTACACATTGTTTTAGTTTATAGGTATTAGAGGAATGCACTCTGTAGTCTTGGGTCTGATGAAACAGTCAACTTGGAATAATAGAATTGTAGAGCTGGATGAGACCATGAGAGTCATCTTGTCCAACCCCTGCAAGGCAGGAATCTTTCACCCAATGTAGGGCTCAAACCTACAACCCTGAGATGATGAGTCTCGTGCTCTACCGACTGAGCTATCCCAGCACCATGCTTGATGGCAACATATTGTGAAACTAAAGTATTACAGTAGTATTTAAAATACTTACTTCTGGGGTTGTTGCACTCTCTTCCCCAAGCCCACTCCCAGAGTAAATAATTTAAGCAATGTGGTATACAGTATGAATGCCAATATATCAGACTCACTTGTCATTAGCTGAATCAGACAGCTGGCCTCTTTTATTATTCTTGTGTGAGAATCACATGCTAATCTCTTAGAACCATAGAACTGAAGAGTTGAACAGGACCGCAAGGGTCCTCTAGCCAAGGGGTCAGCAAACTTTTTCAGCAGGGGGCCGGTCCACTGTCCCTCAGACCTTGTGGGGGGCCGGACTATATTTTTTTGGGGGGGGGGGATGAACGAATTCCTATGCCCCACAAATAACCCAGAGATGTGTTTTAAATAAAAGGACACCTTCTACTCATGTAAAAACACTCTGATTCCTGGACTGTCCGCGGGGCAGATTTAGAAGGCAATTGGGCCGGATCCAGCCCCTGGGCCTTAGGTTGCCTACCCATGCTCTACCATATGTAACATTTTCTTGGTTTTGTTTTTCTAGGCTTTGCAAACCGGTTTTCAAAACCCAAGGGACCAAGAGATCCACCACCAAGTTGGAACATTTAGTAGAACTTTGCTGATGCCCTTTGTCTCTGCAGGAGCCTTGCCTTCTTCTGTCATCAGTTCAGCAATTGGAGTCTGCGGCAAGACCATCATTTGGAACAAAATGGCTTTTGTTGTCGTGCTACTAGAAAGATAGTATGTGTGACCACTATAGACGAAATATAATACTGAACTGTGAAAGTCCCTGGTTTCTGTTCACGTTTCCAATGAAGTACTATTTGTCGAAACAACACACTGCCAAACAAAGAGAAGTGCTGGGGCTCACACCTTTCCTGAAGCCACAGCATCTTTCCTGGGGGGGGGGTTCCTGCATTCCAGGAGGCATTAGCGAAGAAGTGGCTCAGCAGGGGGAAATGCTGAAGATGAGAGGCACTGTTATTTATTAGTAATTATTGTGTTCCAAGAATTGAGTGATATTCAGTTGTGGCTTTTTCAAGCTCAGACCTTTCTTTTGAAATATATCAGAAGTTGGTAGGGAATTTCTCTGTTGTATTCTCACGCAGAGGACATTTATTTGCATGAATGTAATGGACGCCAGGTAATCGTTGGTGGACACAAAAGCAATAGTTGTATCCTGTGATTTCCAGTATGTAACTGAAGTAGGAGGTCAGCCATCCACAGGTGCCCTGTCTCTAAAAAATCAACAAGTAAGCAAGCAGTTTTGGCTGCCTACATTTAAAATAAAACCAATCATCCTTCAAGCAGCCATTGGGGTGTCTCTAGACCAACTGCTTGGTTTTGATCCTGAGTCTTGCTGAAATTTTAAGGAATAATTCCTGACCATTTTAATACTTTGGCATGCGGCGCCTCAACACCTGTGACAAGATTTTCTCCAGCTGGGATCTGTTTCCCCAAACGTTCAAAATCAGGAGTTTTTTATTTGCCCTTTCACTCCTATCTTTTGCAATCAGAACTTGAAATTCTCTCACACAAGTTTGTGGGCTAGAATTCTGGGATTGCAAAGGTTTTATACTTTGCACTGAAGCAGCATTCTCCATGCTCAAATGTTCAAAATACTGGTGTATAAACACATAAGGTGCATCATGCAAGGGGCACCTACAGGATAAGGTATTTGCATTGTGGAAACACTCCCAGATGGCTGGAGCAAGTGAGATGTGGTACACTCTAGAGAAGAGAGCAAAGATGGGGGTGGGGGATCAGGCACAACTGACAGACTTTATTTCTGTAAAAATGACTTGAAAAACCAAACTTAAAAAACCCTAAAGCATTTAATGGAATGTTTATATGGGAGTTGCAATATAATAAAATAAAATGTTTTATTTATTTAGTATGCTGGTTACTGCTTCTGCAGATTGCATTTCTACAAAATTCAGTAGTGGTGCATATTTCAGATTTATCTCAAAAGTGTAGAGCACTACAATTGGCACTGTCAAAAAGAAGTTACTTAACTTTTAATGACATACTTATTGAGTTGCCAACAGCTACATTCCGAGTACTAATATTCAGAACTCTGATAGATAAGGGACTGGCTTCCACTTAAAAGCAAAAATTTAAGTCAGCCATGTAGGTCAAGGACTCATTTGAATTACAAACACAAATGAGTCAGAGAATGCAAATTGGGTTGCGTGTATGAAAATCTTAAGGCAGGTTATTCAATTTTTGATATATTTGCGTGGCTCTTTTACCGTGGGATTCATTGTGTGCCTAATACAAAGAGTGCTCCTCTCACTGTCAGGTTAGCATCTGTTCTAGTTGCATCTAGTTGCTGCCTTGGAGATGAGGAAAGGGACATATTCAACCTTCCTGGATCTCCCTGACAAATGCATGGATGGACTCCAACTGCGTACTGTACAATAATGTCTATATCTTATTTGTGCTAGTGGAATCTATTTTGCTGCAGGGGTGTGAATTATTTCATTTTCTATTTAAAAGCATTTATAGAGCGCTTAATATTTTAAAAAATATCTAAGAGGTGTACAACATAAAAACAAGAAACAATAATGCTATGACGGCTTTTGGGGGGGTAGGCTGAATGTCTGCCCCCCCCCCGCTTCTAATTCTTGGAATACCCAGGCTAGCACCCTGGTGAGGTGATAGCCGGGGTGATGGGTCATTAAAGGGAACAGCAATAATGGGGGGCCCTCCTCAGGGTGGGGGAGCATCCCCCAATTCACAGATAGTTAGAAAGACAAAACCAGAGTTCAGAGCAGAGAGTTGGAGGGATGCAAGCAAAGCAGCAAGCTGGGAAGTGAGAGGGACAGAACAGTGCTTGATTTCTGTTTGAATCTAAGGCTGCGGCTATGGGGGAAGCAATTCCCTCTTGGGGTGTTAATGCTGTGAACCCCACCATCAGAGACTCAGGTTGTATATATATGTAAATAATCCATATATCCTAAAGACAGCACAGTCTCCGCTGTGCCTCATTCCAAGGAAACACAAACCTTGGGTAAGCACCTGGAACCTCTGGAATCTCGCACTGCTCAGACGGGTGGCAGGTGACAAGATGATTAAAACAAAATCAATTAAAAAAATAAATAGAAACTGTCAAGAATGAATACATTGAGGGCTTTGAACTTGCTTTTTCACTCCTGTTGCAAATATCTTAGAACTAGAACTTGAAATGCTGCCTCGTTCACATATAATACAGAGGTTTTTTTCATAAAGAAGAAGAAGAGGAGTTTGGATTTGATATCCCGCTTTATCACTACCCTTCAGGAGTCTCAAAGCGGCTAACATTCTCCTTTCCCTTCCTCCCCCACAACAAACACTCTGTGAGGTGAGTGGGGCTGAGAGACTTCAAATAAGTGTGACCAGCCCAAGGTCACCCAGCAGCTGCATGTGGAGGAGCGGGGAAGCGAACCCGGTTCACCAGATTACGAGTCTACCGCTCTTAACCACTACACCACACTGGGTCTCATAATGAGGCTGCTTGGGAGAGGGGCACTGAACATCCCCTGCTTCTATGCCAGGGGCCGGCAACCTGCGGCCCATGGGCCACAAGCAGCCCACAGGGTCGTTTAAACGGCCCCCGAACCAAGCCGCCTACTCAGCGAGTCCCTGCACGCTGCACTAAACTGGCACAGCACGGAGCGGGGACTCGCTTCTGCAGCATCGGAAATTGCGCCTGGACAGACAGAGACACTGGAAATCGCATCTGCACATGCACAGATGCGATCCAGCTGTGGGAGTGAACTGGCTCAGGCGAGGTAAACCTTGCTGACCCCTGTTCTATGCCTTACTTCCTCATAGTCAGTTGTTCCAGCCACTTTTCTTTGTTCATGGCTCACTCCTGGTAATACAAGAAGAAAAGTAACTATGGGGAGGGAAGGTGAAGAGAGGAGAGGATCAGCACCTCTCTCCTGTGTGCTATTTCTCTTGTAAAAGTAAGACATACGATTGGCTTTGTATGTAATTGGGGTGGACATGTGAATAATGGCCTGGGCACATATCCACACTATGCATTCAAAACACACTTACCACTTCTGCAGTCATGGAGAATCTTGGGAACTGTGGTTTGTTAGGGGTGCTGGAAATTGTAGGTCTGTGGGAATCAGTACCCTTCTCAGGATGTTGATGTGGTCGTGACCTGCTGGTTTTAAGAGATGTAAGAGAGGATGTATACAAGTTCGATATAGGACAACAAATTTTATGGGAGCTGCTGCATTTAAAGCGGGAGAAAAATGGAATTACACATGGGTCTTCCTAAAGCTAAAAAAATTGAATCTACAAATGGAGTGAGGCAAAATATTCCTGCCTGCCATATCTGCACCTCCATGCAACAATAGAACTTCATTAATTCTCAGATCTACAAGGACGTTCTTGTGTCGTGTCTCCTCTGCCAGTGTAGAATGAGTGAAAAGAAGAACTGGCCTTACACTGGATAAGCCAGCTGTGTTTCCTCTTCTTCAGACAGCAACTAGAGTGCAGCACACAGCAAGACTGTTGCTGGGCAATCTGTTTCTAGATGGACTGGGCTGCTTACTTCCTCTCTTTCAGTCAGCCTCTTCCTGATTTTGGAAAAGCAATAGAAAATCCTGTGGCAATCAAGGCGTAATTTATGCTTCATCTATTTCAGAATAATCTTTTAATTAGGCGAATGCTAATAGGAACCATTGTAGCCAAACATTCGAACAACAGAGCACTTGCCAACTGTTTTAGTACTCTGTGTGCAAATCTCGATTTTCCTAATTACTCAGTTCACAGATGTGTTGAATTTCTAATTTTGCCATGAAGGATTTAATTAAAAATAAACATGCTTAGCTCAGATCTTTTTTAAAAAGAAAGAAACCTGGAGTTAAGTGCAGATTTGGGAGTAATCAAACCTATTTTCTTTCCTTCTTTTTGTGGCTGTGTGAGATTGTACCAGTTTGTATTCTTTTAAGTATGTTTTCAGCTAAACAGATTAAGAAGAAAAGGTGCTGTTTCCTGTGGGTGTCCAGTACGTTCTATTGGTTCAGTATATTCCTCATTGACTAGAGGCATAAAAAGGTCTGCTGGATCAGGCCAGGGGCTCAACAGGTCCAGCACTCAGACATAGGGATGGAAGGATTCCAGTTTCGGTTCCCTCAGTTTCTCTCCAGTCTTAAATTCAGTTCTCCACATTTTGCATCATTTTGAGGTTTTAAGAAACCCTCATGAAAATTCACCAGCATTTTAGTGCAAATTTCTCTGAGTAATTCCAATGCTGTAAGGAGAAAAATATTTCTCCACCTCCTTTCTCCATGCATAATTTTAAACATTTCTATCATTTCTATTTGCTCTTTCCTCTAAACTAAAAAGGCCCAAACACCATAAGCTTTCTTCAGAGGAGAGTTGCTTCATCACATCATTTGGATTGCCTTTGTCTGAACTTTTCCCAATCCTACAATATGGGAGGAGCTTATCAGAGCTTGCAGGGCAGCAGTTGAAGAAGGAGCAAAAAGGGTTTTCTTCTGTGTGTGTGTTTCTTTGTGGCTGTTTAGCTGCTCTCCCTGTGCAAAGGTCAGAGGGGGCAGGGTTTCTGTTGAGGCAGGTGATTAGCTGTGGGAGGAGCTTATCAGAGCTTGCAGGGCATCTTTTAGGGGAGCTAGTCTCAAATGTTTGTTGGGGGAGGCCTAGGTTTTTTTGGGGGGGAGTTATTTGTCCTGTCTTCACGCTTTTTATGATGGAGGACCGCTGTAGCCACCCCCAACGACACGTTCTCAAGATGGAGGAGGGGGGAACAGCTGCAGTCGCCTACGGTTCCTGCGCAATGTTTGCCATCTTGCCAAAGGTTGCAGGCAGCTTTACCTGCAGCAATTGCATGTTGATTGCCCTCTTAGAAGACAAAGTCCAGCAACTGGAGGAACGTGTAGCTACGCTCCAAAGAATTAGAGAGCTGGAGCTCTTCTTGGAAGCAACAGAGCACACCGTCTCCACCAAGGAGGAGACAGGGGACTCCCCTGAGAAGGAGGCTAATTCACCAACACAGGAGCCAGATATATGGAGAAACGTGACTCCAAGAAGTAGGAGGCCCAGGGTTCGCTCTGATTGTTTAGAAATACACAATCGCTTTGAGGTCCTCTCCCCTAGCATGGAAGACGAAGAGCAGACTCCATTTGAGGATCTCTCCCTCATTACAGTCGATCAGGTATATGAAGACGAGCAGCAAAGTCAGTCCTCAGGGAATGTGCAGGTGACCTTGGAACGGACAGCTCACGGAAGAACCCCGACCAAACCTAAGAGGAGGCGTGTAGTGGTGATAGGGGATTTCCTACTGAGGGGAACAGAAGCAGTGATCTGTGGGCCTGACAAGATATCTCGGGAAGTGTGCTGTCTCCCCGGGGCTATGATCCAAGATGTAACTGAACAACTGCAAGGAATCATAAAACCCACTGACAAATACCCCTTCCTCTTGGTTCATGTGGGAACCAATGACACTGCAAGCAATAGCCTCCAGAAGATCAAAAGAGACTACGAGGCTCTGGGCAGGAAATTGAAGCAATTAAATGCACAAATTGTCATCTCATCTGTCCTCCCAGTTGAACGACGTGGCCCAGGGAGAGAGTGAAAAATAGTGGAAGTGAACAGCTGGCTTCGCAAATGGTGTAAGCAGGAACGGTTTGGATTCTTAGATCACGGACTGCAGTTTCTTGAAGATGGACTTCTGGCAAGCGATGGGCTGCGCCTCACAACGGTTGGGAGGAATGTTTTTGCCAGAAATCTCAGAAACCTCATCAGGAGGGCTTTAAACTGACTAATGTTGGGGAGGGAGACAGTGCTCCTGAAGGTAGGAGTCTATCAATTGATGAAGACGATCATCCAAATGTCATAGACCAAATGGAGCAAACAGCACGCAGACCTAGTGGTG